GGCACCAGCGCAATTCGAAGGGCACCAGCGCGAACGGCACCAGCGCGAACGGCACCAGCGCGAACGGCACCAGCGCAATCGGCACCAGCGCAATTCGGAGGGCACCAGCGCAATTTGGAGGGCACGCGAACTCTCAATGATGATACTGCCGTCGCGTTAGAGTATAGTTTGCTTCAACGAATCGATAACCTCCTTCTGCCGCTCCATCGACTCCATCTACTTCTGAGATTCGTATCGCTGCTGTGCCATCTGCTTCTCTATTTCCTCCTTTTGCTGCTGCAATTGTCAGACCTGCATCCGCAACTGCTCATTTCCCCGCTCAAACTTCTGATTGCTGGCAGAGCTGGTAACTTGAACTGTCTATCCTCCCGCTGCGACGCTGGCAAGCTGGAAATAGACTCTTGTGAGTCGTCCTCGAGCACCAGCTCTGACGTGAACAATTCCACTGTACGCACTCACATGCGCGACAATGCCAACGTGATTCGCGCGAGATGCGGTAGAAAGAATAGCTGGCATATGGCACGCGTCATACCAAAGGCTTTGTGCACTTCCCAGCGGCGACGTTCACGACAAAGTTGGCAACATCGGCCAAAGAACCGGACCGTCTCGCCTGTGACGACAGCAAAATGTCCGAAAATTTTCATCTCTCCCTTGTAATGGGCTACAAAGGTTAATATTCGCCTGTTAATTTTCTTCGTGGCGGATATGTTCATGTGTTCTGTGAAACAAATTCACTCCTCTGCACGACGTGTTCTGACTTGGAATTGCCGGTCTGTAAGATCATTTTTGCTGCGCGAATGGCTGCTGCTAGAGTGCAGAGAACATGTTGATTGCGCTGGTGCCGATTAAACTGGTGCATTCGCACTGGCGTCGTTTGCCCTTCGCACTGGTGCCAATCGCACTGGTGGGGGATGTTGCAAGAGCCTGGGTACTTTCCAGTGAAGTGCATGGTATGAACGAGGTACTTCCGCCGTCACGATCACCGCATCGCTATGGCACTGCCGCGACTGACGTTCTGCCAGCGGTGAGCTCATTCCCACGAGCCCCTGCATATTGATCTTTTAGGCCTGATTATGGCAATTCCATGGGTGGTTTTAGAAGTGGTTTGCATTCGTTGTCTGAACGAGTGCTCTCGTCATTTCCACAGCAAAATCTCCACCGTCTGAGATCAATTGCTCGAAGGCTGACTTGCTGAGCAGCTCCTTGCGATGCACAATTATACTCCGCACTAATGCCGCTCTCATTGCATCGCCCGAGAGAGTATTGCTGAACACTTCTACAATGCATTCCACCAAGCTTTCGCTTACCCATAGCTGTTCTAGGACGGCCTCGAATTTCTTCAAAGCTGCATTTTTGAGCTTTTCCAGGAACAGAGAGTCGGCCAAAAAGTACACGCGAGGATGCTTGAGAAGTTCGGAGTCATCTGCGAGTCACGGTCAGGAGCCTGCTTGGCGAGATTTGTTCAGCTCACCCACCTTCTTTCGAGATTAGGACAGAAGGCTCGTAAGCGTAATCACCAGTGTAGAGATACTGCAACATGCGAAGATATGAGTGCTCTTTGCCATTCTCGCACGTGAGTTTGTTAACGCATCCCTCTTTGAAGTCACCCGTCAATGCATCGGAGAAATACTTGCTTTGCAGGCAAAGCACCAGGCGATGTGCGGGTACACTTGTCCCAGCAATATGAACTTCAACATCCGCAAGATCACGCTTAGCATATAGTCTTCGTTTGTCAGTAGGCTCCTACAGCGTTTCTCGACGCGCGTATGACTTACGTCGAAAGCTTCTCGATGAAGTTATCACTGAAAGCATCGCGAATGGGGTCATGCTGCCAATTTGATTTAGCATGCTATCACCGATGTACACTTGTCATCCTTACTGTCGCCGGAGCCATGTTTGGCTGCCCTGCCTGCCCAAAAACACTCCTTTCGCAACTGCAGCTGAATTCCGAAAGTGCCCCTGCGTCCTGAGTTCTGCCGTAGGAAGAGTGGTTCACATATGACCGGATTGATGCTTTATCCCTCTGAGACTGTCGCTGGCGTCTAGCTACTTCCTGTTGCCACAACTCTTCTTGGTGTCTCGCCTTATCGCGGGCTGATTGACGTGCTCGTCTTTGTCGCTCCAACTTACTAATCATGAATGGCGCAATTCACCTCCAGCACAAGATAGACAATAGGAGGAGGTAATCTCTTGAGGCGGAGCAGCCTAAGGAATGTGAGGGTGAATCTGGTCACGTGCTGAGTCAAACGCACTGCGTTCGGTTTTGGTCAGCCGAATATCTACCACCCGTCCCCATTTGTACGCCGGGCATGCCGATAGATACGAATTTGAGTCGAGTGAAGAGGAACTGGTCATAGACACGGAATAAATATGCTAAATTACCCTTGACCTTCTATAGTCAATCTATTCCCTTGTGCGCTACACAGAATCATGGCACGATCAGGTTCATAGCTTGCAGTAACTTACATTTGCGGCTGGCAAACCTGAGTCAACCCTCAGAGGCTGAATATTGGAGCAGCGCATCAGAAGGAGGCAATGATTCATATACGCTCGAGTCAAGCTACATTCATCGTACGAGGGCTGTCCTCATCCTTGATGTTGATCTGACTGTAGCTCGTGCTTAGGCAAGCGAAAGTAAAGACCTCCGGGACGATGCCCAGAAGAATGTCCTTCAGGACAATTCGGGCATGCTTGAGCATTTTGTCATCGCGGGAGACAACGCGCCCACGTCTAACATAATCACACACAATTCAGTGCAAGCCCATACGTACAAGACCACGTCAGCTTGCGCAAATCCGAGCAAGAGTCAGCCGCCAACACTGCTCTGGGTTTGCAGCGCGTAGAGACTTAAGCCGTCAAATTTGATTAAGTCACCCATGGTGAGAATCGCGCTTTTGTGTCCCGGTGACATTGAAGAAGGATTTGAGTGCTGGCGCGGAGCAAGAGGCACAGGTGCGAAGGATATGGCGCTGGTGTGGAGGGCAAGCACTACAAGCGCTTGCTTAATATAGGCACAGGTTGAGCAATGCAATATGATGTCGTTTCTTGGCCGGCTTCGTGCGCCTGTGCCTCTCACTCTGCACCGGCCGGTGAGAAGAAGCATTGATACATTTCGCTCTCCTCCAACGCAACTATTTGAGCCTATGCTAACGCAATCCAACGTCCGCGATGACATCCGCAACTTTGTCCGGCCTCCCTGTGGAGCTCTTGCGAGAGATCCAAACCCTCCTTCCGTACGCTTCACATTTCGCACTACGGATCACATGTCGAGACCTTTACAGCAAAATTAGCCGGCCTAGTCATTCATATTCAATGGTGGATCTTCTCGCAATCGAGACGTGGCCGCAATATAATCACGCTATGCAACGTCCGGCCCATCTCAAACAGCCTATTGCCGGCCTAGATTTCTTCAGCTGCTCACGATGCTTGCGGATACGCTCAGCATGCTACTTCAGCAATGCTATGATGAAAGGCAAGCGCGGGAAATCAGCCCCACCTCGAGCCAAGCAAGGTCGTATATGCATCCAATGTGGTATGGCATCCGGTCAATACCACAAGGGCGTATCCATGATGCACGGTGGAGCGCCTGTGTCCGGTATCAGGGAGCATACAGGCGTTTTTTGTCGATACTGTGGAGAATTTCACTCCGTCTACGAGGCTTGCCCGGACAATAACACTCACGGACTTGAAAGCGGAAAAAGGACTAATCAGGCGGAAGAGAGACTTCGTAGGCGGACGATCGACCCATGGGGTCGGGAAGTCGACCACGGCGATTCATTTCCAATTTCTGAAACTTGGTCACCGCCATACGATCTAACTGGGAGTCTTGATGAAAGCCTATGAATTGTTTTTACGTATATCCTGCAGCGATAGCGATAGATCCCGCTAAGACATGGCCCGTGTCGTCCATGCCATGTTTTTGAGTGTCGAATACCGCGTGATGTGTATCGAGTAGTACCACAAGATCATGTTATTCAACTACCTTGCAACGACGGTGCGCTGCGCTCGTGATTTCTCGTAATTGGCGATGGCGTCGGTGCAGCCGCTCAGCCCAGAATGAGGCTCCCACGTGGGATTCCACTCTACCAAATATACCTTCTCGCCTCGGAACCCACGACGTCGCCCGATGATGCGTTCGACTTGCCAAGTTGGCTCACCATGTGAGTATGTTCGCGTACTGGCTGACGTTGTATTTGACGGCGATGCAGATGAACACCGGCTGGAGGAATGCGAGTAGTCTGCTTTCTGCGAACGCGAAATTTCGTGCTTGCGAGGGCGTCCTTTCTTGGCGGTGTCGCGGCGTCCATGTCGTCGCTGCTGCTGTACGTTCGGGACGTTGGCCGTAAGCGGTGACGAGCGTTGCCTTCGTTTTCTGCGAGGCATCTCGTCGTCCTCGTCCTCACTAGAGACGGACCTGGAGCGGGAAGAAAGCAGGATATCGTGTCCCTTCTCAAAGCGATCGATTCCGGGACTGACCTTTCGACGAGGGATTGGAGAAGACCGTGCAAGTTCGTGGCTCAACGAAGGGACATATCCTGCTTGTTGGGTTGCAGCAATCGCGGGGTGCAGTGCTCCACTTGGACCTGCGATCCAATCCAAGTCGGTCTCCTCTTGGAACACACCAGACCACACTTCTTCGTTGCTCTCTTCATCTGACACAATTTGCGAGTCGCTGGTACTGTAGCTTTTATCGCCACCGACATCCTTTCGTCCGCAATCCGAAACGTCCGTACTGCCCATGACTCTGCTGACTGGGGATCTCGTCTGCTCCAAAGATGTGCGGAAAGTGTCACCGCTCGTCCAACAGCGCCATCCAGGGATCGGACTCTTTGGATCAGGCGCTTGCGATAGTGAGTTGCGCGACCCGTCCTGCTCTTCGGATGGAGAGCTCACAGTGGTAGGGGTTGCAAGAGTCTGGGCACGTTGTGCTAAAGTGCATGGTATGAACGAGGCACTTCCGCCTTCACGGTCAATGTCACCGCATCGCTGTGGCAGTGGCGCGACTGACGTTCTGCCAGCGGCGAGCTCAGGCTCATTCTCACGAGCCCCTGCATGTTGACCTTTAAGGTCAGGAACTAGACATCAGCGATGCTCTACGCTCAAGTGCACAACTCCCAACTCACCATTCCGAGTGCCCGCATTAGACTCGTGAGCGTTCCTCGCAAGAATTAGCGGTGGTTGTACTGGGGGCGGGCGAGGCGTCTGCGCTCGAGGCGTCTTGTTCGCGTGGGGATTGTAAAATTGAATAGTCAGGTCGTTGCGCACTTGCTGTGTCGCGAACGTCGTAAGCCCCGGAAGGGCTTGTGAAGGCATGCTGCTCGGAAGGGAAAGGGATAATGAATTTGAGGGCAGCAGCACGAGGAGATTATGAACGAACGGAGGCTTCAACGAGACCCCCAAATTCCGCATCATGAGCAGCAGTAGCGATCTAGGATAAGGGGCCAGCTCAGCACAGGCTTGGATGTCGGCTCGTTCGATCCTCGGATACCTCAGCCTCTCACAGCCATACCAGACCCGGAGTTGGCGATGCGGGAGCTGCATTTGGAATGTGCAATGCCAAATCGGGCCACTGTGAGCCAAACATAGATTCCACGGGAGATGGCTGCGAGCGAGCCAGGCATGGTGTTGGTGCATCTTTCAGACCCGGAGCCCGTTATTGATCAGCCAATCACTGCATTAACAACGGAGGCCCCCAGGCAGCTACCAACCATTGACCGTTCCTCGACTACGTGATGGCGCCCGCCGAGTCTTGTTCGGGGCGCAGCTTAGCCGCAGGGGAGTGGTGCAACACCTGAGAATCCGCTCTGCGCACGCCGCTCGGAATAGTATCATGACCAGGAGACCAGTATTTGTCAGGCTGCCAGCGCGTGTCGGTCACGCAGGGGCTCATCCTCTCGCTCCGCATCTGCACAGCTCCCCTAAAAGTCTAGTCCACGATACCCGCACCGCCGTACCGTGAGCCGAGGCTTTATGCTGCCACGTCGGCAGTATGGCCCGCAAGGGAACTGGCCATAAAGCGTTGGGTACGAAGACGACTTCGCCCGAAGCGGCCACCACCAGGCTTGTTGGGAGGCAGCGATGCCCGACTTCACCGCAAGCGTGCGTCTCCTGCGCGCTCTCTCAGCTCTTTCTCACGGCCGGTCTCTGACCTCCTTGCACTAGATCACGTCGCCGATGGCTGTGCTAGTGGGGACCGGGATGTTGAGGCGTGCTGGGGCTGAGTTTGGGATGTGCAATGTTATATCAGGCCTTCGTGAGCCAATCGTCAATCCGGCACGGCGTTCCTGCGGATTAACCAGCATCATGGCGTTTCCTCCTTTCACCTGATCCTTCCGACCCAGGCCAATTTGGGACAGCTGATGACTCTGTTCATAACCAACTCCCAGCGCAGCTGATGGCCTCTGACGATACGTCACATCCCGCGCCGCTATGCCCGCTCGATTTGGAATAGCCCACGATAGCGGAGTGATGGGTCATCTTCGCCCCACTCATGTACGCCGCTCGTTCATGGTTTGGAACCTTGACGGATACTCTTCCAGGCCGGGAGACCATGCAGCATGACCTTTTCTCCTCAGTGGTGCCCATGTCGAGAACAGTGATGACCGGGATGGCACTAGGGGCCAGCGTTGGTTTTTCCCCCAAAGCAGGTGGCGCCGCCCTTGATCGAGTCCCTCACATGTGTATCCCGCGCGTCCCGTTCGCCCTTCCCGACTGCTGCCGTGGGCCCAGCCAGACACGGGCGGGCCCGCATCGCCCCCTCTGTGACGGGTTGCACCCAACGCTGAAAATCCGTCGCCTGCCCCGGTGGAGACGTGCCGCGCATGGAGCTGGCCTTCTTTCCCAGTCTGGATAACGAGCGGCCGAATGAGGGAATATCGCAGGGAGGTGGATCTTGCCTCCGTGGTCTAGATGGCTGACCCGCGACTTGTCCACGAACGAGCTCTGGGGCGGTGTCGACACGCGACGATCGGCCTCACGGTGGGTTCCAGCACGCCGATTGATGCCTCCTGGCTAGGGAGGGGTATGGCGCGCGCGCATCACGGCAGAGGAGGCTTGCCGTCCACGACCATCGTGCCTGCCTCCCTCGCCCATCGCCACAGCCTGTGCTCGCGACATGTCGACGCTGGCGATGCCCGGGGGCCCTTGAAGTTCCAGTCGCTCGGGGAGGTCATGCTGCGAATCGATGTTCGTAACTCACGCTCGGTAGCGATGTGGGGCGCGGCGGCGGTGTTCTCGTCCTTTTCCGATGTGACATTCTGTGCTGCGAGAGGGTCGGCGGCAGGTGTCGTCGGCGACAGATGGTAGTGTTGGTCGTGTGCATGGTGTTGGTCGTGTGCATGGTGTCGGTCGTGTGCGTGATGGTCGAGGAGCGGCAGGAACAGGGTGTGCCGTGAGTGGCCGTGCGGTGCTCCCCGCGCAGGGGTCCGTCGCCCAAAAGGGTGCGCCCGGTTCCGGATGCAGATCCGCCGTCGCCGCCTTTATAGCTTATAAATTAATCCTTATAAAATAGGATAGGTAGTAATAAGCCTTATTAGCTAAGCTTTAAGTTAAGTATTTTTTAAAGCTAACTTATTTACTTATAAGAAAAGGTAGGTTTATTAAATAAGCTTTAGGTCTTTAGAATTAATAATCTAAAGTCGGTTTAAAGAAGATTATATTATTATTCAAACTTCGTACGGATTATTAAGTCGTACTCTATTGTAATTAAAGTTTTACGGGAGCGTCTTTTTATTAATTTAGTAGGTAATTATAAAACCTTAGAGGTTATTAAATTATTTAAATCTTAGCTACTATTTGTTATAGTAATAAAGGTTTAGTTCTACTAAAGGACAGAAGGTCTAGCTACTAAATAAACTAAGTGCCAAGAACTTAGGGTTTACAGGTTACTTCCTTACTAGCCTGTCGGAGGTGAAAGGCCGCGGGTCAATCCTGACATGTTCTTACAGGGCTGTATCTGATCATCTCCGCGTCTGTGCTTTCAATGTCTCTCCCGGGCGGACTTACAACACAAATACAATGACGCGAATACTTTTGGTACCTGCGTCATCGGCATCACGTCCACCTAGCACGAACACACGACCACCATGGCTTTTGCAACATTGCTTACTATCCTCTCAGAATTGTGTTCATCTGATTTAAATCACCCGATCTGAAGCTCACCAAACCCCAATCCCTTCAAGTCCAGAACAATGCTACAACCATGGGCTTTCGTGAGCCCTGCCTCGCGCGGCATTGGCTTTGAGCTTGCACGCCGCCTGCTCGCCACCACCGATGTTCCTGTAGTTATGACGGCGCGGAAAAACCTCGACAAGGTCCGCGAAGAGATACTTTCTGCAGCTGGGAAGGACGTCAAGGAGGACAGGCTACACGTATTGGAGCTTGATGTACTAGGTAAGGCCACGCAAGAGCTTCGTCGGACCCTCTGAATCTCCGAGAAGAATATGGACGATGATCTGAGAATTAGCATTTGAATCATGCTGACTTTGCCGACAACAGAGGAGGCATCCGTGAAAGAGGCAGCCGCCCGTGCCGCCGAGCTCTTCCCAAAGAAATCCTCATACCTCCACCTCGCCTTCGCCATCCCGGGCATTCTCCACGCCGAAAAGTCCCCCTCACAAATCGACTACGACAACGCCCTGCTCACGTTCCGCACAAACACCCTCGGCCCATTGCTCCTCATCAAACACTTTTCCGCCTTCCTCCCCAAGAAAGCCACCGAAATTGCCACCGGAAGCAACAGCGCCTCTCCGTCCTCGACACCATCGGAGAAGAATTCCAACCCAGCCTCAACAACCGAAGAAGGCCAAGACAGCAAAAAGCCCGGATCCACCAGCTCGTCTCCCTCCTCAAGCAGCTCCTCCTCAGAATCCCTCTCCCGCGGCCTCCCTCCCACCGCCGTCTGGGCCACCATGTCCGCCCGCGTCGGCAGCATAAGCGACAATCGCGCAGGAGGCTGGTACTCCTACCGGGCCTCCAAATCCGGCGTCAACCAGATCACCAAGAGCTTTGACCAGCACCTCCGCGCCACAGCCGGTGATCGGGCCATGGCTATCGCGCTACACCCCGGGACGGTCAAGACGGGGCTGAGTAAAGGATTCTGGGAGAGCGTGGGCGAAGATAAACTGTTCACTGCTGAGGATGCTGCGGGCAAGCTGATCAACGTGGTGAACGGGCTGGGTGTCGAAGGAAGAGGACGATGTTGGGACTGGAAGGGAGAGGAAATTATGCCTTGATCGGTGAAGGTGAGGGATTTCGTTGTGTTGTCGACGATGTATATGCACATTGTATCGATAAAGCTTGTGATAAGTTCACCAACCTTGTTTTCCAAGAACTCGACCGAATGAATTAACATTATCATCATACATAAGATCATTGCTCTCTTGTATCATCTCAACCTCCATCTCCCCACGCCCCCTTCCACATCTATCTCTTCGATTCCACCTCTATTTATTTGTTCAGCTCCTCGCTCCTCTTCTTCAACGCCTCCTTGCTCTCCGGCTCTCCAAGCTGCTCGGCGTTGACAAGGGCAGGGCCCGGCGTGGCATGGTGTTCCTGAGCGGTGGCGAGGGTTCTGGGTTCATCACTCGCACCTGCACTCGCTTGCTGCTCCTTCTGGGCCTTCTGCTCGGCGGCTTTCTTGTTCTCGACCATGAGGCGCTCGGCCATTTCTGTTTGTGGAGAGGGAGGGTTAGAGAGGGTGAGCGTTGGGGAGGGGATGAGGGTCGAGGAGGAAGACGGTACCTTTGTTGTGGGTTGGGAGGACGGGCATGTTGGCGGATGTTGTGAGAGGATTTGGATGGATGGATTTCAAGGTTGGATTTCGGTAAGTTGGGTATGTTGTCGTCTCTTAGGAGGTTTGGAGGAAAGATGAAGACTGAGGAGTTAGAGCTGTGTATTTATTTGTTGGATTGTACTTTGCTTTGTTTTAAAAAGCAGTTGCCTTGCCGTGGACAGTCGGTAACAATGTATACCTCAGACAGTGACCCCTCAGACACTGTGTGATCGCCGTAGTGTCGGACGGTAATAACAAATGACCATGAACTGCCCGCCATCATTAATAATAACATCGACAATCGTCATACAACCACCTGCATCATCGTACATAACGTGCCTGGAGGGAGTACCATCCATTCATGAATCATCAATCATCAGGCGAACGGAGCTTGGAATCTTATCATGCGTGCCCCATGCGTCATTTGTGCGGGGTGAGAGTTTCCCCTAGAACGCGCAAATGACGTGCAGTAGAAGATAGTAACAAAGAGGGCCAATCACTTAACGCCTCAGGCATCTCATTCAGCCTTCTTTCCCGTCTGTGCAATACTTAGTGAACTGCTCTGGGATGCGCCTCCAACAATTCCGTGGCTCCATTGTCAAGGAAATGACGGAAAGCGCATACCGTGGAAGACCCTCCGAGGCGTGTGTCGAATCGATCATGCGAGCATTTACGGGAAACGGGGACGATGGATCGTTGCTGAGCTCCTCCTCCCGCTCTCATTCCACGCGCGCAGTCATCCCACGGTCGACCCATGCATTGACTTTCCGCCTCTAGGAAAAAGGGCGTTATTCGTGGGGTTGAGTTTCGCGATCACATGCGTACCCAGGTGTCGAGGTCCTTTTCTTCTGCAGATGACATGGAACTCTTTTCGAACGGTTGACGAGGCTCGCATGCACTGAGATTCACGACAATGTTCAATTCGAAAGATTGGAAAGAATGAGTGTTGATTTACTTTTCCCAGCTGGCTATGAGTAAGGCTGTCCCATCATTCCCTCCTTTTTTTAAAAAAGGTTTGATCAAGATTCGAAAAAGGGCATGATCCTCGCCGCCCGCCACCTGGTCGTTTCTCTTCTTCAATTCGTCGTCGTCATCATCATCGTCATTGGTGAACCGGTCTGTCGACGACACCAGGCGCAAAACATGTGCGAGATTGTCGAATCTTGCCGTTGAGGTTCAGGCGAAGTGCGCTGCATTTACTATATGATGGGACAAGACCCGGTTAGGATTCGTGTGTTGATTGGCTTGGTTGGGATCGTGAGAAGGGACGGGACGTACGCAGTTGCACTTGCCGGCCTCGCAGGAGCAAGAGTCAGAGGAGCAGGATCCGCAGCCACCTATCATTCGGAGAGAGTAAACGTTAGCGTGACAGGTCCTCGAAGAATGTTGTTCCAAGCTGTGTGGGGAATGGGATGGGTGAGATGGGAGATGAGAGCCATGTGCGGACGAGGCAGGCTACCACATGGCAGCCACGAGATCCTCTTGTGTCCTCGAATGATCTGGAGAGAGAAAGAGAGAGAGAGAGAAGCCTGAGGCGGTGATAGGGTGAAGGAGGGAGCGTACCCATTTTGATAGAGTTTTGCCTTAAAAAGGATTGGTTTGGGTAAGAAAGTGTGTGGTAGATTTGGTCGTTGATTGGTAGATAGTCGTTGGTGAAGAGAGAAAGAGAAAGAAAAGAACCTTGATGGCCGGAGAGGATGGGTGTTTATATAGACGACGGTCATGCCCTTTGCCGCTCCTGAGGTTTGCCTTCTTTCTACAATCTGTATCTATCTCTGGTACCTTTACCCAGCATGGCGTCGATGCTCGAGCTTGAGGGACTATTGCCGTATGCATCCGCTTGGCATTACTGATAAGCGCGCTCGTCGTTCCGGAAGACCGACGACGGCTCGGTCGAATCTCACGCCAGGATTCCTTGTCCAACGTGACTTATCTCCTCCACCAGGTGCCTGCTCGTCTGCATTTGGTTCGAAGGCAGTACGTACAGTGGACCTCCTGCTGGAACACGATCGAACGGAAATCCCACGTCCTCGTCCAGGAGCTTATCAGGCAGGGAGGGAGGCGAGATGCAACACAGTTCTCCACTATTTCTCTGTCTCCACACACACACACACATATATATATATATGCGGCCTCGTCTGGCAAGGTACACATCAGTTACCAGATCCGGCGAAGCAATCGACGTTCAACTCAGGTAGAGACGCAAACGTGGGAGAGCGAATCATCGAAAGCGAAGCACATGTCAGCATGATGAGAGCTGCATAAGCTCCTCCACCTCCTCCTCCACCTCCTCCTCCTCACCAGCTTGGTTCACGCGGGCGACAACCCATATCAGCGCAGGATGGTTATATCACCACTCTTCTTGCACAAAGGCAAGCCTAGAGCGACCAAAATTTAGAGTCATCTGGATGTGATACAACGCACATAACACGGCACAACAACTATCGTTTGTTACTTGGGTTTGCCGGGTGCATCGGCGAAGGTTGCAAGGGTGCAGTGAAAACCGTTCGGCGGCTTGCATTTCTTCATCGAGGGCAAGACCTGCCGGGGTTATTGGTAGACGTGCATAGTACATTGTGACAAGGCGTGCCTGCAGGTGTGAAGCAAGTAGCTTTTCCATGGGGAGGTCCACGAATGTATCATGTGGTATTCTGCCCCCATTCTAAGGTTCTTACCCTTTCTACAAGGCCAGGTCATGTTCGGCACTAAAGACGACCCGGTTCCTGCCAACGCATACCCAGAGCTCTCGATTGGAGGCGCTTTATCAGCCGAGAGCCTTTGCTGTTCCTGAAAAATATGGAAGCGTGATCACCTGTTCTTATCGCTGGTGAGGTTGTGACTAGGTAAGTATGTCCAGGTGTGCATGGAGTGGAGTTGGTAAGCTACGGTCCGGCACGGCGCGGACGAGAGAGATGAACCACGCTATGAAACGACTACGAGAAACGACAAGATCACTGGAAACGACTTTCAATAAAGTGTTCACAACAACGTTTTTCTGTGGTTTTTTGAGATTTGAGGCGTGTGAAAGCAATGAGTCGAATAGTACAATTATATTATGATGACTGACTCGAGTAATTCCTATCGACAACATGGCAAGTCCCTCGGGTTCACTGGAAAGGAATATCATACATGCGGTGTGACCCAGAGTGCATGAATGCGTTGTCCGAGTGCTCCACGACGAGCAGCACGGGCAATGCGTCGAACAAGTGGGTCAAAGTACCCGGTCCCAGTCGACATGTATCAAATGGGACGCCTGGTTTTCCGGTCGAATGTATCGAAAGGCAATGTTCGGCGAGGAAACTCGCTCAATGATGCTCGTTGGTGAGCGATGGGTTGTCGTCGGGAGCTGCCGGCGCTAGTGAGACGTGGGGTGCGACGTTGAGTTTGGCTTGTGTCGTTCCGAATCCATCTTTATGGCAGGCGGAAATCGCGCAATGAGCGAAGTCAAACATCTGTCTGGATAGCCATGACTTCTCGGCAATCGCGATCGTTCCAAGGGACCTCAGAAACAGCCTCCATCTCGAAGTCGACCCAGCAGAATTTCAACAGGTTTCTCACTCAGAATCCCATCAATCTCCTCACCCCCGTACCCCGCCTGGTCCAGCTCTCCCCAAATCCCACCTCCACAATCCCCCGCGCCGCCAGCCACGCTCCGATCCCCATGGGATAATCCAACGCAGCCGGGATAGCCGTCTTGATGAGCGCCGGGTAACGATCCATACACACGCTCTTTGCGTTGCACAACCCGCGCAGACCCTCATCGCCGGCGAATCGGCCATAGCCGCTGCCGCGCACGCCGCCGAACGGTAGTTGGACCACGTAATACGAAGCGATGTCGTTGACCGCCACCATTCCTGTATTCACGCCGCGCGTGACCTGGGCTAGCTGGGCGCGTGCAGCGCGTGAGTTGGTGGGGCCGAACACGCTGCAGCCGAGGCCGTATTCGGTGCTGTTGGTGATGGTGACGGCGTTGATGGAATCCGTGGCTCGCATGAGAAGGCAGACTGGGGCGAAGAGTTCCTCCTGAGCGATGCGCATATCAGGCGTAGCGTCGACGAGCAGAGTTGGTGTGAAGTAATGACCGGCTGGGTACTTGGGATTGTGATAACGTTTGCCACCAGCGAGCAGACGAGCACCTTGCGATTGGGCATCCGCGATGAGCTTTTCGAGGCGATCGAATGCAGCTCCCGAGCATTGCATGGCTCCGACGTCCACTGGATTGTGGTCGCTATCTGGATCCAGATCGTCGCCGATACGGAGAGCGTTGACTCGTGGTTCCAACAGCTTTACGAGTGTCTCGTACGCTCCTGGCATGGCAACCACTCGCTCGATACCGACACAGTTTTGGCCACCGGATTGGAATGAACCTCGCATGATCATACTAGCAATTGTTTTCAGCTCACCTTGCGACATTGCGCGGCCATCTGGACCATCGAGCACGATCGCCGCATCTTTACCGCCGAGCTCGACGCAAAGAGGAGTGAGCACCTTGGATGCGCTTTTCGCGACTTCGTGTGCAACAGGGCGACTGCCAATGAAGGTCAAGTGACTGATTCCTGGATGCGAGGTGAGATATTCCGCCGTCTGCGGCCAACAAGTGACCGCTTCGACGAGGCATGGGTCATGACCACAAGCCTTGAGTGCGTGTTGCACTATGGAAATGAAGTATACCGAAGACCAGGCCGTGAGCTCACTGTTCTTGATGATGACTGCGTTGCCGGCGAAAAGTCCGCTGATGATGGGTCCCATCAGATTATGGAACGGGTAACTAAACAATGCCTCAACGATCAGCTCCACGTCCGACAGCTACACAGCCATCATGTTCAATACGCACTTCCAACTGACACAAGCTGCGATGACTCCGAGAGGCTCGTAGTGAATTTCGTTTTGTTTGTAAAACATCATGAGATTCGTGGGCCTCCGGTCGGGGCGTAATGCAGCCTCGCCATGCTTGATCGTCCATTGTAACTTTACGGCAGTGACCAGGACTTCACCAAACATGGCATCGACTCGAGTTTTACCACTGTCACGACATGCTGTGCGAACAATTTCATCCTGGTGATCTAGCATGTACTTGAGAAGGGTCTGTAGCACCTGGCGGCGCTGAGAAAAGGTGGTTTCCCGCCATTTCGCTTGAGCTGCAGACGCCTTTGCTACGATACGATCGAGTCCGTCAGGTGTTGTTGGATTGACGAGGCCCAAAAGTTGCCCGGTTGCGGGTGCGTAGCATTGTATAGCAGTCGAGCCTTGCACCTTGATGGACGGTGGGTCAAGCTGTCGGCCCTGCCAATCAGCACGACTCGCTTCAGGGGCTGGGACGGTAAAGTCGACTGCGCGCTCTTGTGATGTTGTTCCAAAGACGAAGTTGTAGAAAACGAGAGTCAAGACGGATCCGATCGCCAATGTCAAGATGGTCCCGGTCACGGCTGGTCCGCCATGCTGGCCATCGAGCACGCGATTTAACGCATCCATTTGACACTTTTCTGAGATAACGTGACCTTGTGGATTATCGCTGCACGAGAGGCCAAGATGGAAAGTTGCCCGAGTGGGTTCGTCTGGAGTTGAGATTTCCATGCCTGAGGTTGCAAACAATTACGCAGCACAGATCGCGAACGACAAACGCCAAGCACTTCTCCCCGTCGGCTGCTGCCGCGTCCAGCATCGAGCGAGAGAGTCGCGACACGTCCTCCAATGCGCAAAAGTTACCAGCTCGTCACCCTCACGACTAGCTATCTAGTATAGCGCGACCACCAAATCTGGATATCGATCTTGTGTAGAATTCGATACAATTATCTCACAATTGTCGCTTATCGCCGAAACACCGGCGACGCGAGCGCCTCGCGTAATCCGCTTTGCGACAATTCGACACGCACGCCTTTCCAGGCTTGAAGTACCATTCTCGCTGACCACTGCGTCATGGATGGTAGTGGCTTCGCGAACGAGAACTCAAACGCGATTGGCCAAGCTTCAGACGACTTGATCCAAGCCGAAAATAGAGACTCCGAAAAGGCAACCGCAGATACGAAAAACCAGGACGCAACCATGGCTGACGACGACATGAGCAACAATGACACGGCCATCAAACAACAATCGGCCGATGGCGACATAGCTGGCGCAATCTCGGATAAGCCCATCGACGCGCCTGCAGCGCCTGCGCCAGAAGATGCCGGAGAGGATGAAGAAATGGGTGAAGCCACAACAAAAGATGGGACACCAGCAGATGCGACTACACCTGCGGCTCCTAAACCAGCCGTGGAGCAATCCGCGCGCTCACATCTCATCGATCAGAACCACGCCATCATTTTACCATCATACAGTGCTTGGTTTGACATGCACGATATTCATTCGATCGAGCGCAAAGGCTTGCCTGAGTTTTTCAACAACCGCAACCGGAGTAAAACGCCTGCAGTGTACAAGGACTACCGCGATTTCATGGTCAACACATACCGCTTGAACCCTGCGGAATATCTCACAGTGACCGCATGCCGGAGAAATCTTGCTGGTGACGTTTGCGCCATCATGCGCGTGCACGCCTTTTTGGAGCAGTGGGGCTTGATCAACTACCAGGTTTGTTGTAACTCTAGCCAAGATTATCTCTCATCAACTAACATTTTATTCTTAGATTGACCCCGACACTCGACCCTCAAACATCGGTCCTCCATTCACCGGTCATTTCCGCATCACCGCAGACACTCCACGAGGCCTGCAGCCACATCAGCCTGCGCCTGGAAGTACCGTCACTGCAGGCAAACCACATCCTAGCACCGACCGTCTCACTGCTGGAGGCAAGGTCGATCTCACCGCAGAAGTTCGCCGCAACATCTTTGACGACAAAGGCAAGGATGTTACACCAGCAACGGCAGAGGGAGCTGACGGGAGCTTGGAAGAGAATTTGAAGCAAGACAGCAAACAAAACTTTTGCTACTCCTGTGGCAAGGATTGCTCGCGCGTACGTTATCACAACGTGAAGAATCCTCCGGCCACGACAGCCACTCCTAAGCCGAACAAAGCACAACGTTACGACTTGTGCAGTCTTTGTTTCCAGGAAGGACGCTTTCCCAGCTCGACCACAGCTGCCGACTACGTAAAGCTCGAGAATGAGAAATACCAGAGTCTTGGAGACAAAGAATCGCCATGGGGAGATGCTGAACTCCTATTATTGCTCGAAGGACTGGAGCTTTTTGACGACAATTGGGAGTCGGTGGCTGAACACGTAGGATCACGGACCCGTGAAGAATGTGTTTTGAAATTCCTCCAGTTGGAGATCGAGGACAAGTTCGTTGACGATCCGGCCACCACTGCTTTGGCAAGCAACGGAAACGCCGCGCCTGACCTGACCTACCTTTCAAATGGCAGACTACCTTACAGCCAATATGACAACCCAATTATGTCGGTCATGGGCTTCCTCGCAGGTCTGGCAGACCCCGCCACAACCGCCAAAGCCGCGGGCCGAAGCGTGGAAGAGATGCGCCGGACGATGCGAGCGCGCCTCGAAAGCGGCTCCAAAGCCGACGACAGCCAAGACAAATCCTCCGAATCAGTCAAGAACGAAGCCTCCGGCCAAGGCGACACTTCCATGGACGTCGATTCCAACACCGCCCTCGCCACATCCTCTTCCACCACCAACGACCTCGCCACCACCGCTCTATCTCTCACCGCCGCCCGCGCCGCTGCCCTCGCCTCCCACACCGAGCGCCAACTCACCAACCAAGTCTCCGCCGCCGTCAACCTCCAGCTCCAAAAACTCGAGCTCAAACTCTCCCACTTCGCTGAGCTTGAAGCCCTCCTGCACGCCGAGCGCCGCGAAGTCGAGCGCATGCGCCACCGCCTCTTCCTCGACCGCCTGGAATTCCGCCAACGCGTCCGCGAGGCCGAAGAGAAATTCGCGGGCTTCCGCCTCGATGGACCCAAGGCTGGCAATGGGGCCCTCGGGCTTGAGAAAGCCGGCGCTGCTTCTTCGTCGGCTGCTGATGTGGAAATGTATGCCGAGGGCTCCGAGGGGTTCATGAAGCATGAGATCTGAGCTTGCATTACAAACGGTTCATGACCTCGTGATTTAGGCCCCTGTGGAGAATTGTCTTCGTGCTGGACGTTTTGTGTCGTCGCGTCTGCTTCGAGTTCCCCCTAGCCGAGCGATTGAGTGTCTATCGAGTGACTGCGTCAACATCACGAGGCCGGGCTGGCTGCCAACCAGCGGCTATATTTGTGCCTCGAGGAGGGAAGGAGGCCGTCGTTCCGGTATGAAAAGATTTGAATTCGTTTTGAACCTGCAGTGGGGGACTTGCATGAAGACGGAGATGGCGCGAGGTGCCCATGCGCACGTCCTGGGGGGGAAATGCTCAGATGAAAGGAATCCTGTTGCGATTTGCTCGGCTTGTAATTTCTTCGTGTGTGTCTGGTGGGATGTTTCTCCCTATCAATTATTATGTTCGTTTTATAGGGGCGTTTTCTGCGTTGTTTCTCTGTAACCTTTTACAATGCAAAGATCGTTGTTATGTAAAGCTTCGCGTCATGATAAGAGTGTGTTTCCCGTGAATCCTTCTAAGTGGTAGAGCAATATCATGCTAAAGAGGCTAAGAAGACATGATGGACACTCATGATCGTTCGTGTGATTTCTCTTTGCCCCTAGCCATTTAACGCTGGAGTCGCTAAATACAAATTCTAGGTGATGTTGCAATGTTGCAAAGGCGGTGCGTCACAGGCATTCTTGCGAAGCTTTCCCATACCATCCGGCGAACAGAAGTCCATCCCTGCCACTCTTTCTTCTACGCTTGATTCCGTTTACTTGAACAAGGCGATGATCTCCTCCACTTTCAACTGTGTCTCCTGCTCTCTCTTCTCCTTCCCTTTGAGTCCCGAAGCCTTTCCAGACTTTCCACCATCGATGGTAATCTCCGCCATCTTACGTTTCTTCTGCGCCACTTTCCGGACCATCTCTTCCACGCTGTTGTTCATGACGAAATAGGTGATTCGCACGGGACGCGTCTGTCCATAACGATGGAGGCGATCCGCGGCCTGGTCTTCCACGCCGGGATTGAAGCCTGGGTCCATGATGTACGCTCGGTTGGCGGCTGTGAGCGTGAGACCTTGGCCGCCGGCTTGAATGCTGACGAGCAAGACACGGATGGAGGGATCGCTGCGGAATTCTTTGAGCACGGCGCCGCGCTTTGAAAGGCTTAGGGTGCCATCGAGACGGAGATGTGCGATGCCTTCGCGCGCGAAAGCAAAGGAAATGAGATCGAGGATCTGTGTCCACTGGCTGAACACAACGGATCGGATTGGTGGCTCGCCGCGTGGAAGCTCAGCAGATTCTTCGGCTGAGCGCTTGATCTCTTCGATCAGAGCGCGGACCTTAGTATGTGGACCGGAGTAGGTTTCTGGAGTCCATTTGGCATTTTTAGTCAGTCGCTGAGGATTCTGGCGGAGATGACCGAGACGCTGGCGAGTGCTCTTGCGGAGCTCGATCAGTCCGATAGGTCTGTACGCTTCACAGCTTGGACAGGTGTAATAGCCATCTTGAGTTGGTGACAATTGATATGTGGAAGGATCAGCTTTGCACCGTCTGCAAACGAAATGTAGACATGGTGTGAGATAGCCGATGATGTCGTCATCATCTGGGCTATCTGAAGGGGATCCTCCGTCGACATCGTCGTCGTTTTCACCCTTCTCATTGCCGATCTCGCGATCGCAAGACATGCAGTTGTTCAAGTCGGCGCTTTTCATCACCTCCAACTCCTCGTAAGCCTGGTCTTGCGTAAGGAAATCGTCACCTCCCTGCATCTCAGGTTCATCGCCAAGATCGATCATCGAGATGGCTGTCTCAGCTGTGTCACCCTCAATTTCTTTCATATCCTCCTCACTGAGCATTTCACGGCCATGAGCAGAAATGGCACGCAAGTGATACAAAGACCTGAACACATGCGAACGTGCCACGGCCTTCGGAGACCGCTTGTCAGCGGAGGTCATTACGCGAACGTGGACACCTAGCTTGGTAAGAAATGCTTGATAGAGACTTTGCTCTGCAGGAGTAAAATCGAGTCGAACGACTTGTTCTTGAAGCGGTGGAAGATCGATCTTGCTCTTCAGGCGGCGGAGAGTGATACTTTTGACGATAAGTTGTAACTGCTTGACCGCATTCGCGTCTCCGAGCTTGAGAGGAGCCATGATGTATTGTTGCCAGACATTGATTTTGTCAAAGGGGCGGAGCTTCAGGAAACGAATGAGCGCGCCCATGTCATTGAGGTAGTTCTGCATTGGCGTTCCTGAGACCGCCCATCGCCGCTCGGCTTGGATTTCGCAGCATGCATTGAACGTGTTTGACTTCTGGTTTCGGATCTGATGCGCCTCATCAAGGACAATTCGAAACCAATTGACCAATGCCAGTGCTTTCTTCGGTGCCTTCTCATTGCCCCATTCCGTAGCGACTGTGTTGTAGGTGGTCAAGACAATGTCAAACTTGGCCAGCTCGTGCGTATACTGCATGCGCGATGCCCCGTGATAGACGTAAACTCTGAGCTTCCCGGGGGTTACATGCTTTTTGATTTCATCGTCCCAACTCGAAAGGACGGACATTGGACAGATGATCAAGGTCCCACGACCATTGCATTCAGTGTCTAAGCCATCGGACTCCACTCGTCTGTTTCTAAAACGTTTGGCATCACCATGGGTACTCGCGATCAACGCAAGAATAGACAATGACTTGCCAAGACCCATCATGTCTGCCAGAATGCCGCCTTGCAGCGGTTTTGGCTTTTCAAGCACCTCTTCGCCAGTAATGACGTGGCACCAAGCGGTTCTGCCATTATTCTTTGGCTTGTGCTTCCAGAGCGAAGCTGAGCCCCCAGCCTGGTAGTCCACATTGTCGGCGTCTTCATGCTGAGTGAGAAAATACAGTCCTTGCTTTTGATGGGGCAAGAGTGGCGTCGTGATGTAGGCACTATCTGCTTCGACCTCTGGGAGGTCAGCTGCCTCTGCAAGCTGATCGAACATATCAGATGTTTCTCGACTGATCTCTTCTGCGGTGCGCGTAACATACGATGCTGCATTTGCGCCTTTTCCAGACTTGCCTGCAACTGTTCCACTCTTTGTGATGGCCTGATATACCTGAGGTTCGTGTGGGTTCACGACTTGCCTATTGACGTCAACTCTTGGGTTGCTGAGAAAAAGTTGGTGTCTAGATAGATATTGACCGAGGTTGCGGCCCAGCTTTCGCGGACAGAAGACTGTAATCTCGGTCTTGAGTGTCAGTGACACGCCGTCTCCGATGGATTCGCCTGGCGCACGAGGACGATTAAGCAGCATAAGAGTATATCTCGTCTTGTTCATTTGATTTCCTTCGATGATCGGGCCGAGCACTTGAGCCACACGCAGTTCAAGTTTGCCAAAGCGGTTTCCTTTGCGGTCGCGAACAAATATGACGTTGTTTTTGGCAGGTGGTAGAGATCGATCTTCGAGCGTGATCCTCGTCGGTGGCCAGAAGTCTTTTCCGACCAGCCTCGCTCCCTGGACAGAGACATGGGGAACCCGGTGCGCGTTAATCGTCGCATTCAGGACTCCAATGCAGATCTCATCGTCCTCAGAAACATTGTTGACGGCAGTGACAACAACATCGTCATCTTCAGCATTATCCGCGGTCAAGTCAACTGTGTCGGAGGGAGGTGGCATTTTGGCAATGGCCTTTTGCCGCTCATCGCGTAAGTGGTCACTAATGATACCGCCGTTCGAACCACCATTGAAGGTCGATTTGGCCCGTTTGGCATCATCAGCTTCAGTAGTATCACCATCAACGGCTACAATCTTCCGCTTTGTCTGAGGAACTTCAACGCGCTCAGTGACATTGTGTAGCCGTTCAATTAGACTGGCCATCCCAGGACCATCTGATGGTGCTTCCACGGACGCGGTATCGTTGCTGCTGTTATGGTTGACAGGTTCGGCATCAGCGCTGGCGGTAGCTGATGAAGCGCCCTTGGGATTGAGCAGAGCGTTTGCGTTCATCGGCTTGCGTGATTGCTTGGGTCCTGAATAGAGTTAGAGGTGATGGCCAAGCGTTGGTCAGGATCGATGGTGCTGAGATTGTATCGAGGAGACAATGAGAAAGCGATGAGGTTGTATCGAGAATGCAACAAGAAGGCGATGAGAAAATGATCGTGAAATGTTGCAAAAGAGTCAAGTGACCAACAAAAAATCAAATCGTGTCACTCATGGAGCTCAACCAATTTCACAAGCAAATTCCAAGCCTTTCACAAGCAAAGCTTCGCTTCATCTCCTGGTTGAGGCTTCCGACCAATGCCTCTCCAACCTATCATTTGCGAAGGAATATATGGCAACATACCATAATTTGGAGTCTTTGGACTCGCCTTCTTCCCTTTGGCGAATGCCTTGGGATTGAGCAGCTGTGCGGGATTCATCTTGTTGAAAGTTGGCTACGTTTATATCTCAAATGCGAAGGGTCGACGTGGTGAGAATGTGACTAGGTCCTTGGAGACCACATTCGTATATCGATATCGACGGCAAGAGCGATGTAGACGCTGTGATGTCCTTGTTGAAGGAGGAAAGAGTGAGATGAGGCGACGATCAATGACATGTCACGATCTAGGATCGGAATTCAATTCATGTTGGAAACGTAACAAGGTCTTCGCTGTTAGAAAGATCAAAGGACATCTTGTTCCCGTATTTCTCGTGTTCTTCTGCCCCGTGGAGATGATGGAGAACGACCGCCTCTCTACATATCGAAATCTGGGAATGTTCAAGGGGAAGAGTAATGATGCGTCTTAGGGTACGATCAAGGTGGCCAGCCGCGCTTTCCGTAGCAGGCATCAGTACGGCAGACCATATCTCGACAGCGACATCATGGACAACATCGCTGCCGACACCAGATATTATGCGAATATAGCATTGTTGGATTTGTACATGTCTATATATTCCTTCATAATCTTCGTCAACAACAGCATACTTCTTTCCCTCAGATCACCGCCTAAACCCAGCCTGAATATCCGCCCTCGAAAAGTCTACCTCAACGCTCTTCTCTCCATCCATGGGTGGATAACACTCCCTAATCAACTTCTCTACCCGGTCCAGCGTGAATCCATAGAATCTCTCACACTCCTTGTTCACCAACGCAATAAGACCACGCGCCAGAGCCTCTTCGTCGCCGTCGCCGAAATGCTTCTCGATCCGCTTACGTAGCGTGTCGATTCCGCGACGGATTTCCTTGGCTTCGTAGAAGGCGAGGAGATGGCGGAAGGATTTCCGGTTGTAGGACGGTCGCGAGGTGAAGCTGGTGTCACCTGCATCGCGAAAGGAATCGGTGGACTCGAGGAAATCCTGTGGATCGCGTCGTTAGTTATTGAAAGTTGAGATCGGGGTGAGGGGCATGCGTGGGAGAGAGAGAGACAACTTACCAATATTTTTCCCAAGGGCCGTTTCGCAACACGTTCAATGTAACCTTTCAGTGCCTCGGCTCGCTCCATCAATGCTCTTGCTTTCCAGCTGGCTAAGACGCCTTCTCGAGCGCCCTCGTCCACTTCCTCCGCGTAGTGGTTCATATTCTCGATCATGAGGACTTCATAGTTCAACATCTCCTTGTCCTCGGTATCATCACCAGGTAAGGCCGCGGCGCGGACCTGCTGCATCGCAGATGATGCCATGGATGTGCTGGGAGCCGGAGCCGCAGCAATCACGAGACCGGCACCAGTCGGGTTCTGTTTGGCGATGGCTTTGAGACTGTCGAACATGGCGCGGTTGATGCGCTCGTAGGCGTCATCGACTAATCTCCGGACTTCGACGACGCAATCATGCGGACCGTCATAATCACGACCCGCGATAGTTGCGAAGCAGGTTTCTACTGCGGCGGAGAAAAGGGGGAAGATCTTCATGAAGGAGATGACACCTTTGCGCTTTTTGATTTTGACTTTGGTGTCTTCGATGGCGCGGATTTGTTCTTCGACAAACTTGCCGAAGCGGGATTGAAGGCGGGTGAAGAGACTGTCGACTAGTTTGAGGAGGTACTCTTGGCTAGAATCTTGGAGGTAGAAAGTATGTTTGCTGAGGCTGGCCATGATACCCACCCCTTGCAAGGGATCTTCGGAAACGGCCCAGTCGAGCATGGAAGAGAGATCGTTGGCAAAAGGCGAGTAGATGTCGTTGATTGTCCCAGTGACGGTGTCCGCCATGACGCGATCCGGATCGGTAGGTTTGCGCTCGAGTAGATTCGTGCCATGACGTTGGGTTGGGAGTGCCGCCCGCACGGCATCGGTAAAATCACCGTTCTCTAGGGACGTGGCATGGAAAAGGTCGACGAGGAAGTTTTGTTCTTTGCTGATCAGAGGCGCCATCTCATCAATGGCACCTGCAAAGGCGGCAGCGCGGATGATTGCGCCAGGCTGTCGATCTATTGCCGGCGCATTTTTATCACCAGTAGCACCGCGGAAAGTCTTGGCAAGTGTGTGAGAGCGCTTCACTGTGATACGTTTGGCCGTAGATGTAATTCCACCACCTGTGGGAAGATCTTCCTTTTCTTGATGTGTGAACAGAATTTCCGTCTCATCACCGCTTGGAGCACGAGCCGCACGTTTCCAGTCCGAGATGTTTTCGCGGAAAGACTCGCTGTAAAGTGGTTTTGCCCGGCTTTGGTATGCTTGCAAGGATCTCAACCATATAGGCTGGTTGATCTCCTTCATGAACAGGATAAGTGGACTATACGTCCACAGTCCGGCTCGTGCGTCGGTGAATGCATTCTCGTCTAGTCTGGCCGAGCCAGCTCGGGACGGTGCTCGCATCAGACGTGGTTTCGCCGCATTGAACGAGGCAGCGAATTTGGCTTCGAGACAGTCGAGTAATCTTTGACTGAACTTTGCGCACTCTCTTTCGTAAATTCCCTTCTTTTCCCGCAGGGCGACCATGTTCGAGGTTTCATTGTCGCCAAACGTACTTCGTGATCCGGGTCGAGCAGTCGCGTTTGAATGCAGGGTAGGATCAATGGTCAGCATGGCCTGGTACAGCCTGGTGACACAATATTCAATCTTCTCAAGCATAGTGACGTCCGACAGAGGGAGGTGCTGCAAGGGGTCCAGAGTACGACGATCTAGTGACATGGTATCTACCAAGCTCTGCAATTCTGACTGCAGCAATTTCTGGTTAGCAGATTGCACTTGCAGACCTTGAGATTGCGCTTCGATGAAAGCAATGTCGTCGTTGAGCGAACTCAATTCCACACTGTACAACGTCAAAAGACCCTCGAGCTCGTCACATTCTTCGATGGCTTTGTCAAGGAGGTTCTCGACATGGGTTACGCGTTCTTCCCTGGCCGAATCCGCTTGGGACAGCCATGATCCAGCTTCAACGCGTCCGAGCTCTCGTCGGATATCACGTTCAAGATCGATGAGCTGCTGTGGTCGAAGGATATTCGTAGTCCAGCCGAAATCAGAAAGCATAACTTCGAAGTCGATTCCCTGGCCGTCTAGGAGCTTGCTGTCAATTTCCAGCGCTGCAAGATTCTTCTCCTGATAAGCGCTTCTTCGCTTGACTTTGAGCTGTGCCTGTCGAAGTTGTCTTTGCTCAATCTTCTCTTCTGCTGCATTGGCGGCTTCAGGTACTTCTTCGTGCTGCGGCGTGGGAGGCTGAAGCCGCTGAGGATCTTCTGCGAATTCGATAGTCCTTGGAGCAGCTGCAGTTGCAGGCTCGTTCGGCGTCGTGACAGGCGTTACATCAAGGACTGGTGGGGGCTCCGGCACAACCTCTTTCACAGGTGGTGCGACTGCTGCCGGCGATTCAGGCTTCGGCTCCTGGCGAGGCATCGGTCGCGGAACCACCCCAGTGATGCCATCGGGTTCTCCATCTCGCTCTGCCTTCTGCTTAAGAATTTTCTCAGCAGCACCACCCGCTCTCGGCTTGAAGGCGCTGGCAGCGCTTGCAGCTTTCTTGAATCGATCAGCGACCATTTGCTTTCGAATCATCGGGCCTAGTCCTGGGCGGAACTGTTCCTCATAATCCGGTTTTGCGGGCGACTCCGCTTCGGGGCCAGCGGGCGGCGTTGCGACTCTGGTAGCTGCTGTAGCATCTGTAGCAACACTGGCTGTAGATGGACTGAGGCTCTCCGCTTTCTTCTGCTGTGGTGGTTCCGTTTTACTTTGCACATTCAGAGGTCGTATACTACCTGCGGCTGCTTGTTCCATAGCCTCTTTCGGCTCACTGCGAGCTGCTGGTGGCGACAGTGGCTTTTCGGAATTTACATCAGTGGGCTCTTCGGTGACCTTCCGTGCCTGCGTCAGCGGCGCTGGACGTAGATCTACAGAGCCATTCCGATCAGAGGGAGGCCGCCTCTTTGATCGCTCGGGCGTCAGTGGTGGAGCCGAATCGATCGGCACTGGTCTTGACTTGGTCACCGAGGCCTCACTTTCTTGATACGAGTGCAAGCTGCCATTTCGCTCGCCGTCTCCAAGACCAATGGATGACTCGCTAGCGGCCGTGCGAAGCCCGGCATCCGACATGCTGTTGATAGTACCGGTCCGCGAGGTGGTTGGCTCCAAAGGTGCCAAGTCGATCGTTGATGCGTTAGTACTGTTTGATTGCGATCCGTGCATGCGCCTCTCTCGAGCCGCCTGTGCAGCCTGAGTACCATTCCCTGCCGCCATTCCATTCGCGATGAACGTCTGGTCGTTTGATCGATCGGGCGGGCCATTGTCGCCTCTAAATCGTGGATCCTTTTGGCGGAGCGGGCTTGGAGGCATCAGAGGAGGGACTTGTGCCATCCCGTCTCGCCGAGGAGGTGGCGAAATTGCTTGACCATCGGGTCTTCGGGGAGGAGGCCTCGATTGTGGGCCCGCGGCCATGTCTCGTGGGTCTGGTGGCCCACGCGGTCCTGGAGGACCATTGCGAAGCTGCGCGTGTGCCTGCAAGCTATCCTGGCTCCTCATGCGGCCCGCTGGATCGCGAATTGGTGGAGGCCGACCATTTGGCGGGCCAGGCATCTGCTGAGGTTGAGGTGACGCGAATCTCGATGGTGGCCCGCTTCCAGGCAGGCTTGGGCTTGAACGGTAGCTGCTGCCATCACGATTCGGTTCCCGTGGTGCAAATGGCGGCTGGGACGGTGATGGGATAGGCGCTGGCGCCCTCGCGGCAGGACCTGGGGGTCGGTTACCTGGAGGTGGCCCTTGCGACATATTTCCACCTTGCGGTGGACCCCCAGACCCTGCCGGCTGGCCCAGACCGAGAACCAAGGCTCTCTCCTGTTCATCAAATCCTTTCAGCTCCGGAAGCCGTCCATTTGTGTATTTCCTGTAGATTTTCACAGCACTTGCAATGAAGAAGTCCTTTTCCCTGCCAGTGCCTGCCTGCCAAAAGTATGGTTTCGTAATGGTCACCGTGAAACCTTCACTCCCAGCCCATTTTCGATGCTGCGCTTCTTTCTCGGTTTGCGCAGGCGTCGGGCAATTGGCATAGGTCTCAATGGCCGTCAACTCCTCCATGTTCCACGTCTTGCCTATGCTGAAGCTTCCGTTGGCATTTTCACGCGCCTTATGCATCATGACTCTCCCAGTCGATCGCACAGAGATTATGATAAGTCGAGGTTTGCGATTTTCCGCCGGACTGTCCGGCGGCGGCGGCGACGATGGGTGTAGAGCATCTTCCTGGATACGAATGTGCGTGATGTAGCTCTCGACTAATTGACCTTTCTCATCAAGCTTGGAAAAGCATGAGTCGATGATGCGCTGCCGTTCATTGTCGAAGCGCTCGGCGCGAGACATGCCTGCTGATCCAGCAGCAGGGGAGAATGTCGGACCTGGACTGGCGCCTGCTACTTGGCCAGGTGTCGTCGACGCAGGTGTGCGCGGACGAAGGTTGGCTGGCGGAGATGCCAAACGAGCGGGATTGTCGCTGTTCACGGATGCGCCGGGGGGTGATGATGTGGGATTGGAGGCGGAGCGATATGCATTGTTGTAATTGTTGCCCGGCCGCGACATGGCTGGTTGGTTCATGCAGGGTGAATTCCGCGGTACACCCAGCGGATGACGTGAATCCGCTTTATGCTGGACACTTACGCAGTAGTATCATGTGGAGGCCGAAGCTGTCTGTTGGTTCCGACCGTTTGAGATCGATCGATGTTACTCCCGCCGACAATGATTTCGATGTTTGACTTCCAAGGTTTACTAGGAATGGGGAATTGACGACATGTGTAGCTCGTTGAGCTGCGGAATCCCACGTGCAGCGGAGCATGAGTATTCCATCTGATCTCAGGGTGAAATTGGCACGCTATATATTAATGCCCGCGGGCCTGACAATACGAAGCTCATTTCATTCCAAGGTTATTACACGCGACAATGCTGCCCTACGACGATGAATACCCTCGCACCAACTCACAAACAATGGATTCATCTATTCTTCTCATTTCGCACAAAGCCATTTTCTTCCGACTCATCGAGATACTGTAGACGCCTTCGGCGATGGGCACTCGTCATTGTATTCTGTCATTTGAAAATCCTCCTAGCAGGCGGTAAAGCCATTTCCACTCGACCTCATGGCTGATCCAACTCCGAAGGCGTTAATGACTGTGGAAGTGACTTTCAAGCACACTGACGATCACTACAGGAATATAAACTCCTACATATTCGCTTCTCTTTCGTATACATGTGAGTATTGTACATTCCCGCTAACAAAACACAATTCCGCCCTCTCCACTAAGCGCTCGCCGCTGCTGCCCTGAGGCTCTGTAATTGATTTTCGAGGTCTGCTCCGATCGTGCGTTCAAGAATCATGACGAAAGCACGCCGCTTCTTCTCATCCTCGGTCTTGCCCGCCACTCGCTCGGTGTGCAATTTCTTCCAGTGAGCCTCGAGGTCACTCTTCAATTCTTCGGCTTCTCCAGGGAGGCCAAGTTCTTTGAGCGCTATGCGAGTCTTGCCATCAACGAACGGGTAACCAGCATCCCACAGCCATTGTACTCGCCGCAAGAAAATGTTCAGGCCGGTATCCCCGAGACCCTTGATGTTTTCCTTCAGCGTCTCCAATGCAGTATCGACGTCGCCGTCGCTGTCCTCGAGCACTTTTGTCAGCTGCACGCCGTCTTTGTCTTTGCTCGATGTGAATTTCTCCAGGACTACTTTGGCGACGAGGCCAAGTTGATCGGCTGTTTTGCCCTTGTGTTGGGTCCTTGCATCCCAGAGGGCCTGGTGCCGCTTCTCGTCGCTTGCCTCGTCGATTGCGCGGGCGGTTGTGAAATTGTATGGGTTAGAGAACACGGTCCGGATTGTTCGCAAGCCCAGACGGTGCGAGATGGGTCGAGAGAGAATGATTGCGCAGACCAGCTCCTCAAATGGGGTAAATACTGAGGATGAGTAAGTCTTGATGTCGGCATTCTTTTCGATGTCATCCTTCTCGTCTTGTGGTCGCGAGAGATCCTCGGCATCCTTGGTCAAAAGAAAGTTGTATAATTGTTCTCGTGATGCTTGTCCTTTCGAAGGACCTCGACCAGATCGGCGTGAGCTTTTGTTTGACGCCTCGGTCTCTGGTTCCAATTTGCGCTTTTTCCCGGAAGCTTTCTTGGAACCATTCTTCGTTTCTTTTTCGGCGGTGGTTTCCTGTGGCTTTTCCTCTGGTACGGCGTCGATTTCTCTCTTTTTATCGCCTGCCAGGGCATCGTATTTATCTTTACCTTCGGTCTCGTCCTTCACCTCTGGCTTCGCCGGCTCGTTAGTAGCTTTTGTTTTCGACTTTGAAGATGACTTATTGGCCTCGGTCGCCCCAGTACGCTTTTTGGCTGCCATCTTCGTTCAATTTGAGTCGCAATATAATTACAATCATGCAACACAGTAAAAGAGACCTGCTTTGGTTTGTTGCGATAATTGATTTACAATGCGACCGATTGACATCGTGTAAACATCATCAAAGGAGGAATAAACTAGGAGAATGACCTCATTGCTCTCGGAATTTTGAACTTTGCCGCTTTGGGGGTTTCCACAAAGGACGAGGTAGGTTATTACAATCTCCGAACTACAATTCCAAGATCTCGATATGAGTTATTCGTACATAATTACGACTAATTAAATACCGCTGTTCGATGGCCGAGATTGTAGAATTGATTCCGAAGTCAATGCGCGCCGGATCAGCGACATATCCCATCCACGTCCCTCTGAGTGTTGACCCAATGTCCATCAAATGAGTCAACAGCTCGGTATGCAGGTCGTCCTACTTCGGACGGAGATAAAACCAGATATCTCCGAGAACATCAGTAATATTCCGAAGGAGTGCCGCGCAGCAGAGCCTGTGATACGAAGCATTAGCTTCAATCGGCTGAAAGCGTTCATATAAAGGTAAGAGAATGCATCCAGATTGCAGACTTCACCGGCTTCGACTCATTCACCGCGAGTTTCCACCATATCCACACGACCATGAGCAAATCAATCGTCCTGATCACGGGCGGTAACAGCGTACCTCGATCCGCAAAATGGCCTATGAGTTGCAACGATACTCACGATGACACAGGGTCTGGGCCTTGACGCCGTCCTGCAATTGGCGGCGACGGGCAAATACCACGTTATCATCGGAAGCCGTTCTCTTTCGAATGCCGAGGCAGCAATTGAGGAGATCGCCAAAGATGAGAGTTTGAAATTCGATCGTGCCGACGTTGAGGCTGTCCAGATCGATGTCACATCTGATGAGTCCATCGCCGCGGCTGCAAAGACCATCGAGGAGAAGCATGGCTATCTGGACATACTCATGCTGAACGCTGGTCAGCCACCTTCCTCGACGGAGTAACGACGAATTATTTACTAAATCTCCCGAACTCAGGTGTTGCTTATCAACAAGAGGCTACCACAGATGGCAGTACTCCGCCTCTCCGAGAACTATACAAATCCCATTTCGACACCAACCTGTTCGGCGCTGTCGTAGCTGTGGACACATTCCTGCCAATACTCCGGAAATCCAAAGGTCCCGTTGGTAAGCGCATTGCATTCACCTCGTCTGGCCTAGCCTCTCTTCAATGGGGTCAGGATGGTGGTCCCAATGGTGTGTATCATGCGGATCGATGGATCATCTACAGATCTACGAAGACGGCCATGAGTATGGTTGTGCAACATTATGCTGCTGTGCTTGAAAAGGAGGGTTTCGTCGTCTCATCATCAGATCCAGGCTATTGTAAGTTCCTGAAGGAAGGGAGGCCTCTTCGTGGTGGCGATGGCTGACCGACTTATGCCTACAGGTGCGACGAAGATCAACAATTACAACGGTTACAAAAGTGCGCGCGACGGAGCCAAGGAGTTGGTGAAAGCCGCCATTGGTCCCAAGGAAGAAATTCACGGGCGTACGATTGGCGAGTATGGAGTCATGCCATGGTAAATATTCAGGCACACGCCGAAAATGACGACTGTATCACACAAATACTCCCTAGTCGGAAGCTCCCTCGATGTCTTCCCAAGCTAAACCTGCCTTGAGCGCGGCCGTCAACTTTTCGCCAATGATTTTCAACCCATACTGATAGCTCGAATTCGTCCATCCAAATCTATGCAGGCAAAAATCAGCTTCAAATTCTCTCATGCGTGGGGAGAACACAACGTACCCTTCAATATTGACCCCATCAAATTTACTCCCCTGGTTCCCATACTCCGTCCCATCCGTCACAGCCGCCTCACTCTTCTGCACAACATCATACCTCTCCGTCATCCTCCCATTGAAATCCGCAAAAGTCTTCGTCAGCAGATACAGCCATCGGTAAGCGACCCGGTGCGCATGATCGGCATATCCGTACCTCCTCAGACCGTCCCACACGAGGATCTGATGCGGTGCCCAGCCATAAGGATAGTCCCATTGGCGCGGCAGCCAGGATGATCCCGGAAGAGGCAGCGTGGAGACCATCCCGCCGACGTGCTCGAATTGTGGCAGCATGCCCTCGATGAGCTGTTTCGCTTGTTCTTCGCTGGCGAGACCGCTCCACAGGGGGTAGAAGGTCGTCACGCTGCGGAAGGGCGTTTGTTGGTTTGTGACAGTGTTGTAGTCATGGTACATTCCTGTCTCGGGGTTCCACTGGTAGCGGTCTACCGCGGCTTTTCGCGCTGCAGCTTTGGCTTCCCAGTAGGCTGAGTTGCAGGTCGAGGAATCGTGGTCTGCTGGCATCACACCGGCTGGCACGGTCAAGGCGTCCTGGAATTTCTCCTTGATCGCGCGAGCGATATCAGTCTCGTATTTGTAGAGGAGCGCGTTGAGATCTACGGTCGCGAGATCTGCTGCTGCGTCCACTAGTCGAGCACTAAATCACAATCAGATGTGATGTGGGTCACGGTCATGAATATGGCGGGCTTACCTCGTGTCATGGCCAGACTCACGCATCGCGAGATCATGTCGGAAGAAGTTGTCCATTTCTTCATCTTTCAGTCGGCCACTATTGTATTCCTTTTGGAGCTCCTCAATCGTTAGACCGTGTCTTTTCGCTGGCCCCGCTAGGAACCAATCGAAGTGTCCCTTCTCGACCTCAGGAGGTACACCAGCAGATTTCGGTCGATAGCGCGAAAGACCAGTGACTGGATCTTGTCGAGGCTCACAGCACCAAACGTTATGGTACTCTTTGATCGCAGCGAGTATTCCTTCGTGAAGGAACTCTATGGCTGTGTCGTCATTGCTGGCCACTAAATGCTCGTACGTTCGTGTGACCAAGTCAGACAGGAATGGCGGCTGTGATCGTTGAAGGTAATATGCTCGATTCCCATTCAAGACGCAACCATAGTGGTCGATCTGGAAGATCATGTGCCTGACGATCCCACGAACCGTGCCGATCTTCCCGGCTTCAAGAAGCCCATAGCAGCAAAAGTAGGAATCCCAGTAGTAAAATTCGTTGAATCTGTATCCCGGCACGGTGTAGTCCAAACCGCGAATATCATCGCCCTCAGTGTCCATAGCGAGCGCTAGGATTCCCGGAGTATCCCAATACTGTCTCAGACTTTTCGACACTTCTGAGGCGTCAGGTATCTGTGTCACTTGCAAGTTCAATTCCGGCTTGTTCCGGCTCAGTTCATTGTAGTAAGCCAATTGTTCTGGCACTCCGGCCGGGACGTAGATATGAAGCCTTTCGCCTCCACTAACTTTCCCATCTGGCCCAGCAGCTGCGATTGTCGATTCGTCCAGTCGTCTCGTCAGACTCGTCCAATACGTCTCTGGGATCAGCCTAGTGAGTCGATCGACCGGACCTTCCACCAAACGTTTTCCAAGAATCTGACATTTTTCCAGTCCAGCTCTACTGGCCAAGGCCAATTCTTGCAACAAGATGGCCAATTGATATGTACCTGTGATTTGTGCTTCTTGTCCATCGACTGCCTTCAACGTAAAATTCTTCGGGCCCTTGTCAGCGATTGTGATTTGACCGTCGCCATCTGTGTCTTCCTGGGCTAGCAATGCGATCCGACTTTGGTCGACGTCAACTGTAAGATCGAGGCTTTCTAAGCGATCGTCGACTATCGCGAATAGTGATCAGAACGAAGCTCTATTTGTCTTGCAAGGGACGCGGCAGTACCATCAGCCCAGCCCTTGATCTTATGGCCATTGGCAATTCCTGACTGGTTCGTGTAAGTGGACATCGTAATCATCATGCTGCCGAGCATCCAATACCTCTAGATGACGAACTTGCACCACCATGACTCTATTGTTCCAAAGTTCCAAAAATATTTTGTCGAATATGTGTTGTATCTAGGAGCTCACCGCTCAGGAGATCCCCTCGATCCTTATACCAACCACCGCCACCACCTTACAGAGCAAATCCAGCTACAGAGCAAATCCGCCTCCAGAGCAAATCCGTTCCACCAAGTCGCCAGCGCTAAAAGTTCTTGCTCACGCTTACAAAAAGGCCACTTTGCATCACTAAAGGCTTGCGTAACAGCAAATTATCGTCAAAGCCTCGTGTCACCATCTCGAAGTCTCGCATTGTGCCCCACATGGTCTGCATTCGGTTTCGCCTTATTGTAGCCGTCCAGGGGCAACTTTCGCTGGACTGCGCCATGCGGGGAATTGATAGCAAAATGTCTTGGATCTCACGTGACTGAAGGTCGGGTTGGAGTATTATGTAAGCCCCAGTCCATTCCCCGGGGCCTGGCCTGGAGACAGATTCTCATCCTCCCGACTCCAACACCTCGATGATGATGCCCATCAATCTTGAATACTTCCTGGGGGTATACTTAACTCTCATAGATTAACACGGTGACACCATTGCGGTGATGTCAGTGGCCTCTTCCAGGATTTACCGTGATGACCGGTCAAACGACCTCATTGCGCAGACCAAGCTATTGAAGAATCCCGGTCAAGCACTTTTTGCTTTTTCCCAAGCTCTGGCACACTTCCAGCTCGTGGCGCTCATGCAGAGGTCGCATGCAGGTATGATCAGCGCTCACAGCGAGGCTATGCTCGCTTGAAGTGCATCGCATTCATGGGCAATTTTACTCAAACACGGATCGAATTGGTAGTATTATCTAGCTTTCAGCAGCAGAATCCAAGGAATTGCGCAGCTCTAATACTGTTTGTCGACAACTCAAGAGTCCAAAGCATGAAACCTTGTCCCGCGCGGCAGATAACATCACATTTCCATGATCCTGCAGAATCGATTCTCCTCCTCCACATTTCCGACTTTATCTGCAGGAGGAACCCCCTCCCATCGCTGACGTGTCTGCACTGCGCCTCCACTCTTACATTTACTCGGTTCTGGATGCAAGATGCATCTCGCCAACATGGGTAATGGTAAACACTGCTTCACTTGGCAGCACTTGCTGCAATCAGGGTAATGCGTGAAGGTGCTCCAGACTCATTTTGAGAGGTCAAATCACTGAAGGATTCTCTTACAGTCAGGTTCAGGACGAAAGTGCAAGCGGTCTCTCGTTTACGATTATAAGGCGAATCTCTTCGAGACATCTTGAAACAGTCTGGTGCCTTCCTGACCGACGCGCCCGCATGATTCGACAAGACCTACCATACCTCGCTTAAAATCGAATGTCGCGTGGTTATGACTGTATGCTTGTCGTGATGTCGATGGCTCTAGAGTACTGCCGTGGCGCACATCTATCCAAGCCGCCCATGCTAAAAGGGCCTGCAAAAGGATTCATAAGTTTTAGCCTGGCTTTCATAGACTCAACCAATAGCATCCTCAAGATGTAGTTGATAGTGAAGGCAGGTGATGAAGAAGAATTCACCTTCTATGAACCAGGCATTTAGCAACTTCTGAAGATCGATGCCAGCATTTTTCTTAGTGTATTTCTTACTGGCGGCCTCGACAGCACAACAGCCACTGACGATGTTCGGTCGCTTTGATTACAAGGATACAATATGAAGTGAATAGTCGCTCCGTGGTGCATTTAAGCTTTATCTTAGAGATGCGAGACACTCAGTCTTAATTCCGCACAAAGAAACATGGCAGCAGACCGAGTTTCATTGGTATGTTTGTAAGACAAGATTCACCGATCCAGCTGACCCGACCCAAGGACTCCGGTGCTACCTTGCCCCCTTCTCCTACCAACAGACGACCATCCCAGACAACGCCTGCACAATGGTCAAGGCAACGCCGCCGATCATCGACGAGCACTCCACGTCAGAGGAACCCTGCTGAGCCGTCACTCTCAAGTGATGCCGTCCCGCAGAGCTCCAAGGACAGATTGGACGTCGGCATCGAACTTGTCCCGGCGACATCCCGCACAGCACAATTCGCTCTGGAAGATTTCTTGGAAGATTCTTCGGATGGTGAATTTGGTGCTCCGCCTCGTCGGCTCACAAATCAAGCGCAAGAAGCGCGGTATCGTCGAGAGAAAGACCGGGAGGTCTTGGATCTGGCGAGAGAGTACAATCGGACTCAGTCATCCACTTCGAAGGGCTTGACATGGAGTCCATTCCGGCGATGGCGACACATGCGTAATATAAAACCACCGTCCCAAGACCGACTCATTTCCGTTGTCAACAATGCATTTCCACCTCGCATGGAGCTTGAAGTATTGGTTTGTGATATCATGCTTGATCATGCAGAGATACAAAAAGTGAAGCTCGGCGATATTGAACAGTGTAAGACATACCACCTTGAGCCGGAACGAAAGCTGATGAGAAGGTAGTCTGGCAAGTGAAGCCCACAAACGCTATCGTCCGCTGGATGTGAGTTAGTGTTCACGTTGTGCTCATCTGACGGTGCTAATCATACGGCAATAAAGCCATGCACCTCTTGGCCAAGGCCTTCTACATTCAGTGAGTTTATCGGTTCTTCAAGCAGCAATACAGGGCTAATCGTCGAAGTCCATCGAGGACATGTTTCTTCATTCCAAAGCACGTGGAAAGCCTTTCAGAAATGCCGGTATCGCGGGATTTCCTTACCTGGAGATCGACAGCGTCCACTTCCGGGAACGAGACGACATTCTTCATCTACATGATGTCTATCAGACGCTTCGTGGTCATGAACTTCTGAACAATTATCTCGACGAAATGTGTCTTTCTGGAGATCGCAATGCAAGCTTGGATCACGATCTGGCTTGGCGTGAGAAGATAATGGGTCGAAAGAGGTCATTCTGGGGCCTTGCACTGCCAGATATCCCATTTGAGCCCTCTGAGGGCTTGACATTCCAAGGTCCGCTTCGTATCGCCATTCCAGCGGAGAGCGCGTTTGATCGGTCGTCGATCGGTTCGCGGAAAGACCAATTCGACGGCGCCAAACTAGTGGTAGCCCCTTTCCGATGTTTCCACCGAGCGGATGGTAAGTCCTGTCAGCATTTTACATGGCCCAAACACATCATTGATTATGCTTAGGAGTGTTGCTCACCATGTCTGCTGCCACCGGCATCGATCAACTCCATCGTGACTTCCCAACGGATTTGCGTGAGAGCCGCAAAATTCGCATGACCAACCGCAAAGCTTCGGTCATCGGAAATGTTCTCGCCGACTTGGAGCAACATGGCGCTTCTGGATGGCGCGATAAGAATGTAGAATGGTTTCTTATATATCTCATCACTGAAATCGGCGTCGCACCGCAAAATTCCGTCGGAGGCCGTTCCGCGATGTCGTTGCTCTCGACTTTACAGAGTACCCTTGTTGACTTAGTATGTCGTTTCGCATTTACCTTTCGAACCTAAGCTGACTGTCATTAGAAACGAGAGCGGTATGGTCGATGGGAGCGGCAGAAGACAATACGACTCGTACAAGACCATCTGATCTGTCTCGATGACCTCAAATTGCTCCAAGTATCTTATGTACGCAAGCTTGAGCTCTTCCAAAGACTTGAAACAGACATCGGGACGTTGGTCGAAGCCGACTATATATCTGCAAATGCCCACGACAACAATCAATCAGCCAACGAACGTGTGAAGTGGGCCATCAAAGTCGTTTCCGAGGACAAGCGATACGTCGACCATATGCTCGAAGATCTCACCGCTTCATTGAACGCCGTGAGTGAACCCTTCTGCCCATCGCGCAGGAAGAAGGCGGATACTAATCGACATCATGCAGCTCTTCCATCTAAGATCAATCGAACAAAATGAGCTGGCGATGGTCACGGACGACCAGAATCGAGCGTTATACCTATTCACCGGCATCACGATCGTCTTCCTACCTTTGTCTTTCTTCACATCTTACTTCGGCATGAACATCGCAGATATCCGAGAAACGGACATGGAGCAAGGCGGTTTCTGGAAATTCTGTGGCGCGATCACTGCCGCGTTGATTCTGCTGGTCTGGAGTGCCATCCGCATCCGCAGGACACTCCAACAACGCACCAAGCTATTCAGGGAGATGGCGAAACCGCGAATCACTTGAAAAATCGCACTTGTATTCTTCCAACATATCTATGTATTCATATCAAACAACAGGAATTCGGCTGGCTTGTCTCCAATGCTCTCTACTTCGAGTTTGCCAGGGCCGCGGGCCCCTCGAATATATGCTCCATCGCCTTCACCGATCTCCACATCGCCAACCTTGATCTTCGCACCGCCTGTCTGCGGCTGTTTGCGTCCACCCATGACGACATGTAGATAAAGATTCCGCTCGCCCTCCTTGACAAATTCATGCTCAACCTTCTTCCCCGGCGACAGGATCGACGCGCTCATGCTGAGATCCGCATGCAGTTCGATCGGCTCCGTCGGGCCATCCTTGCCGCTGTGGCGATCCGTACTCTCGATGATGCGGAGCAATTTGTCCGCCTTCATCTCATCGGTGTACTTCCTCGTGCAGTAGCTGGGCGTCAAGCCGCGGACGTTCGGCATCGCCCAGATCTGCAGGAAGTGGACGTCCTCGGCGGTGTTGCGGTTGTATTCGCTGTGGCGAATGCCAGTGCCCGCGCTGGTGAACTGGACTTCACCGCGGCGCAGTTTCTCGAGATTGCCCATCGAGTCTTTGTGCTCGAGCTCGCCGCTGACGATGTAGCTCCAGATCAGAGCCTCCGAGTGGCTGTGCGTGCCGAAGCCCGTGCCTTTCTCCACGCGGTCTTCGTTGATGACGCGCAGGGGCCCGAAGGACATGTGCTCTGGGTCGTAGTGCGATGCGAAGGAGAAGGTGTGGAATGTGTAGAGCCAGCCGTGGTCGCTGAAGCCTCGGGCGTTCCATGGTCGCTTGGTGATCTTGAGGGAGGAGGTGCCGTTTGAGGTCGCCATGTTGCGTTTCAGCGCAGGTGATGTTGCGACTGTACTTGTGGTTTTAGGAGAGAGCCTGGGCAAGGCGGATCGCAATGGGGTGAAGAGCGCCAGGATGCAAGCTATGGCAGCAATGAGGATTGCTACTTTAATGAATGAGGACGATGAGCCTTGGGTTTGCGAGCGTGCTTGAGATGCTTCTTTTTGAGACATTGATATTGAATTGAAGGAAAAGATGAACGCTTATATACATTTTTGAAGCGCCTTTATATAGCTAGCTATTCACTTATTCTTACCAATGCTGGTAGCTTCCAGTTGTTGAATGTCATCGGTAATACGGTTATTGATGGTGGAGGTCGATCACACAAGCGCACTAATTTAGCCTTGAAGTACAGATTTCAAATACCATTAATTTCCACATCGGGTCTAGCTGGAACAGTGATCACCGCATCGGCGGAATTAAAGCACATAATTCTCATTGCCAACTCCAATTTGCTCTATATACTCCTCAGCAACTGCTGCGTCCAAGTCGCATTATTCTTCCGAGCGCCCGTAGAATCGTCCACGACAACATGCTTAGCAACATCCAAATCCGCTCTTCTACCTTCGTCTAGATCAATCTCGTCCAGTCGCTTGATATGCGATTTGCCGAAGACCTTGAAGAGGATCCAGATCAGCGGGAAGATTGGTAATAGGATATACGCATCGACGAAATTTCCCGCGTCAAAGGGACTCAGTGTCGTCCAGCCTTGCACCAGCGCGAGGATGATGTTGGCGGCGAGTCCGAAGTATGCGTTGTAGGGATACCATAATGCGCGGAAGGGAAGTTCGCTGGTCGTCCGGCCTTGTGTTTTCCAGGCTTGGCGGAACCGGATGTGCATGAAGGAGATGGAGGCCCAGACGATGAAGGTGCTCACGCCTGAGAGGTTGACAATGTACTGTCGATTCCGTTAGCTTCCAAGTGACGCTGTCTTGCTTCTTAGTAGAATCTTCTTACCCCATAGGCCTTGCTGGCTCCAGTGCTGACATTCAACAACGCGATGCATGCGATGAGGTTGGTGAGCAATATAGCAGGAATCGGCACGCCGTGCGATGACGTCCAGCCGAGAAAGCGAGGTGCTTTTCCTCCTTGTGCGAGGAACAAGACAGTGCGCGAACCGATGTAGATTGAACTGTTCACAGCGCTCAGGCAAGTGATGAAAATGAAAGCATTGATCTTCGTGGCGTCAGTGAAAGGTCTCGCCCTCGAATCGATACATCACGGCTTACCAGATGCACACCGCCTTGCCATCCAGCATTCTGAATAGCAATGGTCATCGGACTCTTGAGTACTCGGCTCCCGCCGTTGATCAGATCGGCCGAATTGGCCGGACATGTGAGGCCAAAGAAGAAAGCCGAGCCCATGTATACGAAAATGATCCGCCAAAAGACTTGCCGGATAGCCTGCGGGACCGCCACGCCCGGATTCCGCGTCTCCGCCGCAGCAACCGCGACCGACTCCACGCCGGCGTAGAAAGTGCTGCAAAAGACAAAGACGGTGAACACGCCCGAGACGCCTTTCCCGTTGAACGGGCCCGGGTCGCGCCAGTACTGGAATCCAAGCGCCTCTTGCTGACCGACAAGACCTCCCGCGGCGTAGACGATCGCGAAGATGAAATATGCGGTGAGACCGAGGAGCTTGATCAGTGCGAGCCAGAATTCGGCTTCACCGAAGGCCTCGACGCCGAGCAATTGGAATCCGAGGAACGCAAACCAGAAGATGAGGAAATAGCCCCACAAGGGGACCTTGTCGCTCCAGAAGACGAAAATGCTCGAGATGACGTTGTACTCGTTGGCCAGGACGGCCGCCCAGATGATGAAGTAGTTCTGTTTGATGCGAACTTATCAGCAAAAAAAAGTATTCCATCCTTCGTATCGAAGAAAATGAGATTCTTTCAAAATACGGAAAGGATAATGTAGAAAGTAAAAGCACACTCACCCATCCCACCGCCGCCGAGAACCCGCGATCCACAACCCTCTCCCCCAGCCCGATGAACGACCCTCCCGCCGGATACAACGTCGTCAACTCCCCTAGGCTCTGCATGATACTGAACGCCACAATCCCGATGACTCCGAATCCGATGATCAGCGATGCCGGGCCGCCGCTGGCCAGAGCACCTCCGGATCCCACCAGTAACCCCGGCCCGATGATGCCCGCCAACGCCATCATGGAGAGATGGCGGTTCTGCAGACCGCGCTTGACGCCGCTGTCGGGATCGAGATTGTCCTCTCCGACGGCGGAATGGGGGAGCGGTTCATCGCGGAGGGGCGAGGCGGTGCTGGTGGATTCGTCGGCGGGGAGTGAGGAGGTCTGTGGGCGTTTGAGGAAACCCATCTTGGGCAAGTCTTGTTTATCACGCAGTTTATCTCCAGGAAAGTCGGGCGCCGGATTTCCCGTGCGACGACAATGACCTTGGGGAGCTCGACCGGGCCCGAGTTCGATCCGGCGGGAATCTCGACGAAGTGTGCTCCGACTAGGGGATCTCTTCTCGCGGAGGAATGTACATGTATATATGAATTAGGAAGGAATATATGCACACCTGCAACAACGACGATGATCACCAATATGGCGCACAACTAGAGGAAGAAGGAGGAATGCATAGCATTAAACTAGAAAAAGGCCAACATCGATAGCGAATATATCCCAAGCCATCGCCCACGTGGAGTTCGCCCCATCCCTCCGCCGCGCGAAAATTGACTGTCAGCCACGCGCGAGCACGCCATCGGCATGCCGAGTCCGAATCTGATGTGGGGCGCGGTTCTGCAGGTTCCTAAGCGGATGGTGTAGCCGACTGAGGAAGAGGGAAACCCTGAATACGCATCTATCATCAGGGATCACGCGAGCGAATGTGTAGGTGAAATGATAAGTGTATGTAGTAGGAAAGTAACAATATACTGTAACAGTAAGATTCTCTGAGATGCGTAAAATTGATTGATAGAAAGGCGAGCGCGTCGACAATTTAGTGTTATGGATTGGATTTCACTGATGTATTATTGGAATTAGAGAGGAATCTTCGTCGAACAAATGTTGGGTAGGAATTTGTTTACAAATTTCACTACTACAGGCGTTGATTTTTTTTCGAATAATAAGAATATTGATAATTATGGGCATTTATGCAACATTGTCAAGATACCGTATCAATCATTAGACCTCGAAAAATCAATAAAACTTCGTGATCGAAAAAAAAAAAGAAAACGTTAACTCTGAGCATATCTTTCAAGAATTGCGTTTCATCATCCGTAACGATCCACAATGTCGATTCATCATAACCCCACCCCATTCCATCCGACGAGAGAAGGGGAAAAAGGAACCACGACCTTAAATCTTATAAACGATCCCCCCGCTGAACATGATCCGATTCCTCTCGTTGAGCGCCTCCAGCGCGGCGGTAGCTTCCCGGTCCCCGAATGGTGCCTCGCCGCTACGCAAGCGGGCGTTGACCGCGGCGACCAGAGGTGCGAAATCCGCGGCGTCGTTGGCGAAGAGGGGGCCGTCGATGAGTTGGCCGAGGGCGGATTGGAAGGCTTGGAAGCGGGCGGGGGAGAGGGTGGGTTGTGGATCGTCTTCTTCTTCGTCGTCGTCGTCGTCGTCTTCTTCGTCTTCGGCGGGGTTTTGTGATTGGGATTGGGACTGGGATTGAGATTCGTCGCGGAGGAGTTGGCTTGCGGGGCGGGAGGAGGCGACGCTGAATTGGCTGCTGGTGGGCGCTGTGCTGTTGCCGGCGTTTTGGCGGGTGGTGCGCTGTGAGCGGGCCGGGGTGGAGTTGTATAGGTCTGGTTCTTCATCGTCGTCGTCGTCGTCATTCGCGGCTCTGTTTGCGCCGTTTCGGGTTGCGCCGCTGCGCCCTGGGGTCCGTGAGCCTGCGCCTCGTGGACCTGCGGCCGAAGTTCGGTATGCGGAGTCTCCTGCGGCGGTGGCTACCTCGCCGTCGTCGCTGTCGCTCGAATCGTCGTCCGTTGACATGGCGTCGGGGTCGGGCCGGGCGCGTTTGCGCCTCTTGCGTTCGTCTTCGACTAGTTCTTTGAACAAAGCGAAGCGAAGGATGCCCTCTGCGACCCTGGCATCCTTTTCTTCTACTCGGTTGGACAGACGGGATTTCGCGTGAGCCGTCGCGAGACGGATCAGTGTCTCGAGGGTACGTGCTGTCATTGGCGAAGTCTTTCGCTGGTTGCCTTCCATTTCGTCGTTTCGTAGACCACTGTAGGCAGCGACGATGACATCCGATGCACCCTTGGTGAGGATAGGCTTGATACGTTGTTTAGCGTATTGGATGTATTTCTTGATAAAGGGAATGCTGAGGACTTCGACGCGACGCTGGGAGCCGCGACCCATGGTCACAGTGACACCGGCGTGCAACATGACATTGTACTTCTCATAGACCTCGCTGGGTTTGTTCGCCTCTCCAGCTTCTTCGAGACCGACCCCGAGAGTTTGCGTCTGTTGCTCACGAACGACTGCACCCTCTTCCGTGCCAGGTTGTCGGTAGCGGTGCATTCGTAGAACATGCTCGGAGACTTGTCGGTCTCGCACATCCTCGATGTCGTCAGTTACAATGAACAACAAATCGAAACGTGACAGAAGCGAATCTGGGAGCGCGATGTTCTTGTGAGGATCCTTGTGTGTGTCGTACTGTCCATAGATCGGATTGGCTGCAGCAATGACCGAACATCGAGCGTTAAGAGAAGTGTGAATTCCTGCTTTTGCGATGGTGACTGTCTGCTGTTCCATGACTTCGTGGATGGCCACACGATCAATGTCTGACATTTTGTCGAATTCGTCGATACATACTACACCACGATCGGCCAGAACCATTGCACCTGCTTCGAGGCGACGCTCGCCCGTCTCCTTATCAGAGGTCACAGCGGCTGTCAAACCTACACCAGATGATCCTCGACCGGTGGTGGCAATGGCCAAAGGAGCGGTGTTGAGGACGAAGCGTAGCAGTTGCGACTTGGCGGTAGAAGGGTCACCGACCATCAAAATGTTGATATCTCCACGAAGATGAGTGCCGTTCTCAAGATTCTTCTCCATGCCACCAAGAAGCATGAGCAGGATGGCCTTTTTGATGTAGTCGTGTCCGTAGATACTCGGTGCCAGCGATTGCGAAAGTAAATCGAAGACTCTCCGCTGTTTTGAGACTTTGTTGATATTTCGAATATCTGTGTCTGTGATGGTTGCTTGTGCAATTCCTCCGCCGGATTTCGATGAGAGAAGAATGACATTGTTGGCGAGAAGAAGTGTCTTGAAGGTCGAGCTCCCTGTGCCAGCGTTCCGATTACCCAGCGAGCGGTACACGCCAACTAATTGGATTCTGTCACCCGGCTTCACTCGATCGACCATATCATCATCCATAATGACATCGACACCGCGCGGCAGCTGACCCGCAGGCGCACGCTCTGGCATCTCTTGTATCGAAATCGTCTGATGATCCCGGTATGTGCAGTATCCATATTCTGTGACGAGGGGATTTCCATCTGGATCTTGTGTCGGATAAACACTCGAGCTCGACGCACCCATGGTCATTGTCTGATCCTGATATTCTCGGAAATGGAATGTCGATTTTGTCTCGTTCCAATGCACACTCTTCACCACCTTTGGTCGTACCAGCGAACATTTGGTGACGATACCTTCGATCGAGACCATGTGATTGAGGTATGCCGAGGAGAGTGTCCGAGGATTGCAGGAGAATTCACCGAAGCTCCCGACGTATGCACAGTAATATGGCACATCTTCCTGAACATCCCGTGTTGCGCGATTCCGTACTGTTTGAACGATTTCGTATAGCGCACGATCGAATGCCTGCGAGTATTCGAACGGTAGATTGAGCAGGCCATCTGCGAGCTCTCGACTGTGTGCGCGGATCTCGTCAATGCTGACCGTCAGTCTCCGAAGGTCACGATTGAGCATGAGCAGGATCTCTGCTTGATATGTCCGTGCCCGAGGATCCTCTGAAATCAAATCAGTCTTTGCGCGAGTTTTATCACAGGTCGTGTGCCATCATACGTGGATCCAAGAATTCTTGCGCCGCTCGCACGCGATCCGCGACGGCGACATCTTTGAGCTGGATGCCAGACATGGCTGGCGTGTGATCGTGTATCGACCTGAGCTTCCTCTGTGGTCGTCTCTGAGGAAGGTGAGTTACCGTAATCTTCGTCGACAGTCGTGCTTAAGGAGTGGAGGGTCTCGCGATCGCTGGTGCTGTAGATGGTGGGGTGGGTAGCACGTCGCTTGAACTTTTGAAAGGGACGCGACGCGCCCAAAGCGCGTCCAAATCCGGCTGAAGAAGTGCTTGCATGATATTTCCACTAGGCATGGTCGTTCTGTTAGGGTTGGGGTTAAATCATCAGACAATCCTCTCTTCCATGGGAACGACTAAGTTGATCATTCATGTTTCTGTCGGACAACCACATCGTCGCGAGAGAACAAACTTGAGACGTAATATGAGGTGCTCCATTTACGGTGCCATCATGTCAAAAACATACACCTATTCATATTGTGGGCGGCTACACTGGAGAGCCGATTAAGAAAGACACAGCCGAAGTCGCAAGCCGCCCGCGGGGGCTGAAAGCGTTCATCTACTGTCGATGTGTATTGTTGGAGATGATCGAATGCATGTCCTCAGCGTCTAGATACAGCAGTATGAAAACCTCTCGGAATGAACGCATTATACCTGTCCACCGACATGTCCCACTGACGTGAGATGAACCCATGTCCGTGTGCTGTTGTCCCACTCCCACCGATCCAAGATTCCGAGATCGGGCCGATCAGAGTTCAGCGCATGGGGACCACCTGCGAAACCACAACGGCCAGGATGCGACAGACCGAGAGCTGGCTGTTTTTCAACGGGTCATGAAAGCAATCGTTCGTGAGTATTCATATACCACTTCTCACAGGTATAATAATGAATGAAGTGTAGAAGAGAGCAATACGAAGAAACATAGCGATGCCTTGAATGATCATCCTGGAAGCGACTGGTCATGCACGTATATACCAGGTATATACCCTGTACCTAACAGTCGTCCATGGGCAGGTTTGTTATATAACATAGCATAGCAACGGCTTCACCCGTTGACCGAGGAAGTTCACCCGCGGCCAGCAACGAACGAGATCTCGCCATTCCCGAAGTGGAGCTTGGAAAAGCCGAACGACGAGAAGAAAGTCCGTCCGTCATACTATACTGTACGCTGTACACTACACAGTCGAAGCAATAGCCGTAGCCGTTCACATCATTCCTCCTGCCGCCGCCGCCGCCGCGCTTCGTGGGAAAAGTTGCGCCTTCGCTAACTAACAATTCTCATTATTTACTGCTAGAATAAATACACCCTTCATCCCACCACCCTTTGCATTCCTATTCCATCATCACACACATCTTCAAATATGTTCGCCGCTCAGAAAGTTTCACAGTCCGTCGTCGGCGCTGCCCAGCGTCGTGCCTTCTCGGCATCCGCCAGCAACGTGAGTCCAATCGATCATTCTCATCAATCACCCACCTCGACCTCTCTCCGCTGAGATCGCGGCGATTGCGCCATTGGGACAGAGCATTGACTGACCATTGTATTCTTCCCTCCCATCTAGCTCTCCAAGGTTGTCGTCCTCGGTGCCGGCGGTGGTATCGGTCAACCTCTCTCCCTCCTCCTCAAGCTCAACCCTCGCGTCACCGAGCTCGCCCTTTACGACATCCGAGGCGGTCCTGGTGTCGCCGCTGATGTCGGCCACATCAACACCCAGAGCAATGTAAGCCGTCATCGGAAAGAGGACATCGACGAGATCTGCTGGGACAAATGTTGATGATGGATGGTGAACAGGTCACTGGTTACGAGCCCACTCCCGAGGGTCTCGCTGCTTGCCTCAAGGGCGCTGAGATCGTCGTCATCCCCGCCGGTGTTCCTCGCAAGCCCGGCATGACCCGTGATGGTACGTATCATTGAAGGGAAGCATTGCCAGCATAGCTTCGATCGCTGACGAGGATGACCCTCCAGACTTGTTCAACACCAACGCCTCCATCGTCCGCGACCTTGCCCTCGCCGCCGCCGAGCACTCACCCAAGGCCAAGCTCCTCATCATCTCCAACCCCGTCAACAGCACCGTCCCCATCACCGCCGAGGTCTTCAAGTCCAAGGGTGTCTACGACCCCAAGAAGCTCTTCGGTGTGACCACCCTCGATGTCGTCCGCGCCAGCCGCTTCATCTCCCAGATCAAGAAGTCCGACCCTGCCCACGAGAACATCCTCGTCGTCGGTGGTCACTCTGGTGAGACCATTGTCCCCATCCTCAGCCAATCCGGCAACACCCTCGAGGGTGCCGAGCGTGACGCCTACGTCAAGCGCGTCCAGTTCGGCGGTGACGAGGTCGTCCAGGCCAAGGACGGTGCGGGTTCCGCCACCCTCTCCATGGCCATGGCCGGTGCCCGTTTCGCCGAGTCGCTGCTCAAGGCTGCTCAGGGTGAGAAGAACGTCGTCGAGCCTACCTTCGTCGACTCGCCTCTCTACAAGGACCAGGGCGTCACCTACTTCGCCTCCAACGTCACCCTCGGCCCCGACGGTGTCCAGGAGATCCACCCCGTCGGTGAGGTCACCGAGTTCGAGCAGGGTCTGCTCGACAAGTGCCTCAAGGACCTCAAGGGTAACATTGAGAAGGGTGAGAAGTGGGCCAAGGAGAACCCCGGCAAGAACTAAATCAGTTCTGCCCTTTCCTGAGCTAAATTCGACAATTGTACAAGGATGAGGAATCACTCGATGTGGGACAAAGAAAAGGAATGAGCAGGGACATCGAGAGAAAGGAAAACGAAGAATCGGCGGCGAGAGGGCCACGCAGAGGATGAAGACGAGGTAACTCCGAAAGAAATTTCGGGACACCAATCTTCACAGCTCAGCGTGGTGGGCCTCGAAACCGCCTCACGCATTCTTCCGTCTCCTCCTCCCTCGTACGCCCTGCACCCTCCCCCTCTTGAACGTTCCGCAGGAAAGGTTTCCTTACGACATCCTTCCCATGTACTGTAAAAATTCCCCACCCTGTAGAATTCCATCTAACCTGAACGACGCGAACTTCTTTCCATTTCTTTTCGTTCATTCCGTCATTCATCTTTCCATTCCATGAGGAAAAAAGACAAATACATGTCGAACAGAGATGCATAATCGAAAGAGAGAGAGACACCTATGCCTCCTCTCTTCGTCCATCAATCCAACCCACCGACCAAACCTCATGATCATCACCATCCGTCGCGTGACCCAGCTTAATCTCAAAAACCCTCCCTCACCGACCCGACCAAACCAAAAGCGCAAATAACCCAATTTGTAATCAACGCCCAGCTCTCCAGCACAGAACCACGAGACCCGACGACGCCCAGTCCTCCGCTTGCCCAGGTGCCGTCACGGTCATAAGTGTATGTTGATCGCCTTCATATCTAGGCATATACATCCACAACTGCCCCTACGTGATTCGATCCCGTGGACATTCCGAATCAAAATGACACGCTTGCGTCTTGGAACGATGATTTCTATGCGAACGCCGATCCTGGTGATGGGGAGTGTTCCCCTCATGGACACATTGCAACAGGAAACTTGCTGTGTGATGACCTGGCCGTGCTTCGAGAGCGTCGACCGTGAATCAGAGTCGCAGCGGGACGAGCATGGGCCGTCTTCACGCTCCTGTGATCCTGGCGTCGACGCCGTAGGATTGATTCATGGGAGATGGTTGATAGAACTCACATTTCTATTGGATCCCGCGACAGCAAACTCGCGCTCCGGGAGTCACAACACGGTTACGGACCCGCGTTCAGCGGTATCTCCTATCGCCTATCCCTGCGAGGTCTTCGGATGTGGATCGAATCTCACGAACGACCTGTCTGCCTAGGCAGTGACTTTCTCACATCGATGTACAGGACATAGGAATAGACGCAATGACGAGCCGCCGTGCAAGACGAGTCTGAATCCCACTTGATGGTATAGAGAGAGAGGGAGAGAGAGATGTGAAGTTGGAAATGTAAATTGGTGTCGGAGAATTCACGAGCACATTCGGCTCCGAACCGGCCGGCTATGGCTTGGAATGCGGAGTATCCGAGAAAAGGGAAGCAGCAGCACGTTCACAGCTAACAGGCAAGCATTCCAAGGTGCCGAAGGATACAGAACCCGCGCATTCAGAGATGCGGTGCTGCAAAGCGATTGAGCGGTGCGAAGTGGTCGGGCCATGATTCATCTCCGACGCGAGAGGGAATACTCGGCAGAGATTAGTTCGTTCGTCTGTTCGCCAAATCTGCAGGAGGGACGGAGACCGCGCCGCGGCCGTCGGTGAACACGATCTAAAAGCGTCAATCAGGGCTGACTTTTCCTTCTCCCTCTTTTGTCTGTCTGTCTGTCTGATGGACAGGGACGACGATTCCTGACATGCATGTGTGTCATTGATGTGAGAAACGCGTTATGCCGGAGCTTGAACCGATAGCCGAGGTCCCTCCTACCTCTTGCTTCTCCCGCATGGACGGGCGTCGGTGGGCGGCCAAGAATTCCAATCTTTAATCATCCTGCAGTGCGCAGAACCACCCCGTCATCCACGCAGCCAGCCCAGCCTACGGGCGATATGCACACTTGACGACACTTCGTACATGGTCCGTATCCAGCGTAGACCTCACTGTACATCTACAAGGATTTAATCCACGATAACTTTGACGGAGAAATGCCCTCGATTGCGACATCAGTGTTGTACACCACATTTCTCGTCCACAGGATGTTCCGTCCCGACCGTCGATCCGGATGGGGAGGACATGGCCGAGACGCTGCAGCCTCGCCGATGCATTCTGGGTATCCTGGAGAAGCATACTCTCCCGCCCCCTCGAACATGTGTTTGGGTGATGGACACGCGGATTTTGGGGATTGCCTCACTCCTGTGCTGTTGGGTTTCCTCTGGTCCTGTTGTTCTGGCTCACCTTAGGGGTTGTCGGTGGTCATCGAAGACAGGGGAGAGGTACATGCTGTCCTGGTGATTCAGCTCTGGCCCATGCGAAGTCACGAGACCGGAAGGAGATGATGCGACTGTCCATATGGCTCTGTCTGGCCTGATGGATTTTGATATCACTGTGTACTGTACTGTGATCTTCCGATATGTATGTGATGTGATGGATGGTGGGCAAACAAACACCTTCTTCCCCACGCACGCGGAAAGGCGCGCCCACGAGATTTCCCCACTCCCGCACTTTTTCCGCCGTCACGGAGACATGCAGGTGTGTGTGGACAACTCGCTGCGGGTGGGTCCCGATTGCGGCTGTGGAAGTGGTGGTTTCGGTGTCCGCGGAGGACCAAGAGCCATTTCTCGCAAGATTACGTCTCGACCTTGTTGGACAAGACCCACCGAAGAGGCCGGCCAGGGATCTCGTGGATGCCGATGCACACCAGAGAGATCATCACCGGGTCGGAGGTTGATCTTCACCCGAGCAGCGGTTCATCTCGGACCCTGTCATCATCACCACCACCATCATCAGCAACAAATCGCCATGCCGCAGATGGGAAAATCTTTCATGTATGTTCCCACGTGAGCAGGTTTGGCGTGGCCGTTCCGAGCAGGACAAATTACTCGGGCTGTACTGTACACACAGTCTAACGTGACAAAACATCTTTAATCCCTGTCACCACGATTCGTGCCCTGATTGACGCTTGCGAGACGTGTTCGCTGTAGTGCGTGCTGGAACGAGTGACCTGCCATCGTGTATAGTGTATAGCGTATAGTGTATAGTGTGGAGTGTATAGTGTGAGGAGGAGGAGAACAACCCGACGTCGGCACATTTTGCGTGTTCTGTTCCCATCCATGCGCGCGTGAACCACCCGCAACCCGCCCAAACATACCTACATACCTAGTATTACTGTACTGTACTGCACTGTGTGATGAGTGTGAGTGTGAGTGTGATGGCGGATGGCGGTATAGTACTACCCAGACACACGGTAGGCGCGCGTGCTTCCTCGATCCGCAATACTGTAATACTGTAATTATCATCACAACGTTGGCGGCCGGGCGGGCGGGCTTTGTTTGTCTCTTTCCCGCTGGGTGACAGATCTGTGGGAAGTCTGGATGATACGTTGTCCCTCTTCCGCCAACCTCATCATCGACCATCAGACCTTCCCGTCCTCCCAGGCATCTCGACATCTCGACATCTCGACATCTCGACATCACACACACCCATCGGTATGTAATGTCTCCCGTTCGTTATCACCCAGCCCCTCATCCATACACGTTGTGAGACGTCAAAGAATACACATAAATTGAGCCTCATCCTCCGCCGTTTCCTCTCACCGGAACCATCCCCATCTCGAAATCCTCCAGCGCGCGACCGTTGCAATTCCATCGTCAATTCCACCACTGGTTCCACTGGTTCATCAATCAATCGTCGTCGTTCCGCACTCCGGGGGTGACTAATCCAATCCAATCTTCTTTGATTCCTCCCAGATTCTCCACAGAACGCGGAGAAAAGAGAGGCAGCCCAAGAGTCTAGACAAACTCCCGCTACAGCTGGCGGAGCTCTCTCGTCTCTTTTTTTTGTCCTCTTCCTACAAACAAACCGCCCTCGCCGCCCACTCTCCTTTCTGGCATCCACTGTTCAGAGCGGACATTTTCCCCTCAACGAGTCGCCTGAAACTGCGCCATCCATAGCCGCACACGACATCGAAATCCCATCGGGATCGGCGAATTTGGAGTTCTGGATCGAAAACGGAGACATCGCAATTTCTATTTTTCCCCGAGAAGAGAGTGATGTTTGCAGCGCTTGCTCGTCAGCGAGCTTGCCGCGCTGCGCCGGCGACTCTGCTGAGCCGAGGAGCATTTTTACCCGGGGTAAGCCTCGCTTCCATTTTTTGGGTTGTTGGCGTTGTCATTATCAGAGATCCTCATCATCGTCGTCGTCGTCGTCGAGCAATAGCTATAGCAGCAGCAGTATTGCCGCCAGCCATACTCACGACGAGATCGACCTGTCCACCGAGCCCTCTCTGCACATCGCCAACATCCTCCCTCCTCCCTATATACGCACACCCTACAACCTACAACAACATACACACCCGAAGACAACAAAAAACATACATACCCAGATACATCCCTCCCTCTCTCCCTCCCTCCACACGTCTACACCTGAAATCTACATACATTCATACATGTATCCATCCGCTGCACCACCCACGTCACATATCCTCCCTCCGAAATAGACCCTAGTCGGGCGTTTTGGTTCGTCTCTCCAGCCTGTCATTACACTATCTCGTGACAGAATTGACGCCGCTTCCTCGGCCGAAAGCTACACTTTTTTTTGTATCCACCACCACCACCACCACCTTCACTCACCCTCCCTTTCGCCTGATATATCCACAACACCCATCCTCTCTCAGACATCATCACACTCTTGTCGACATACACTCTCTTCTTCACACGTTCCTCTCCATCGGCATCGTCCTCGCGATTGCGCATACCACCTCTCTCTCTCCCTCGCAAAGCCTGACCTAGCCGGCCGAGGTACTTTTTGCTAATCATAGCCACCTTCCCTCCGGCGCGCATCTTCTCATAGACCCAAGCAACACACAAAGCCTTCGTCATGGCGCCCGTTCTCCAACAACAGAAACGGAAGAGCTCTGGCTTGCCCGAATGTAAGTTTCGATCTCGCGATCATCACCCTGCCGGCGAAGTCATCGTCGGCGCATTTTTATTTTTCATCGCCAACATGCTGATCCTCGGCTTTTCTCCCCACAGCATACAAGGAGGATCTCTCCAAGGGCCCTATGCTCCGCTTCGAAGAGTCTCTCCCCAAATTGCCTGTCCCATCGCTGGAAGAGACCGCTCAACGCTACCTCAAATCCGTCCACCCGCTTCTCACCCAGGCCGAATTTGAAAACACCAAGAAGGCCGTCGACTCTTTCGTCCAACCCGGCGGTGTCGGTCACAAACTTCAGGAGCGCCTCGTCAAGAGAAGGGAGGACCCGAAGGTCGCCAACTGGTTGACCGAGTGGTGGAACCAGGCCGCATACCTCGCCTACCGCGACCCCATCGTCCCGTACGTCTCATACTTTTACAGCTACCGCGATGACCGAAAACGGCGGGACCCGGCCAAGCGTGCTGCGGCCATCACCACCGGTGTCCTCGAGTTCAAGAAGCAGGTCGATGAGGGTACCCTCGAGCCGGAATACATGAAGAAATTGCCCATCGCCATGAGCTCTTACCAATACATGTTCAACTGCTGCCGTCGTCCCGCCAAGCCTTCCGACTACCCGGTCAAGTACTCTGCCCAGGAGCACAAGTACTTCATCGTCGTCCGCAAGAACGCATTCTACAAGGTCGTCCACGAGCACGCTGGAAAGACCCTCAGCGCCAAGGAGCTCGAGCAGCAGTTCCGTTACATCTACCAAAACGCCGCCAAGTCGGAGCCGATCGGTATTCTCACCACCGAGAACCGCGACAACTTCACTGACGCATACGAGCGCCTGGCCACCTCCAACCCAGCCAACAAGGCCGTGTTGGAGACCATCGAGGCCTCATCGTTCGTCGTCTGCCTCGACGACGCCGCCCCGGTCACCCTCACCGAGCGCGCCCACCAGTTCTGGCACGGTGACGGCAGCAACCGATGGTTCGACAAGCCTCTGCAGTTCGTCATCTGCGACAACGGCGCCGCGGGTTTCGTCGGTGAGCACAGCATGATGGACGGCACTCCCACCCACCGTTGCAACGACACCGTCAACCACTGGATCGTCAACGAGAAGCTCGACCTCGAAAGCTCCCAACTCCGCTCCGACATCCCCGACCCGACCCCTCTCCGCTTCCAGCTCTCCGCCGAGAACAACAAAGACATCGCCAACGCCGCCCAGGCCCACGTCTCCCTCATGGCCCAACACGAGCTCCGCGTCGAGGCCTTCCAGGGCTACGGCAAGGGTCTGATGAAGAAATTCCGCTGCTCGCCCGACGCCTACGTCCAGATGATCATCCAGCTCGCCTACCACAAGTTCTACGGCAAGAACCGCCCCACCTACGAATCCGCCGCCACCCGCCGCTTCCAGGAGGGCCGCACCGAGACCTGCCGCTCCGTCTCGGACGAGAGCGTCGCCTTCTGCAACGCCATGGCCGACCCGTCCTCCACCGACGACGCCCGCCGCGCCGCCTTCCGCGCCGCCGTCGACTCCCAGATCAAGTACATCTCCGTGGCCAGCGACGGCCGCGGCGTCGACCGCCACCTCTTCGGCCTCAAGAAATCCCTCCAGCAGGGCGAGGAGGTCCCCGCCATCTTCCAGGACCCGGCCTTCTCGTATAGCTCCTCGTGGTTCGTGTCCAGCTCGCAGCTGAGCTCGGAGTACTACAACGGATACGGGTGGAGCCAGGTCATCCCCGAAGGATGGGGGTGAGTTTTCTTTTTCTTTTCCCTTGCTTCCCTTTTTTTCGTTTTGTTTCTTCTCCTTCCCTCTCTCCAATCCCCCCTCCTCCCGATCCCACACGCGAGAAATTCGTACTGACGGCTCCTTCCTCCCCACAGAATGGCCTACATGATCAACGAGAACTCCGTCCAGTTCAACATCGTCTCCAAGAACCTCGGCGCCGAGCGCATGGCCTTCTACCTCAACGAAGCCGCCTGCGACCTGCGCGACCTCTTCCAGGCCGAGCTCGACGCCGCCGCCAAGGCCGCCAAGGCCAAGCTGTAGAACGGGCATCATCACACCTGTTTGAAAAAAAAGGAGATGAGAGAGAGAGAAAGAGATAAAGAGACGGGGGAGAATCTCAAAGAGGGAAACACGGATGCGGGGCAGAAACGCGACCCCGAAGCTCTTCTCCCCTCCCCATCCGTCCGTGGAGGAGAAGAGGTTCTCTCTTTTCTCTCTTGCGGAATTCCATGTCGATTTTGTTTCTTCCTCCGCGAGCTTTCTGTTTTGATTTTTTTCCCCTCTCCCCCCCCCCGCGCGAATTAGATCCCTCTCCGAGAGAAGATGAGCCGGACGATTCCGCTCGGCATATGGCGGTCGTGTGTACGCCCGCCGCCGCCGTCGTCGCGTCCCATTGTATAGAAGAAAGAAAGAAAGAAATGAAAAGAAATTCAAAAGATAAGAGGAGCAAACCCCCGATTTTTTTTTAATTATCTATCCACTGTAGATCTAGACGGAGGAGGGAGGAGGAGGAAGAGGAGGGGCAGGAGAAGAATATCTCGACCTGTGACGAAACACACACAAAGAGATAGAGAGAGAGAGTGTGTGTGTGACAGGGATCGTCGCACGTGCGGTTATTTCCACCATGCATTCGCTCGCTCGCTCATCTTGTCTCATTATGTGACGTTTATATCTATATTAGAGAGAGAGAGAGAGGGCCATTCCCATCCCCATCCCCATCCCCATACCATGCATCTAGTCAGTCAGTCAGTCCACACCTTCCTTCCTTCATTCGTTCACCCCCGACGGTACCCCGACCCCTCGTCGAACAGATCCTCAAACACGGGCTCGTCGTGCCCGCGCCGTCCGTCTCCGCTGCCATCACCACCACCGCCGCCGCCTTCGAGCCCCGGCCGCGACGACGACGGCCCGGAGCCTCGGCTCCTGCGCTGATCGGATCTTTCATCGTCGTCGTCGTCATCGTCGCCGTGCCCATGACCACGACCGTAGCCATGGCCTTCTTGATGTCGACGGGGTCGGGAGTGGTAGTGTTGAGAAGGGCCCGTCATGCCCACGACGTCCAGATCCATCAAGCGTCTCGAGAGGAGCGATTCGTTCGGCGGCGGCCTGTTGTCGCTGTTGTTGTGGCTGCCGCTGCCGCGGATGTTGTGACCAGTGGAGCTGAAATTACCGCTGTTGTGGCCGCGTGGGTCGATGCCGACGAGGGCGCGGTAAGGGGCGGGGTCGATGCCGTCGGTCGCGGAAGGCGCGAAGGGGGCCATTCCCCGAGGATGATGAGGGGGGCTGGGGAGGCTCGGCTCGGATCTCCCGAGCATGTCCCTTCCTCTCGTTCGGCGGCCGCGGCTTTCTGGTGGGCCGAAGGGTTCGTGGAAGGTGGCGGCGGAGAAGTGGGTGAACGGGGAGTGGTTGTGGCGGGGATTCGCGGATGTTGGTGGAGAGGAAGGAGAGGAGATCAAAGAGGTGCCTGTGTTGAGTGGGTGGTGCTGATCGCTGGGTGGGTCGAGGTCCATATCGTCGTCGAGAGCGTGGCGGCTTTGAGGGCGGGAGGCGAGGGTTGGTAGGACGGAAAAGTGCCTGGGTGGAATGGATGTGAAGGCAGAGAGATCGTCCTGAGATGGATTATTGGGAGCGGGACTTTGGGGCGAGAAATGGTGCGAGAAGGGTGACCACTGGGTCTCTTGGATAGGGGAGAATTGTGGGTCGAGAATGGAGCTGCGGCGACGAGGATTCGGGGGTGTAGCTGCGATGACGGCCGCGGGTGGATCACGGGTGATCTTGTATGTGCTGTATCGCGGGTCGGGCATCTGGACTTCGTTTCGGAGCTTTTCTTTCCCGTCGGGTACGCGATTGGCAAAGACGACCCGAAGCGATTTGTATAGGAAGTATCGACCTTTGGCGGGACAGCAGATATTCAAATGAATGAGGTATCGTAGGATGGGCTTGTCTTGGGGATCGCCGCTGGGATTGATGCCAGCTTCTGGTCGGTCGGTGCCGAGATTCTTTCGTGAAGATAAAGGCATGTCGATGATCGGACCAGCAGAGTAGCTACGCTGACGAATGAAGGTCTTTTGACCTGGCTCCATATCTGACAGATCATATGGTACGAGGAAAAGCTTGACGGCAGTCTTGTTGGGATTCTTGATCACAATTTGCAGTTGTCCTACAGCAGGGATTCGATAGCATCCGCCAGGTGGCGCTCGCGGTGAACCAGAGCGTCGTTTTTGCTTTTGCCTTCGCCGCTGTTGCTGGTGTGCTTGATCGTCTACAGTAACACTTTCAATGCGACTTCTAGAAGCTGCCCGACTTTCAGCAGGACTCATCGCTGTTTGAAAATTCTGTCTCCGCCGTCGTTCGGAAGCATCTCCAGTCTGTAGATTATTTTCAAGATCGATAAGTCCGACATAGGGACTCGGCTGATCATTGGTAGGATTGACCTTGCCTCCATTTCCATAGCTGTAAAATACTGCAGGAAATGGTATGCTGACATGGGAAGGACACCTCAAACTTGGCTTGCAGTTGCCCTTGCCCAGTACTCCTATCTGTGCAACAAAATTCAGCGGCTTGGATGGAGTGGTCGACATTCGACCGCGCAGAATAGACTCCTCATATGATCCGACCATGGGTGCGTGATGAAGCGGTGAATCTGACAGAGATGTTCTGCGTGTATGGCCCATTGGTGACTGCGGGAGACTCGCAGAAGTCCTAAATATCCTTGGTCGTTCAGGTTGTAATGCTTGACATGGATATGATCTTTCCGATCGAAGTGTAGGAACTCCTGCATGCGAAAGGCCGGGAGGTGACGTTCCTCGGTGAGAAGAGTAATCATACATGTAGGTAGGTGAAAATGTATGCCTACGAGTCTTATCAGGACTTCGAGAACGCATGCGTGAAGATTGATCTGGCGTATCTGGTCGAGAAGACTGAACAAGAGGACTAGTGGGAGGCCTGTAGACGAAACTGGAAGAGAAGGAGCTGTACGATGGAGCTCGTGCTCTTTGGGCTGGAATTGGTATACCATTTGGCTTTGTCTCTGTTTGGAAGATGCCAGGATATCGGAGGGCATTTGCAGGAAATCTCGAGTCCCACGGAACGACCGGAGATGTAGCAAATAGAGTTCTAGTATCCAGCGCGCGTGATGCACCGTCAATTCCTTCTCCTGAACTTGATGGTCCTTCTCTTTCTCGAAAGTCTCCTCGATGCAAAGCCGACCGAGGTCGTTCGATTTGCATACCGACCTCTTCATCGTTCTGCCGTCTTTCTGGTGTTTGTGGAGTTGTAGTTCGAGAGATCTGATCCACATGAACAGGTACGGGAGATTTCCGCCTTTCTAATTCAGGCGAAGTTGGCCGAGACAACACCTTGATCTGTCGTATAATCTCTCGACGATCTACAGCGAATGGTTTGTGCGAGTTTGTAGGAGTCCTTGGCCGACCGGTATAGTATGGGTTGAAGATGACAGGGCTGGTGGTCCTACTCGGTCGACCACTCTCCGGACTCGCTGTCATCGCTCGGTGTATGCCATCTTCGGTTGGCCTCGTCGATGCGTTCTCGACAGGAGATTCACCAGAATTTCTACGACCTGTGCCGGTTGTCTGAACAGCCATCCCACGTCTTTGAGTTCACAGCTACAGCTTCAAGCTTGCCCGATTGTCACAGCTCTTAATGCGAAGGTGATCTACTGTCAGGCGAAGATGTTGGCGTGGTCGTATATACATAGGGCTCGAGAATGGTGATTTCCGGACCTCAGATATAAATTTCGACAATATCGATTTGATCCTTCCCAACGTAGTGATCTAGTATGTTGCTGGCTATTGTACGAGACACAGCAGGAGCGTCGGAGGTGAAGGAGAGGGTCTGATTTGCCCGGCCGTTATCCGACGGCGATGGCGTCACTCCGAGAGGGTATTGACGGGATAAACGTCGAGTTTGATAAAGTCCATAGAGTGGTGGAAGAGGAGGAAGAAGTCATGACCATGAGATCCATAAAGGTGCGAGATTGGAAAGACATTGCGTGTGTGTATGCTAATAATACAACATACCCATGGGCATACATACATACATCCGCGGTCATTACAGGAAGAGGTGGATGGATGGGTGATGTCCCGCTCAGTCAGGCTTGTCCTTTGAGTCATCTGACGTTTTAGGCCGGGAGTTCCATTATGGTGGAGGGAGAGAGAAAGAGACCAACTCGGACGCCGAACACCGCTTTGTCTCTCTCCTCCTCCACCTCCTCCTCCTCCTATGCGTCCCACGGACTTTTCCCGTCTCCAGTATGTCAACTCTACCCAAGCTACTGACTGATAACGCATTTATATCGCGCGGGACCAGCCAGATATGGACCTCGGAGCACTTGGACACCACATACAGTATTCTCGCGATTGCCTAGTGTTCGGTTGTTACTCTCCTGAACAATGATTATTATTGTGTGGGTGGGATTCTGCCGGCGGGTCAACGGCCTGTCACGCCTGTATAGAAGAGGGCATGGCCCAGATGATCCGCTTCTCGTCCACCCAAGAATCAATCCAAGCCTTGCCCAGTGCCCAGGTAGAAAGTGTGTACGGTACAGTAGACAGTTTGCCCGCGTGGTAATCATGATCGGTGCAGGTGTGATGACATACTTCTCTCTGGAAACGCCTGCTGGCTTCGGCCTACACAGTTTCCTAATGCGGGCGGGCGGAATTTGCCCTGGCTCGTTCGAGAAAGTCTTATCGATATTGTATTCAAATTCTCATTTTCAGAACTCTTACATCGTCACAAATCAACCAAATCATTTTGCGCTCTCCACAAGACAGAGTCCGATATGGCCGAAAAACGGAAAAGAGACGGCGATGTGAATGCGTCTGCAGACCGAGGCGATGCGTCCAAAAAACCGAAGCGAGGCTTCACTGTCGGACCGCAAAATTTGCCCGATGGAGTTTACAAACGCAAGAGTAGGTTCACAATCGAGAGCGCATTCACGACCCGATCGCGCGCGCATAAGCTTACAGTGTTGCAGACCAAGAGATCAAACAATCACTCATCGACCGTGCCAAGATCAAAAAGAACTACGCAAAGCTAAGAGCGCAAGCGCAAGTCAACGACGAAGAAGAATCAATCCCGATCCCCGCCTCGGCCGCTTTCGACGATTCAATACAAATCCCCGAACCCACAAATGCACCTCATCCCGATCGGCAGACTTTGATTGACCGCGAAGAGGCTGAACCGGAAGCCTCTCGCAACACCGAGCCTGGACCACGACGGCGGCGACCCAAACCCGCGCCATTCAAGAAAGAGCACGAGGAGGGCCAACGAAGGCTGGCTGAGGCAGAGGAGCGGAGGGCAGCACGCGAAAAGGCGGAGCTTGAGCGTAAGACCAAACTGGAAGAGCGGGAAAGGTTTCGCACAGCGATGGCAAAGGCGCGGACGGGTGGAAGGAATGGGCAGAGAAAGTTGGGTCGGGAGAGCCAACCTTTACTCGAAAGGGTGAAGAGGATGATGGGAGCGGATGGTGGTTGATTTCCAGGCATTTGATGAGACGCAAGTGTACCTCCTCTCACCTCTGAGGTTTTGCGAATGACTGTTGATCTGCTGGTGGACCCCAGAAGCTTGGCTCACCGCTTCAAGACTGGATTCTAAGACCACCGACTACGGCCAACGACTACGGCCAATTTCGTAAAGAATCCTACATCAAGGAGACAATATTTCCTTATATGTTCGTCCAAGCATGAAAGGATATCAGCAACCCACTATCCGGCGTGATCCAGAGCTGTGGATGGGCGCATACGATCCGCTCACACGCATCATGGGATCTCTACGCAATGCAATGCAATGCAGAACTTGTTCGATGACCCACAAACCCTCATCCTCAAGAAAGGTGGTAGCACCGACGAAAACGCTCACGGAGATTCGTCCCGCGACATTCATTCGGTCCGACCAGCTCAAGGAGAAAATCCACATCGGAATTGTTGCATCGTGGTGGAGTTATCTTCGTAGCTCCGCAAAATCCGCGCGTATGACATTTTACAGTGGAGCTTCTGAGGAGGTATATGGTCGGTACGTACCCGAAATTGCTGCAGCTGGAGCTCCGACGAGCTACGAGTTTTGGAAATGCTTATTGCATAGGTAAAGTATAGATAGTGCGTACAATCAAATCAGCAATCAAAGTCACAATTCGCTCACTCATACTGTCGGCTTATTGTGGTAAGCAAATTCGCATCGAGTGGCGACACAAAACTATATAGAGCCCACCAACGTCCTCTTCTCCCTCCTCTGGCAGATTCAACGCCCCAGCGATTCACTGCATTGTCAACGAATAAGCTCTTCAAACATTAAACCATGACCGTCCCCACTGCTGCTCTCCCCAAATCCCTCCTGGGTCATCACCGTCTCCTCTCCCCAACCGCCGGCGTCCATGTCAGTCCCATCTGCCTCGGAGGCATGAGCATCGGCTCAGCATGGTCCTCCTTCATGGGCGAATGTTCCAAGGAGACCGCCTTCGAAGTCCTCGATTACTTCTATTCACAAGGCGGCAATTTCATCGACACGGCCAACGGCTACCAGAACGGCGAATCGGAACAGTGGATCGGCGAGTGGATGGAACTTCGTGGGCGGAGAGCCGAGATGGTCGTCGCGACGAAGTATACGGCTGCTTTCATGACGTATCGTGGCGAGGAGGTCCTGCAGAGTAATTTCGGGGGTAATTCGAAGAAGAGTCTGAGGGTCAGCGTGGATTTGAGTTTGAAGCAGTTGAGGACGGAGTATATCGACTTGGTAGGTTGATCCGTTTCTCTTCGGCTAGTTGTTCACAACCGCCATATCGTGGCTCGGATGATATTTGAACAACACGCTGACGGACGACCTCAGCTGTACGTCCATTACTTCGACTGGTCGACGAGTATCCCGGAGATCATGCAGTCGCTTCATCAGTTGGTTGCACAAGGAAAGGTGCTCTATCTCGGCATCAGTGACACTCCAGCGTAGGTCTCATTGGTTGAGAGAGTCGGACACAAACAAGAGCTGATGAAGTAGCATAGATGGATCGTCGTCAAAGCAAATTGCTACGCTAGACAACACGGCTTAACAACGTTCTGCGTCTATCAAGGACGATGGAGCGCCGCCGAACGAGATTTTGAGCGGGAGATTATCCCCATGTGCCGAGATGAAGGGATGGGTCTAGCACCTTGGGGTACACTCGGAGGAGGTAGGCGGATCTCTCTCTCTTTCTCTCCTGCGATGAGTGTGGAACGAACGAATGACCAGCTGACCAACGTGAATCGATCAAAACAGGCTACTTCAAATCTCCCGATGAAGAGAAGAAAACCGACGGCCGTACCCTGAACGTCAAAACCGGCAAGGAAGAACAAGTCTCCGTCGTCCTCGACAAAATCGCCAAGAGCAAGGATACCCTCATCACCAGCGTAGCATTGGCCTACGTCCTACACAAAGGTAAGTTTCCTGTCCACTCACTGACTTACTCATCCTTCCTTCTCTCCCATTCTACGCCCCAGACCAGAGAAAAAAAAGAGAAACAGAAAAGGCTGACTCGTACTCGCCATTCGACCGCACAGCGCCCTACGTCTTCCCCATCTGCGGCGGCCGCAAAGTCTCGCACCTGCAATCCAACATCTCCGCGCTCAGCCTGCGCCTCACCGAGGCCGAGATCCAGGAGATCGAGGCCGCCTATGATTTCCAGATCGGTTTCCCGCATAATTTCATTACGGGAGGGAACTTTGCGCCGAGGGGGCCGCAGGATGTGCTGTTCACGAAGAGACAGGGACATTTGGATTATGTCTTGCCGGAGAGGCCGATTGAGCCGCGGGAGGAGATCAAGGAGGTGTGAGAGCAGAGGATGTTGGCATTTCCTTTCCCCTCCGCCATTTTGTGATCTATGGATTCAGAAAAAGGTCAGAATTGTGGGATGAGGTTGAACGGTCGTGGATGAAGAGGACTCGGTCACACGACGCAAGTAGGAAGGGTAAAAGTTCCGAAAATCACAGAATCTTCTCTCTCGCGAGCCATCTCAGGTAATGACAATCGGTTTCTCATCAAACCTCCCTCCACCTCCTCACATCTCCCTCCTCTCCCACCTTCATCCACTCAACCATTCGTTCACTTCGCCAACGCCTCCAGCCTCTCCCCATCAACCCTAAGCGTGACCCACTCCACCTGCTCCCTGGCGCCCAAGGCGCGATAAAACTCCAAGCTGGACTCGTTCCACTTGAGGCAGCACCACTCCAGCCTGCCGCCGCCGATCTCCTTGCACTCCCTCGCCAACGCCCGGATCAGGAGCTTCCCGTACCCGCGTTTCCGGAACGCGGGCCGCACGAAGAGGTCCTCGAGGTAGATGCCCGGCGCGCCCCGCCACGTGCTGTAGTTGGTGAAGAAGAGCGCCATCCCGGCCACTTCTTCGCCGGCTCCGTGCGAGTCGGACGAGGGCGCGCGCAGGAGCAGCGTCTTGGCGTAGCCTGGACTGGGGCTTGAGGGAGAGTGAGAGGAGGAGGAGGAGGATGCGGAGGCGGAGGGCGTGGAGGTTGGAGAGGGTGCGAAGGTTAGAGTCCGCAGCAGGCTCTCTTCCGTGGCTTGCACGGCCGTGGGCTCGTTCTCGTAGCAGGCGAGTTCGTGGATCATGGCGAGGATTTCGGGGATGTCTGGGAGGGAGGAAGTGGGGAATGGTTAGTGGGATGGTTTGGTAGATGGGAGGATTTTTGGGAGTTTCATTGAGTCGTTACTTGCCTTCGACGGTGGCGAGGCTGATTGTGGGTTCTCGGTGGTCTGCCATTGTGTCTTGATCGGAATTGTGGTTCAGTCTTCTTTTTTTTTCTTTGACGAGGACGACGATGAGGAAGAGGATGGTTTGAGAGGTGGAGTGGGGTTATGCGAGTAGGAGTTTTTCGATATGTAACATATACAGGATGAACGAAAGTGATGTTGTTGCGATATCTCGGGATCTGTTGGGTTAAATATAATAAATTAAAGATCAACATTTCGTCATATCAAGAGTACCTTCCATGCATCATTGTAGATCTTTGCGTTTCTTTGAGTCATTGATGGCAGGAATCTCCTTTCCTTCCTTCCTTCCTTCCTTCCTTCTTTTCCTTACCTCCCGACATCGTCATCATTCGGATATACCGTGGAGATACAGTTGAGCAGGACAACAAAGAGTCGGCGAGCACACGCATGGCTACGATCGGCATAGGGATGATTGAGACAACGTCAAAGAATCCTGTCAACCGCTTGATGTTAAACAACACGAAGGCCTACAGGTTGTACGATCCGGAAAGTTGTGTTCATGTTGGTCATGTGAAATACTCGAGAGAGACAGTGAGTGACTGTGGCTATCCCCATGGCATTACGTGAGTGAATCGCGTCTGGCATTGAATTCGCTGCAGTGACGAGTGTAGTACTAGTGCTCTCCTGTACACCTGGGCAACCTTGGAAGTCATGTACTGTATACTGTAATAAATGTAATGACCAGGAGCGGGGAGCTCTGAGTCGTAGGTGGGCAGCCGTGATTCGTATGATGATGAGTGGATTGATTAAGGGACAACTAGTAGGCCATTATTACATTTTGATGTGGACCATCTGGGCAGTGGTCAATCCGATTTCTTGCCCCAACGACGCCCTATGAAGTACATTTAAAATTCGCGTTGTAATGATAACGATAATGATAATAACCGATAAAGATGTACATACTGTTGTATAGTACAGGATTGGTTGGTTTGACTGCAACGCGAAACGGAAACGGCCCCCAGGCGACAATGTGTTGGAAGGCTCGGGCCGCACCTCTGCCTTGCCCATTCCCTCGACGCTCCTCAATCTTCGACGCGTCCACTCGCGTAAATTGGCCAGCGCGTCCTTTTTCACGTTTCGGCAGTGTCCCAAAGAAGACAGCGAATTGGCTCGGATCACCATTGACATTGGGTCGCTATCTCGGCTCAGCAGTCCTCGCAACGTCGCTCGAGATCCAATTCCTCCCTCCCCGCCGGCTCGACAAGTAGAAGTAGCATGGTGACGCCTCCTCGCTGTCATGCCCCAGACCCCGCAGCATTCTTTTCAGCAAATGGCGCCGGTCGCATCTCCTCAACAGACCGCCGGACAAGCGCTCGCCGTGCCGCAGATCTATGGGAATCACAATCACGGGTACAACATGTCTTTCGACCCGACGCAGCATAACCAGCAACCTGTAGGGCAGGTCATGCCCACGGCGTTCGCTCAGAGCTTCCCGAGCGGGCCAATGTCCAATCCGGGCTTCACGAGGAGTTTCGGCGATGGCAAGAAAGGCGCCTCGAGAGGGCATACAGAGAACCCGCAGATATATACCGTATGTCATTTGCGATGGGTGGCAATAGAGAGCGCTTGAGCTGACATGATCACAGGCGGTTTATTCTGGTGTGTCCGTCTACGAACTTGAAGTCGGAGGTGTCGCATGTATGCGGCGGCGTGGTGACGGCTGGTTGAACGCTACACAAATCCTCAAAGTCGCTGGTGTCGAAAAGGGAAAGCGCACGAAAGTGCTCGAAAAGGAAATCTTGACTGGCGAGCACGAAAAGGTTCAAGGTGGATATGGTAAATATCAGGGCACATGGGTCAGCTATCAACGAGGGCGCGAGTTCTGCAGACAATACGGAGTAGAGGATGTACTGCGACCACTGCTGGACTATGACGTCCAACCGGACGGCTCTGGCGGCGACGGTCAAGAAACTCCGACCAAAGAGCAAGCCATGGCAGCGCAGCGGAAGCGGTTTTACAATGCGAACCAAGAACAACGACCCAGCGGTCCGGCATCATTTGGAACATTTTTCTCGAATATCTCCCCTTCGGCATCCGTTGCGCTAGCCGCTATGAGCAAAGTCGCACGGCTCAATTCACCAGCACCTCGTCCAGCCAGCGCGCAGCAAAAGCCTTCGAACATGCGCAACTCTTCTCAATCCAATGCAGATTTCGCTGCCGAAAGTCAACAAAGCACAATGTCCGAGTCTGGCGAGAGGATGGACTCGGGCTTTGGGACTCAAGCTCAGGGCGAGCCGCCTCGGAAACGTATGCGCACGGATGATGGGCATGATGGTATGGCACCACCAGCGCTGCCCTTTGACACTTCGATCGTTTCTGCGACTCCCACGGAACCGAATGAAAGCTTTCTCTATGACAATGCGCTCATGTTGGAATCGAAAAATGGAGCTGGCGAACCGATAGCATTGGCGCCTCTACCAAGTCCGGTAACAGAAGAGCAGCAGGAGAAGATGAATCTCATCTTGGATCTATTCGCCGAGCAAGGTAGAATCGACTATTCTTCACATCCTGCGCTCACGCAACTCTCGAACGACGATTTCAACATGCCGTTGGATGCTTCTGCGAATAATGCTTTGCACTGGGCTGCGACGTTGGCGAAGGTTCCGTTATTGAAGCTGTTGATCCAACGTGGCGCGAGCATCTGGCGTGGTAACGCAGCTGGTCAATCACCCCTGATCAGTGCAGTGCTTGTCAATAATTGCTGGGAACACTCGTGCTTTCCAGAGTTGCTCGAATTGTTGGGTCCATTGATTGAAGTTCGCGATCTTCAAGGTCGAACCATTTTACATCACATCGCTGTTTCATCCGGCATCAAGGGTCGCTCGCCAAGCAGCAAATACTATCTCGAGGCATTGCTAGAGTTTCTAGTACGAACAGGTCAGCAGAACAACACGAGCAGTTCACAAGGTGCGACGAATGTAGCGGCGGCAGCTGCGGCAGGACTTTCGCAGGATGCCAACGGAGAAGTGTCGAATCTGGATCCTGGACTCAATCTGGGGCAGCCAAGAGGTCCCATCACATTTGTCAAATTTCTTCAAAGCATTGTCAACGCGCGAGACAAGGCCGGGAATTCTGCACTCAATCTTGCTGCAAGGATAAACAATCGGAGCATCATTCAGCAACTTTTGGAAATCCACGCCGATCCCAGCTTACCGAATAACAAAGGCATCAGTGCTAAAGATTTCGGTATTGGGTCGGAAATGATGGAAGCTACTCAGAGTGACGAAGCTTTCGATGCCAGTCAACAATCTGCACAATTACAAGTGGACGGATCGTATCAACGATCCATGATTGCAAGTCAACCCGGCGAATCACAACCTATCAGTTCCTCCAGCCAAGTCGAGGAAATGGGCCAAGATGTAATCTCGTGTGTGTAACCCTTTCTCTTGTTTGCGATATCTGAGAACGAATCTGCTGACACAATCTTCACCCTCGCAGCTATGACATCCATGCTTACGCAAAATCTTGCCTCGCACAAAGAACTTTTGCGTTCAAGGAGTGAGCAAATCGACCGAGTCAACGAGCAAATTCAAGAATTGAGCTCTCTGCAAAAATCCACCCTCGACGAACTTCACGAATTAAAAGACCGCGTCCGTGTCCGCGAAGAGCGCAAAGCGAAAATGCTCAGCCTCCAACGCGAGATCCAAAAGAAACGCACCGCCTCCCGGCGCCCGCGCCCCGATGTCCCTGCTCCACCCTCCTGGCTCGACAACGCCTCCTCCAACGCCGCCCTCTTCGCCATCGAACCCACCCCCGACGGCCGCCTCGCCCCGGCCCAGATCCTCTTCGCCAAGACCAGCCTCCCCAGCAAATCCACCCTCCGCGCGCACCTCACCGCCTGCCAGCAAAACATCTCCGCCCTGCAAGACCACGCCGCGCACCTGCACAGCCGCTCCACCGACCTCGAGGCCATGTACCGCAAAGTCGTCGCCCTGTGCACCGGCGTCCCCGAAGACAAAGTCGAGGAGTCCCTCCCCAGCCTCGTCGCCGCCGTCGAGAGCGAGCGGGAGACGATGGAGAGTGAACAGGAGGTCGGTCGTGTTCGCGATTTCCTCAGGAAGGTCGAGGGGAACCCCCTGCAGAGCAATGTGCAGATTAACCCGGACGTCACGGCCCTCGCGACGGCCGCGGCGGCGGCCATGACGGCGGCAGCGAGATGAGTGCGCTTCTTCTCTTCTTGGTCTGGTCGTGTTTGTGTGTCGGGCATTGTTTGGGTTTGTTCGGGGGGCGTTCTCGCATCTGCCTCTTGTTGTCGGGCGGTTCCCCATGGGGTTATCCCTTCTTGATTTTCTATTTCGGATCCAGAGGGAAGATCTATCATCGGCATTTGTTTCCCTCCTCAAGAGGCGCGGTATCTTGTCAGGCACAGCTCCCATAGGGCATCGTACAGAGAAATCACATCAATCTGGTCACCATCCCTGCAACGTGACGTCCACCCCCGAGACGTGGTCTACATCGCCGTGCTTGGCTTTTTGTTTAATATTCAGCGCACATGCATGTGTGTCCAAGGGATCGATGATGATAAAAAAGGATATAAATTTGGGTTGTTAATACACAAGAAGTTTTCTCTTTTTCTACATTGTTGCGCGGAACCATCGAGGAGGGAGTCTCGTCGCGCAGGCGGCTGTTGAGCGGTCTTGCTCGGCGGAGGAGAAAACCTGGACTCGAGCGGGGTTTCCCTCCTGGAGGAGATGCAGATACATGCACATGATGTGCCTTGTCGCCGGGCCTCGTCGTTGTGATGATGTCCCTTCCTTTCCGCCCCTGCCACCACGAAGGAACGTCGGGAGATGAGCCTCAGGAATCCTCTGCTAGCCACCCGATAAGGTCGATAAATTTCCAATCCATTTTCCGCCGCAAGAGATCTCAGACAATAATCTCTCCCGGATCCACCATGTGTGGCCGCCACGTCTTGCCTGCTGCGACTCCACTCTCCTTCTCGCTGGGCAGGATGATATCCTCCGCTGGGGGACTGTAGAGATACCAGCTCCTCAATGTGGCTGCGGCAGCGCGGATCCGAGCCTCGTCGAGACTGGCGCCGGCGCCTTCGCCGAGCTTGTCGGTTCCGCTGAAGACACCGACGATGAAGACGGGAGTCCTCGACAGACGACCGGTTTCGCTGATCAGTCGAGCGACCGGCGGCTCGAAACCCTCGCGATCACATAAACGGGAAACATCCCGGGTCGGGTGTGTAAAGTAGAAGAGTTTGTCCATGGCGAGTTTCCGGCTGAGAATGTGGTCGCGGTGGAAATCCTTGGCGGCTTTGGAACCCGCGTGAAGGTAGATGGCGCCCACCAGCGCACGAACGAAGGAAGCACTGGCTGCTTCAACGGTTGTGGGTTGTCCTGGCCTGCTGAAATCTTGCGGAACAACGACCATGCTGTCATCGCCTTCACCGGGAGGCGGCAATTTCTGTTCTGGGCCGGGTTGGAGATCTCCGAATTGGTTATCATATACGATTCGACTGCTCATGCCGCGACGGAATTGAGCGAGATCATTCCGCTCGGAATATCCTTCTTGTTTGCCTTCCTTGCGGGATTTCGGAAGCATCGAATTCTCCTCCGCCAAATTCGTCCCGGGCGCCATTCTTTCAAACTGCAGCAGTCCTCCATCAACCTCGTCACCGGGAGCTGCCACGATATCCACACCCCATTCTTGACGTAAGCTCGCTAGTGTCGCAGGTCCAACATAGGCGTATTGTGCGGCGAAGAGTACTGGCATTGGTAGACGAGGGTAGTGACAAATGAGGTATTCCGATGTGGCATATCCGAGGAAATCCGATCCGAGCAGAGCTAATGGTTTGTTGTTATAACCTGGTCGTGAGTCTACTGAAGGATCGACTAGACATCTCGCGAGCGTCTGCAGAGGGAGCTTTGCAGGTAGAGAAAGACGAGCGTGCAATGCTGCTAGTCGAGCTGATCGAACAGCTTGTTTGTGTGTGGGAAATCTTGGTCGTTGGGTAGATGAAGATGCCACAAGATCCGCCTCGATATCGTCTGCCTCAAAATCTTCCGCTTCGATCTCGTCCGCTTCGACCGATTCCGCTATACTTGACGCGAATCTTCTATTGAGGTTTTCGGGTTTTTGTGCTTTCCATGCTGTGACCGGCTTCCTCCTCTCATAACTGTGATTCGATGATGGCGTCGCCAAAGTGTGTTGCGATGCGAAACATATTTGTCGTGGGGATGCTGTTTGCCGTGATGATAATCGTAGCCGGGGATTTCGTGGCGGTTGCAATTGGCGAGCCCATTGATCGAGATGTATGCGCTTCATCGAACCGACATCAATCCCTTGCCTCTCTTTCAAACGTGCACGAATGTCTCGCGATGCAAAGAAATGATGAAATGTGGGTGCGTCGATGTGATGTTCTCGTGCCCAAAAAATCATCGTCCAAGGAGCACGCGAGGAATATGACGCACGGACCACATCGCTCCGCGGACATCATTGGGATTTACCACTACAGCTGTCGGCGACGACGTCGACAACAGTTGCTGGCTGCGTTTATTGTTTCGGCAACCACATATTCACCATGAGGGCCACACAATCACTTTCTGGCGGAGGAGCCAAAGTCCCATACCCCAAGCATGTATGCAGAATATGAGCCTGCAAAATGTGTCTCTGGCGAGCTCATGCTGACTTCTTCAGGTCTGGTCGCCTGCTGGTGGTTGGTACGCGCGCCCTTCAAACTGGAAATCCAACACGGCGGTCATGGGTGTAGTGGTCGCTACCATCGCGTCCATGGTCTGGGTCGCCAGTGCGAACCTTGAGTTCCGTCACCACATGCCACAGGTGAGCTAGCGCAGGAACAGAGCAGGCGCACCCTCGACAAAATACTAAATCTGGCCACAGCCCGACCGATTCTACCCTTCACGATTCTGGACACGTCAAATTATCGAGCACGAAAAGAAGTCGTCATGATTTGGAGGTGCGGCTGGACGTCGCGCGGCGAGAAATGGAGGTATCGGTGGAAGGCTTAGATCAATTCACACAAGAAGAAGGACGCCAGGCACCTACTGTACATATACTGGAGCCCTGATCACTAGTCGGGGACCTTGTACAAATGAAGGGAAAGAGTGTGCTCTGCCAGGCCTCGAGGTCAACACAATATGGATTGCTGCTCGATCGCAAATTTAAATGCAAATACAAGGACACTTTCCTTTTTTCACCCGTTCACGATCCGCATCAGTATGAAGATTATTCTCACTGCTAGGAAATTCTCGAGACTAGACACTGGGGCGCTGGCAAGCTTCGTGCGATATATTAAGATTTTTTTGTTGACAAGGTAGTGGCTGAATTGACGATATGAAAGCACACCGACATCTCATAAGCAGATTAAACCCACCAGCAGACACGCAGGTAGCCTTTGTTGATGGGGACTTCGATGGTGCAGTGTTCGGAATGGCCGGGATACAAGCAGTGCATATGAACAACCTTCTGTGCAGACCTGGGCCTCCATCTTTGCTAAGCCAGCACTACTACACCTTGACGTTCAACGACAACAGCATAAAATAACAAAGACAGACCTGCAAGACTTATGGCAACACCCCCATTTCTGAATGTCAAGTCATTTACCCAGCTATCTCTCAAGACGTTGTTCAAGTCGAGCAACACGGAAATACGAATTACAACAGCAAATCATGAATTTCGACTTCTTATACTATATCATCTCAAATCGGAAACTTTCGCAGCCATAACACAATTGCCGGTCTGAATGGACATTTAGAACCGCCTTATCATGTCGCCTTCTTTCCAATCTTTGTGTGCGGGCTGATAAACTTGCTCCCGGCTCCGAAACTGGCCACAAACATGAGGACCGCCGTGAAAATCAACAGATCCTGGTATCGACGACCACCTCCCCAGGAATTGGTCACAGGGTATTCATTGTGGACTAGCGACGTACTAATGAACCCTGATCCAAGGATACTGGCTCCTCTTAGGGCTGTTAAGATAGAGAAGATGAGCATCGACTGTTCATTATTCTTCTCATCTCCAACGGTAGCAGACGATATCCGAGGTCTCAACACGGCCATACCCCCGGCCGTGAGCTACGTCTCTACGTCAGCATGTTGCAGAAAGCAAGAAAATGTGAATTTCCCTCGAAATTTGAGTTACTTACGCCAAACGCCAGGGAGAAGAGAACGAGCGACCAGAGGCTCTTGGCGAAGCCCCAGATGCACAAGACAGTGGCCACTGCACCTAGGGTCGATACCAACATTGGCGTATAGAAAGATTTCCGCATATCACTGCGGTCGTGTTAAAAGGTTTCCTCAAGCAGCACAAAATTTCCAGGGCGAGGACTTACGCAAGCTGACCCTGGAGAGGCTGACCAATCGCCTGAGCCAAGTTTAACATCGTCGAGAGCAGACTTCCTTGAGCTGCTGTCAGACCGTAATCCTGGCCGAATGAGGGCAGGTAAATGCTGGGCATGTAGTGGGCGAAAGCTTGCAGGATCGTGGCTAGAAGCATGATCACTGAATTTGCCAAACAGTCAGCACACATCCAAAGAAACCAGCTCGGTAAGACTCACAGAAGAACGGCTTCCTCAAGAAATCAAAATCCTTCCTAGATGGCTTGGGAGCCTTGGTCGGCGGGACTCGAGGGTGCATGCACAGAAGCCCGATCGTGGTCATGACCAGCGAACAAAGTCCCCAACCGATCAAAGTGGTCCTATAACCGAAGTTATCAAGACATACAGCAAAGATGGGCGGCATGACAGCCCCAGCTAGAGCGCCAGCACCGCAGCTAAGACACATCCATCAGCTTCAAACACACAGCATGATTAAAGTTCGATCGCGGAGGCCTTACATGACACCATATGCAAGACTTCGCCTCTGGTCAAACCAATCGTTCAGGAGATGAATCGAAGGCGCAAACAAGAGTCCTGCACCGATACCGTAGAGAACACCGAGAGTGCCGATTAATGCTCCAGCCTGTTTCGAAGATGTCAAATTTCAATCGTTCTGGTACAATGAAGACTACTCACATTGGTCGTAAAGCCACCAGAGAGCGGTGCAATGCAGCAGATGATGTTGCCGATCCACATGACATTCTTTCGCTGTGTCGGGAAGTTGTTGAGATAGTACATTACGGGTGGGAGAGCAAGTTGGAGCATTCCCTGCGACATGTCAATGACGATCGATTTCGCTTCAGAATGGATCGAGCACTTACATTTGCAAGTACACCAACCGTTGAGATGACATCCTGCCCTTCGAAAGGAGGATGGGTGAAAAGGTAGGCTCGGAAAACACCATAGGTGTACGGAAACGCCCATGCGGCAACCTCGACGATGGCTGCGCCGAACAAGAACATCCAGGCTCCTCGGCCGCCGTCCTTGGGAGGATATCCATCGTCTTCTGTCGCTTGTTGTTCTAACGTAGCATTTTCGTTATCCTTCCGCGGAGTTTCTCCCTTGACGGACACCTTCTCTGACATTGGTTGGGCGCTCATGATAGCGAAACGAAAAACGAAATTGTCACTGGGCAATTGCAGTAAAATCAAAAGTTCGTGGGAACACAAAAGACCAGGAAGCTAGAAGATATGATCTGAGAACCTTCGTGGTCTTGCTCGGTGGCACAGCAGTACCGAAAGTTACCTGCAAAGATCTACAATGGCTTCATTGCGTGACAGCAAGGAGGCGCAAACAGCCCAACACTAAACCTCGGATCTCACCCAAGATCTTCACAGCTTCAAGCTTCGAACGTTGCATGTCGTGCTTGTCCATGCATGTGCATGCCTGGAGAGAGAGGGGGCGGAACACAAGCCCCGAGAGACCCTGCATATCTCACACAAAAGTTACCGAGACGTTATAGCTCAACGGATTATACGCCACACATCCCTCCCAGGAACGACTTTGTACCCACCAGTCACAAGTCTTGTGTTGTTTAAGGCCGCGCATCCTGGCTGGACATGAGCCCTAGGTGTATTGTCGATCTTTAGGCAAGGATCACATGCATGTAGTGTTGGTGAAAAATTTGCTGAGGGCGGCTGAGATCGACATCGCAGAATTGCCCCATTTGACACATGCCACTGTTGCATCGTCGCGCTCGCCTGCAAGTCGGCTGCTGTATCTCAGGCCACCAACCATTGTACTTCACCATTATCAGCCACAATGTTGCAATGAAAATAGTGCTTACAGTGGATGGAATTTTTTCTCCTGCCGAATAAAGACACGAGTACGTGCGAAGTCCTTGAATGAACACAGACCCACAAGGCTGATGATGATCCCAGACCATTCTGACGAGCTTCATTTGAAGTGAAAACTAATCACTTGGCGAAGATATCTCACCGGTACGTGAGTGCAAGTATCGGTGTGAGATGGGAGAACATATGGCGTTGTCGTGCATCCCTTTCTTTCATGCCTGAAAGAGGCTTTTGTGCAAGCCCTCGGGATTTGTTTCCCAGTTCGGATGAGATCGGCATTTCCCCGCTGTCGCTCCCGTGGACGGTCGCCTCTGGGTGCTGCCAGCCGCAGGTGAAGTGTTCGTAGCAGAGTTTCGGTTGAGTCCGGCGCTGCCCTCTTTCGACCTCACCTCATGAGAGCATACCTAGGTAGGAGCTGTGTTCCGACATTCTTTCTAGGCAATCAGATTTGCTTGCCTAAGTTGTACATCTGGGAATCAAGTAATGTGCTTCGGTGTCCGCTTCGTCGATTCGTCTCAATAATTCCGCCGACTGGTGGTGACCAATCACAAATCAATTTTGCCTCCTCGCCAACCGCATGGCCATTGGGTTTTCTCACAGGCATGACCATGTTTGCAAGAAGTATTCCATATGCAGGCCGAGGGTAGGATCGTCACAATCCTGCCACGTGTACTGCAGGTTCGATCGGCAAGGAGCAAGTGAGATGTACAGATCCTTATGTATCTGCAGGTGAGGAAAAAAGTTTGCTTTTGAGTGACCTATTCCACGCTACTGAATTCTATCCATTTCCGAAAGCCCGACGCGTATTCCCCAAGCTTGTGTTCTCCTCGCTCTTTGCTACGCTCCAACAAAGCACTTTTCAATTTCTTTCTTACCAGCCTCGAATCCTTGGGCCCACATCTTATGCACCAATGGATCATCCACTTGACCCATCCACACACGTAGACCCTGGAACTCCTGCTCGGCGATCTTCTCCAATCGCTTGCGTTCGCTAGCGGAAAAGAGCTCGTGCTCGGCAGAGGCGAGCGTCTGGTGTAAGCAGGTGAATGCAAACGACATTCCCACCAACGCCGCCTCGTATTGCAGCGGCCTCATCGACATGTGGAGCATGCTCTTGGCAGCTGAACAGTCCTCAGGGAGGAGAGCATTACTCCCAAGGTGATGGAAAGAATAATCACATTCTTCGGCGAAATTCTGACACATTCCGTGCGCTCTCTGAGCAATGATCGCTACGTTCTCTTTGTAATTCGGAACGGGGATCCACATTCTCGATTGTTGTTGTGCTTCACATGTTCTTTGTTGATATGAACAAGCCACGGCATGATCAAAATGATTGCTTGGTACGCACCCGAATGCAATGAAGCCAACCTTCCTCTTCAAATTTGAAGCTTTTGTCGTGATAGCTCCCTCGGCGTTGGGCAACATGCCTGGCTACATCACGACCAGAAGCAGCCTGCAGAGTGACACTTCCTCTTGCCCCCAGCACACATGTATATGTGCTTGACTCCGCTCGTGAGCTTGTTTTTCTACAACCACCACCGATCAGCGGAAACGGCAGACCCAACGGAACACTTTGGTCCTCCTCTTGAATTCTATCATTCACTCTTCAACATTGCAAACACGGACAAACAGAGACAATGACCCAATGCTGCTCTGCCTTGATTCACCATCTACAGTCAGAACTCGTCGACATACGCCCCTGTCCCCTATCGAAAACGAAACGAAAACGAAACGGAACCGGCCAGCAGACGAAGTCATGATGGTCTACTTCGCCCACTGGTCTCTTCGAGAAGTCGTGCTCGGTGGAATTTGTATTGCGTCTCGATCTGATGGTGTTAGGACCATCAGATAGAGACGCAATGTAGAGAGCCCCGAGCACGACGCTCTGGAGGGAAAGAAGCCTTCAGATCGAGACGCAATTTGATAGGAAATTTTGCCGGCGACATCGCCATCTCTGTGACTACACTTAATATGGGGAAATATACTCACCTCCTCGGGAGTATCGCAGAGATCGCCGCCTTCGCCGGCCATAATTTCAGTGATGAAGCTGCTAAGTCTCACGCTGCAAGTAGACTTGTTGCAAGGTGCAAAGAGATCGCAGTCGTCGCAGGGAAGTAACGTTCGATTTTGCGTCAAGGTATCGACCAACTGTCATCGACGCAAGACGTCATCCGCCAATACGAGAACATCTCGGGAATGCTACACCCAAGCAGCGATGCCGAGTTCTGGACAAGGCGTACCGACAAGATGTTCACCTTTTCATCCCGTTGTCCGTGGACTAATAGGCAGAAGAAGAGCCTCAAGAACATATGCCGCCAAATCACGAACAAGTCCAAGAAACCACCAGCTCAGTTCGGGGGCGACGGCTGTCCATGGTTCGGCCAATCTGAGCCCATGCCGGCGGACTGGTCTTGGGCCGCCCTCTTCTCCATCTGCTTCATGCGTCTGTAACGCAAGAACTTTGAATGTAACAAGTACTGGCTTCTGGAGGATACAGGGTTGACTCTCGCCTGTGAGATACTTTACCAGCTGAGTTCCTCGGACTCCCAATCAGCGCATTCTTGGGCCAGCCTGTGACGACGAAAAAGCAATTCGCAACCAGCACGGCCTGCACAGCTTGTTGCCGGCTTTCTGTCTCACCTGGTCCTGGTGACTGCTGATGTCGCTAGAGAAGGAGTTGAGTGCGCCGCTTCCAGTTCTTCGTCCAACCTTTTAGACATATATTAGACAATCCCAAAACTTTTCATTTGTCTATTTCTTATTGCTTTTGGACCGATGACAAATGTCCTTGCAGAACGAGTAGTCATGTGCATCGTGGTTCATATGCTGATTCAAGTCGTGGTGCTGTGCGCGAGGCGGAACAGGCGGAACATAATTAACCCCAACCCCAACCCTATATCATATAACCCTAATATGCATTCCAGCAAATGTCGGGATGCCACAACGTCCTGTATGTGTCGATGCAAATGGGAAAACTCGAAAGTAGTTGGAGCTATTGGCATCCGTACAGCAAGTTCGCATGTGTTATCACAATCCAAGTGGGAAGTATCTCTCGAAGCAAGAAATCTCTCACCCTCACGGGGAATGAGGATTGAGACCGTGTCGAGGGACGCAGATCCGAAACCTCACTCGCAGTTCCGCATTGAACCATCCATTCTCAGAAATCAACGATGGCCAAGGTGAAGGAGCGCTATGAAGACAACTTATTTGCTTGAAATTTGAAGAGAGGATACCTGAGATCATGATAAAACTTCATATTCGCAAATTATGAATGCTTGAAGTGATATAAAGAATTTGCAAGGCAATGTGACGTGACACTGTTTGTTTCCTGGTGCTGCTCGGCCACGTCCCGGCCTGCAATTAGCGATCGTCCTGCTTCTTATTTTTGCTTGAGGAATGCATCAAGCTACCAGCGAACATGCTGTGCCTGGTCGTGGCTCTTGTGGATGTATGGAAGGTATATTCTTGAAGGCACTGGTGAGAGCAGAAATGTTCGTCGCCGATTGAGATTGGCCTAGCGTGTTGACGCCGATCTTGTGTGGCGATGATGTCGTCATCGTCGTCGTCGTCATTGTGATCGTCTTCTCAGTTGTGTGGGATGTCAGATCCAGACGAACTTTCGTTCTCGGTGGTAGCCTCAGCGGCAGCATTAGGATCGGAATTGGCTTCCAAGATGATCTCCCAAATCTCGTGAGCTTTGTCAAGGAAGCCTTGAGGGAACTGCTCGTGCTCTTGGACAAACAGACGCACATCCTTTTCCAGTATGCGAATCGTCGTCTCGATGTGCTCCAGCGAATATGCATTATATCCAGTGCCGTCTTCGTTTTCTCGAGTGGCTAGAAGCATGTGACAGCGAGCTCTGATCATAAGTGGTAAATCAGGGTAAAGCAGCAAGCGTCCACAGTCACTGTAGGCCGCTTTGACTTCGTCAGGGAGGTCGATGTCAAATTTCGCGCTTGCAATGTTCCAGAGTGAGTAGTAGAATCGGGTGAGGTTGTAAATGCCAGGAGGACCAAGATATTCATTTGTGTCTGCCGTTTTGATGACTGGGTGAGAGTGTTTGCAAAGCTTGAAAAATGTGTGGAGACACAAGGTGATGCTGTATGGAGCGAGTGCCGCACAGGAGCGGTAGCAATATGTTTCCGCGCTCTATTGAATCACTTTGTGCTGTTACAAAGAACAGTACGTTGCGGAATGCCGAGGTAGCCGTCACCTACACAGCCCGGTTACGAATACGAGACTTGCGCCAAACAGGAAGTTTGGCTTCGCTATTACTTTGCGAAGCAGCGCGCAGTGGTAGAAGGCACACTTCAGTTCGTCGAATCAGTTGGAAGCTTGCAAGCGAAAGGAACATATGATGCGGGCTCTAGAGAGCATCCCAGAACATATTCGCCGTGAAGTTGGGCGACATCTTGCCGTCAACATTCACCACATTCACGTCTCCTCGATTTGAGTTGCGAATGATAGCGCGCGTGTACTCGCCCGTCTTTGGGTCCTGTGTCGCATCAATCCCGAGGGATCGGAAGAACTGTAGCTTCAACCTGTGAAAGCATCGTGTCAGTGAGCAAAGTCGGGTAGCTGCAAGCGATATACCGAACACTTACACGACCTCATCCACCTCGTCTTCTCCGCGCCGCGATGCGCCTTCAACACCCTCCTTCTCCAGCGTCGAAAGTTGTAGCTTCAGCGCTGCAAGCTCACCACTCAATCGCTCACTTTCGATCTCCGCGTCGTTGGCTCCCTTGGCTATCCTGAACTTTTCCGTGTCCATCTTGAGCATCTCTGCTGCGTGTCGTCCGGCATCATGGCGTTCCTCCTCGTAGTCATACTGTCCTTTGAGATTGTTGAGTTTCCGCGATAGTGTGCTCAGAATTTGTGATTGTGCATCGATGCGCATTTGTCGCGTGCTGCCCAGAGAGTGCAATGAGTCGGATATCCGTGTCAGGCTATCTTTGTCCGGCGCAATTTTGAACTGCTCTGTTGTCGCGGAAATGAGCTGTTCGAAATGATTGTCAGCAGTCTGCATGTAGACGAGCCTCCAAAAGACCTACAGTGACCGGATCTTCGTCGAAGAGCACCATCGTGAGAATGAGATCAAAGATTTTCGGTGCAGGGTTGGAGCGCCGTTTTCCAGGCTATGAGTTGTTGAACAGCGAAAGTGTGGTCGTTCAACCAGAATGCGATCGTCAATGCAAATGCCCCGCCAAATTGTCTGTGTGTTTACATCGCGTCGTAACAGCAAACAGTTGTCTCGGAGGAGACGCGCCGGCCCGAAAACCCTAAGCCGCGAACCGCACGTGAGCTCAGACCCCGATTACGTCGGTCATGCTCGCGTCAACCGATGCCATGTCGGTGGCCAAAGAAGTTCCTTCTGATATCACAAATTGATATCACAACACTAATTACCCTTGTCCTCAGAGAATCATCAAGGACACCGAAGCCATCATGATTGGCGCGAATCTTCCATGTAAGCTTTGAACCCTGTTTGAGACAACGTCACCGCGACGTAGCAGACATGACTGATCACAACATTTTTTAGATGCAGCAGATGCAGAGAGGTACGATCATTTGCGACACAGACATCGTAATGTGACAGAAGCAATCACTGAAGACCCTGATGTTGATGCGCCGTGATGATGAAATGCTGATGTGACGTTCGAATCAGTCCTTTGAAACCAGCCGAGCTTCAAGTGCTCCGGTCGCAATACGAGAAAGAAGGCGAATATGTGTCACTGCAGACCAAATTCAATTTCGCTTGGGTAAGAAGAAAATCTGATCGACATTTCGATTTGACAATCCTTGTGATGGGCAAACGGAAGCAAGTACGAGGAGAAAAAAGAAAAAAGAACTAACCAGCATCATAGGGTCTGATCAAATCCACGACCCGCGAAGACCAGCAAGAAGGGGTTCGCCTCCTCAGCGACATCTTCCGGCAAAGTCCTGACCGTCGGCGAGAATGTCTCTATTATCTCGCCCTTGGAAACTACAAACTTGGCAACTATGCTGAAGCCAGGAGGTACAACGACAATCTCTTGGATCTGGAATCGGGAAATCTGCAAGCTCAGAGTTTGCGGCAATTGATCGACGACAAAGTCAACAAAGAAGGCATGATGGGCGTTGCGATCGTTGGTGGTCTGGCCGTAGCCGCGGCCGCTGCTGCAGGTATGATCTTCAAGCAAGCCCAACGGAGACGCTGAGGATCCGAAGGACGTTGAATTGAAGGCATCACAAAACTCCTGGCAACAACAAGCGAGGTGTGGAATGGTCCGGATATTAGGGCTCATCGGAGGCGAGGTCGACTGGTGCGAGAAGTGGGTCCAGTGTCCATGGGCGTGACATAAACTTGAAGTAATTACGAATAAACGAAAACATCCCGAAGTGAGCATTCATTGCTACACTGTAACATGGCAAATACCAATTTCATGAGCGACTAGAAGGAGAAGGATTGCGAAGGCGAACCATTCACCTTCGGCCGATTGCTCATGCCAAGGTCGCAGTGACGAGCATTTCCCGTAATCGAGTTGGTGAGCCACGCTCCAGAGTCAAGATCGTGGGGTGTTGGAAAGGGTCGCGAGGGCAGGCGGGTACCGTGGGAGGTCTGGAAGGGCACGTGAAGGGGTGCAAGTCCGCATGAGATGTTCTCCATAATCATCCTCGTCCATCCAGAACGAATAGAAGCAGAGTGCATTCACAAATCTCAACGGCGTTGTCGCCCACGTGTTGGGCAATTCATTCGCTGTCGCTAAAACCGGCCGTGAACGCCGAATGTCGCAAAGTCGCCAAGGTGCATCGAGAAGGAGAACATTCGACGTGCCGCTCGAATTGCCAAGGTGCTAAAGCAGGCGAGGCATCGTGCGCGTGAAAAGAAAACAACAATTCGGCAGGGAATTGGCAAGTGGACCGGGAAGAGGTGAGGTCGGGGCCATCCGCTCTGGCGAAAGCTCTTGGCCGGGCCTTGGCAAAACGCTGCTTGATTCAACAGCAGCGAATGCTTTAAGCACGTGGGTCGGAAGCCCTTCTACTTCCAGAAGCATGCGCTTGAGAGACCAACCATACCAACTCATCAACAATGCACTTTCCACAATGTCCATGCGGTCGGGACCATTTTTACGCCACGCTATAGGACTTACCCCATGCACATAATTTTGAATTAGTTGGTATCAGAGGACTTTCATGACATGCGAACTCGAAGTCCCGGCAAGGATATTATGAAAAGAAAATCTGAAAAGAAAACATGAATGCAAATCATGCGATGATCATCTGGGTCCAATATCGATAGATCGATATGGTGCAATTGGTCTGGTCTCAGAGAATGTTGCAGGAGGTCAAACATCGTCCAATCGGGACATGCGCGATTGTATCCAGAGCATTCGGATGGGTCACATTAGTACGAGTGGCTGGCCTTGCGTACTAGCACACCCATGCAGCACAATTGCGGCAGCATCGTTCTAAAAACCGCACTACTGTCGGTGATGTGCGAACTGGGCTCAGTCGGTGGTGTATTCAACATTCTGTTTAGGAGCTATCGTGACATCCTTCGTCTCTAGTGTGCAGCCCTCTCGCCACTATGTCTGTCTGGACTCGCGTGGGCGGCCAGGGTCCGTGACATTTGGACATGCAGTTCATCCTCCCACATCGATACCACACCCTGTGTCTGCTGGGGCGCTGATGTGTATAAGAGACTCGAGGAATCTTGTTCAAAATAATCTTCCCTTAACCAGACAACACAAGAACTTCCTCAAGCAGCCTCAAGCTCCAGAGAAGTCTCTCACCTCATATTGTGATTCAACCACTGCCAATCGCGGCATACAACCACAACACTCGTTCGAAATGGCTGTCCTTTCCCAATACGACTACGTGTTCGCCATCGGCACTTTCTTTGCCATGCTCGACATCTGGAACAACGGTGCCAACGATGTCGCCAACGCCTGGGCTACCAGTGTGTCCTCCCGTTCCATCTCCTACCGATGGGCCATGGTCCTCGGTACGATCTTTGAGATGCTCGGAGCCATCACCGTCGGAGCCCGTACCGCCGACACCATCAAGAACGGTATCATCCCTAACTCTGTCTTCCGCAACAACGCTGGTGTCCAGATGCTCGCCTTCACTTGCGCTCTCGGTGCCGCCGCCTCATGGGTCATGTGGTGTACCCGCCACTCCGCTCACGTCTCTTCCACCTACTCTCTGATCTCCGCCGTCGCTGGTGTCGGTGTTGCCGTCGGCGGTGCCTCCCAGGTCTCTTGGGGATGGAACGGTGGTAAGGGTATGGGTGCCATCTTCGCCGGTCTCGGTATGGCTCCTCTCATCGCTGGTTGCTTCGGTGCCATCATCTTCGGCCTGATCAAGTACGTCGTCCACAAGCGCTCCAACCCTGCGCGCTGGGCTGTTATGACCTCGCCCTTCTTCTTCCTCATCGCCGGTACCATTTGCACCCTCTCCATTGTGTACAAGGGTTCCCCCGACCTCAAGCTCAACGCTAAGGAGCCTTGGTTCATCGCCGCCGTTGTTGTCGGTACCGGTTGCGGTCTCGGTCTTCTCTCCGCTCTCTTCTTCGTCCCTTACCTCTACTGCAAGATCATCCGCCGCGAGAACCTCCCCTGGTACATGTTCATCATGGGCCCGGCTCTCTTCTTCCGCCCTGCTCCTGCTTCCGCCGACAAGGTCGTCGTTCCCAACTACGCCGTTGTCCAGCACGACGACGAGGATGAGCACGGATCTGCCGAGACCGCTGTTGCCAGCGGCAGCGACATCTCTACCCACGAGAAGGACATGGTTATCACTGAGGTCAACACCGCTCAGGCCAACAAGACCCACGCCGAGCACCGCGCTGAGGCCGACGCCCGTCTTCACGCTAAGCTCCGCAAGAAGCGCGGTCCTCTCGGCTGGGCTATGCGCACTCTCCACGAGAACCAGATGGGTCCTGGTAACGTCTACGAGCTCCACAACATCAAGATCATCATGAAGCGTATCCCTGCTTACATCGTCTGCGGTGCCCTCTACGGTCTCAACTACGACATCCACGCCGCTCAGACTGGTATTGCCGGTACTCCCGACGGTGACCGTATGGTCCGCGTCTACGCCGGTGCCACCAAGTACGACAATGAGACTGAGTACTCCTACTCCTTCGTCCAGGTCATCACTGCCTGCACTGCCTCCTTCGCTCACGGTGCCAACGACATTGGTAACGCCGCTGGTCCCTGGGCTGCCATCTACGGTGCCTGGCAAACCGGTAACGCTGCTCAGACCAAGGCCTCCGTCCCGATCTGGCAGCTCGCTGTCCTCTCCGCTGTCCTCTCTCTCGGTCTCATCACCTATGGTTACAACATCATGCGCGTCATGGGTAACAAGATCACCTACCACTCGCCTTCCCGTGGATGTTCCATGGAGATGGGTGCCGCCATCACCGTCCTCGTCTTCTCTCAATTCGCTCTCCCCGTCTCCACCTCCATGTGCATCACTGGCGCTACCGTCGGCGTTGGTCTCATGAACGGGTAAGTTTTTCAGTCAATCCAATTCCCATGAATGTTAATAGCTAACTCTCATCGCAGAAAACTTTCGGCTGTCAACTGGCAACGGGTCACGCTCCTTGTCATCTCCTGGATCTTTACTATCCCCGTCGCTGGTACCATCGGTGGTGTAAGTTCTTCCTCTTTACAAAACGTATCACAACGAAACTGACATTGTTTCCAGGTCGCTATGGGTCTTTTCCTGAACGCCCCGTCGTTCTACCGCAACCCATAGATGGAGATTGTTCCGACGATGTTCATGAAGGTGTGGTTCAGCTTAGATACTCAAAACATGCATTAGAAGGCGCAATTGTGGGTTTAGATCATATTATACCAATTTCAATCGTTTTGACAACAAATCCACTGCGAGTGAAGCCTCGCCTATGTCCTCTCAAAGTTGTAGATTGACAAGATCGTTGCTTATCGAACGATCATCACTTCAACTATGCTGCATTTGAAGGTGCCCTCGAGTATTGCGATATCTCCCGGGCTGATGCTCAATCGGGATTAGCTTAGAATGCCGCATGAAGGACCCGCAATTACCGTTTTGAGACAAGCGCCGAAGCTAGCGTGTTCCGATACCGTCCGCCCAATGCAGACTCGTGCAGATTTCACTTCGTGCCAGTTTCGCCCAAAATCCCTCGTCAGATCTAGATTTGCTTTTGTTCTCCGCAGATAGATCCACCACAGCAGCGCACCGCGCCGCATATAACGCTCCGAAGTCTAACGATCGACATGGACGATCACAGCGACATTAATGGGTTATCGACGTTCTGGCCTCGCGTAAAAGTTGCTCGCGCGCATGCGTGCCGTTCTCAACAAATGCAGATATCAATTCGAAACCCTACCAATCAATGGCTGGCATGCGAGCGCGTGACGGGCTGATGCCAAGAGCGGGCCTTGCTTCGTATCACGGTGCATCCTTCGTGAGGGTACCGGACTGAGTAGTGTTCCTCAAGATTTGCCAGCGACTTTGCGTGCGCACTGCTTTGCGCAGTTGGCCTGAGCGCGCGCCGCATACGCCGCACTCCTGCGTATTGCTGCTCACACAAGCAAGCGTCACCTCTTGCGAAGGAATAAACACGATGGTCATAGCCCGTCGTGTTTTGTGTTGTGTGAAGGCATGAGCCATGTGCATTTGCACCTCCAAGCCACACACGTGCAAGGCGGCGAAACGCCGGTCACGACGCTTCGCTTCCCACGCCAAGGTCCCATTCTCACAGACCGCCATTCGTCTTGGCAAAACCCGCTTCAATGGCTCTGTTCCTCAGAATGCCAGCGAGTGACATGCTCATACATGGCATGCTTAGCTGGCTTCACGGTCGTACCATCATCGGAGGATTGTACTCCGATCATCACGTCGCACAGTTGCGCCAAGAGTCTGAGCAGCTTCAAGGCAGTGATGGATTTATCCGTTAGCTGCCGCCGACTTGAGGCTGTCTTTTGAGCACCTTCCATCTCGATGCCGACGTCGCATGGCTCCACACGTGGCTCTCGGGACGGCAAGCGGACACTCCCAAATTTTTAGTATGAGATCCACAGTTCTGATCAAGTGATCGAGCCTCACATCAGAAAGGTAAGCGGTGAACCTGCGAACGGTCAAGTGAGGCAATGAGGTTTGTGAATTATCGCCTCTGCGCATCATGTTGACTTCCAGCGAGAACTCATCCGACGTTCTTCCGATGTAGACGGAAGCACTCGAGATCCATCATGCAAGTCATCAGCATTTGCACACACGATGTACCACGGCGACACGCTTGAGCATTGACCTAAAGCATTCCAAGAGCGCGAGCGTCGGCTTATGTGCCCAGATCTATCGATCATGCTACGCGCCCATCGCCAACTAATCTAATTGACCAGACGGCATGCCCACGGATTGAAGATCTTTGCGCCCTCGACAGTGCCGAAACCGCAATCTGTGTGCTCGGTGAGGAGGTTCGTCTTACCGTGACCGAAAACGAGGAACTCCTACAGTCATCTTATTAAAAATCATCTTCGCATGCGCAAAGTTTTATCAGAAGGTGCTGTAGCAGAAGCTGCTGTCAACGCCACCGCTAACGCCGAAGGATAGAAGAACAAAGTCTCGCCCGAAGCCCAGGGGATAATTTGTTCTTTCTGATGTTCCTGTCGACAGCAACGGAGTTCAAATGATCGGCTATATGAAGACTAAATTCGGCATGACAACACACGAATGCTCTTGCCGAACTACTGAAGCAGACTTCTTTGCATCATGATAGCTCAGCAGTGATACCGAGGAATGTTTTCTTGCCAGACTCGGGGATTGATCTGGCTAGGAAAAGTCGACAAGATGCACCCTGCGAGTGAAGACACGACGTGATGTCGAGCGGCCTGAGAGGTTTTCCTTCTCGGTGTCTTAGCTCGACGATGGGAGCAACTGTGAACCTTTGTATCGTGAATCGCTCTTATACGGCAGTAAGATGATCAAAACCGGTCCAAACATCAAGTCACCGTGGGAAAGGCGGTCTTGTTCTAAGGCATATTGATGACCCACTAACGATGCGGACCATGGCATACCGTTCTCATTCGAGTGACTATACGCACGAAAAGATCCAGCAGATGGAAATGAGGCAACAGTCAAGTTGTCCGAACATCCACACTGATCAGTGACAGAATTCACAACGTCAGAGCTCCAATGTCAAATAGCGAGCTCGCTCCAGCGCTGTCGTCGGAAATACATGAACGTCGGGAAACGCTTCTGATGACTATCTCTCATTTTCGTTATATACAAGTTACACTACAATTTGCTCTTCACCGAGCTCGCGTCCGCCAACTCAATCACCAATTTCCCGAGCTGGCTTCCATTCTTCATATCCTCGAACAGACCGTTGATTTCAGCCAAGTTTTCGATGCCCTTGACCGACCGTGAGACCAGAGGTCGAAGCTTGTGCTCGTTGACGAATCGCACTAACTCCGCAAACTCCTTGCGGGAACCCATCGTCGAACCTCGTAGTTCAATGTTCTTGAGGACTGCGGGCATGCTCCAGTTCATCTTCGGTGATACGGTCATACCATATTGTGAGATGACACCCCCGTTCTACGAATTGTCAGCCGAATGTCAGAATGAAGACTGGGTTGCATTGCCTACCTTGAGCAATTTCACACCCTGAGCAACCACCTCACCCGCTGCACCGTCAATGATGGCATCGAGCTTCTTGCGGTCCTTTGGAAGCAATTCCTGTAGCTGCTTCTCCCATCCTTTCTCTTTATAATTGACGCCACCTTTAGCTCCAAGTTCTTTCGCTTTTGCGATCTTCTCAGCGCTACTGCTGGTGACATAGACATTCGCACCAATCGCCACCGCATACAGCAACACCAAAACCGCAACGCCACCGCCAATGCCGGTGATGAGAATATTCCTTCCAGCCTTCGCATTTCCAGACTTTGTAACCAAAGCCCGCCACGCTGTCAACCCGGCCAGCGGCAGAGCAGCAGCTTCAGCATCGAACAAATGCGCCGGAGCCTCTTCCAGCTCCGCAGCATCAATGCAGACTTCCTCGGCCGCCGTGCCCAGAGGATTTAACTTCGTACCACCGAGAATGGAATACGCTTCCTCAGGGCCCTCGACATCATCCTTCCACCCTGCACCCGGGTTCAAAATGACCCGCTTGCCAGCCCATTTCTTCGCTTCGGCAGAATCGCCGGTTCGGACTACAATTCCAACGCCATCAGCGAGTAGTGGGACTCCGAATGCGATTGCGCCGTAGAGAGCCTGGCGGATGAATAAGTCGCGGTGGTTCAGCGCTGCGGCGGTGATTTTCACGACGACTTGGTTGGGTTTCGGTTGCGCCGTTGGCTGGTCGATGATCTTGAGAGGGTAATAGACTTTGCCGGGTTTGCCCTCAACTTTTTCAATAACGAGAGCTTTTGGCATGGTGATATCCTTGAATTACAGAGGATTACAATTGATGGGTGTGGAATTGCTTGGATGACTCTGATTAGATTTCTGATTATATAGAAGGTTAGATCTATTGCCCTGCAGACGGCAAGCTCAGAAGCACGTCTTCGGCTTGATCGCCAATGCTACTCGCATATGATATCATTTCTGGTGTTGCTGGACCATCAAATGTTAGTGCCTCAGGCATTAAAATCAATGCCGAGGCTTTCAAAGGTGTTGCTTACTAATTAGCAAGGAGATAACGAGACTACCATGAGCAGTGGGAGACAGTCAAAGATCCAATTTCCACTGCCAACATGAGCATATCCATTATTACTTGTATAGAACAGGCTGCGAAGACCTATGCGGTTTGTTCGATGGGAGTGCTGCTTCATGTAGGTAAACTGGATCTGCCGCCAGAGTTCGTCCAATTCTAATCTACATCACGACTTGCGACCCAGCCGACAGCCGTTCATTCTGCATGGTCGTCGAAGGAGAAGTGATCTCGAATCGCGATACGCTCCTGTTCCGTTGTGCACTCCTCCAGAAGCTTCTGCTTGATCAAATCTCTCACTTGCTTCGCCTGCTCCAGACGTTCGTCATTGGGCACCCAGCCCTGACTGTCAATTCCGATGACCTCTCGCATCTCCTCCAGTTCCTGTTCTTTCTCTTCTTGGAGCGCTATGGCCTTCAGACACGAATCGATCTGATGATCATTATATTGAACCGGTGCATTATGGTCGTTGTGCTGTGCGGTGGAGTCCTCTTCATCAATGGCCATCGGCCAGCGACGCACGACCTCGATCAGAATATGCTCCAGTTCAAGCGAGTTCCCCTCCCAGGGAGCGGAAGCGCGATCGAAGAGTTTGGCGCGAAGCATGACGTTTTCATCTCGCAAGGCGTCAAAATGGGTTTCCGAGAGCTTGAGGGTGAGAGCGCCATAGTAAAAATGAACCAGTCGTTTCCGCATTGTCTCCCGTGCTTCATTCTGCGCATCCTCATCGAGCGTATCAAAGTTGTCAGGTAATTTTGTATCGGGTCGCTGCAAGGTTTCAGACACCAGATCGCCCCAATTCTGGTAATGCTTGGGAATACCGGCGCACAGCGCGAGCGGTAAAATGACGGTATGCTGCCAATCGATAATCCCAACAATGTCGTACTCGTCGTTCACCAAAATATTGCTCGGCGAAAAATCGGGATGGCGCAAAGTTGGACGCGCAAATCTGTGATCGTCATTGATCGAAAGCCCAGGCGTAATCTTCAGGTAGTCGTTGAGCAAGTTTGCATGACGTTGAGGTTCTTGCAGCTTGAAGCCCTGTAGCTCGCGCAATGAAGGCTCGACATCATGTCGTGGCTTTCCGTACTGCTTGCAAAAGGCTATTTCTCGCTTCGCCACCGCTTCAAAACATGACTGAAAATCGGTCCCTAGAAAAAGTGTTCAGCGATTTAACAGTCTATCCATGAAATTTTTGCCCAGGAAACGTACATGGGCCGCGATCCACCTCGAGTGCTGCTCGTTCTCTATACCACCATGCATAAGCTGCGCTGGGCCCGACGACAAGCTCGCCTTCGCCCTGCAGACTTGGACCAAGACTGATACCAGGATTTCCGCTGGGAAGATCATGACCGAAGTACAAACTTCCGTACGCGGGAAGCTGAATTGCCAGTAATTTCTTCTCTAGGGCCAGGAGTTGCTTCATGACCTTCATAAGGGTTTTGTTTGGGAGCGAGAACCACTCATCGCCGAGCGATCGACCCTCCATCTTTTCGAGCAATATGTACGGGGTCTTCACGGGATTGTCGGATAGAGGACTGTAGCCGTAAACCTTTGGAACCGGCAGTCCTTGAGCGCGGAGAAACGTCAAGGTCGCGGCCTCGCTTGCCACTGAGTGACGAAGAGGAGCTTCCATGTTGAAAGGTAATCTTGCTAGGATTTTGAAGCCGTCCTTGAATGTTGCTTGGATGATGCGATTGAAGCCGCCTTCGGCAAACTTGTCGACGGATTCAACATCTGCCCGGTCCCGGTTCAATGCATGGCAAATGGCGTTACTCAGTTCGCTCGGACAGAATAATGATTGTCGCTCTCGCATACGAGCTGGCTCATTGAATCTTGACATTTGTTAGATTTTGTTGTCCGCGTGCAACGCCTGGGCAAGCCTAGTCTCACAGAAATCTTCCACTTGTGTATTCAAAAAGGTCAGATCCGTATGTTGGGAGCTTCGCCGCTGTAGCCATGTTGCGAATGCTTGTTGCTGACCTGAAGAGCCGCATTGTTGCGTTCATAGTGCCTTGTGCCGGACATCGATGCATATATATATAGACGAAACTGAATGCACGCACACTCGGGGCGTTTTACATATATTTTACATGCGCCCGGGCGCGCCCTTGAATATTCCGCCTTCTCGGTCATCACCGACTGGCGCTGGCGGCAACACGGGCGCCAGCTGGCCATTGCGGCGTGCACTCCGACTTCAGACCAATCACGCACATTTTCAACATGATCAATTTTGAATACTCTATTCCCATCCATGGATACTTTCATCATTAAATCGGTAAGGTCACCTGAATTATTCCGACCAACGATTGCGGGTGTGCAAAATTCTTTGATCGTAGGATTCGAATACTTTAACGCGTCTGATGAGATGAGTGTGCACGTGTTAAAACGAGTCTTTATTGAAACATGGGGGGCCGGCGGTCATCGCCTCGTGCCAGCGATACGCTGTCAAAGCCAACAATCACTCGATCTCATCTTGGACATCATCAAAAGCTTGCGCCACATCGTCCTTCGTGCCTGAATCGGGGACCTTGATCGTAGCTATTATAGCATGCGTACCCTTTCCTTTGCTGTGTTTCTCCCTCCACACCTTCCATGATTTCGGAATCTTGTCTCCGGCATTGACTTGCACCTGGAAACGGTGGAACTTCTTGCCATCTTCGATAACGTGTCCAGCGTAGTCGAAGCGCACACCCAAACTCTCGAGATCCCTCGCAGTCTTGGGGAATGCTGTTAAGTGCATCCCTACTGTAGGGTTCAGGAGCTTTTTGTAGCCTCCTTGGAGCACGAAGTCCTTGACAATTTTCCACTTGTTAGGCATTGTGGTCTAGGCATCGATTAGAATACAGCCACTGAACGATGATCGGCTGCCTTACCTTTTGTCGATTTGCTCTGAAAGCGGAAGCAATTGTAAGGGCAATGGTATAGCTTGGTTCGGTGAGCGCGGATGAAAATCAAGCTGATGTTCTTTTGTAGAATATCGAGGGCAATCTTGCGCGGTTTTATACAAGGTTGAGGCTCATCGTACTCTCGAGCAGCGAGCAGTACAAATTCATTCGCGCCGCCTATTATTCCATCGAGCTGGTGGACTCTGCTGGACTGCCATTTGATAGGCCTAGAGTGAGCTATATCCAAGACTGGCTCACCCTTCCGAAGCATGAATGAGGCACGGAGAGCGCTTCGTTGTTGCCTTGCGCTGTCTCCTCAGGTGACTTCGCATCGAGATACATCCTGTCAGAGAATCTCAAACGGATACATGCTAGCCGGCATATTTCATACAAAGAGCGAACGCTAATTGTCGCGGAGTTTGCTCAACAGGACAGAAAGTCTTCGGTCCACCCGGTGCCCTTGTCGCTTTCGCTCCTCGCACGTTTCTGACTTTTACCACACGGCGCCTCGCCCAAAGCATCACCCTGTGTTCTCTATTTATACATCGATGGTCTCCACAATTTGATGACGTCCATCCAATCCAAAACGTGCTCATATCACTGCGCTGGAACAGACACAAGACACGTCCAAAGTTGGAGCTTGGTTGCGGCCGCCTGAAAGCGGCACAGTGAATTAGCGCCGTAGGCTCGAGCTGCAACCATCATACCCTAGGTCTATGCTTCTTCTATATCGCCATTGTTCGGATGGCTAAGAACTTCCTGTAAGCTTTTTGGTAATAATTAATATGTAAGCCTTAGTAAAAACGGTAACTATATAGAACGTATCAAGATAAGTAGACTAGTAGTATCAGGCGACTGCGGAACCCGTTGATGACCCACCAGAATTCTTGGAGGCTGTCAGTCTAGCATGATCCGATCCGATCATCAGCATTTCTGGAGCTCACCGACAGCGACCACGGCACTCAGATGGGGCCTCTGACGGTCGTAGCGAGTAATCTGGCCCAGAACTTTATCCACGAGCTGACAACTGCTCAGAGCGCAAGAAGAGAGCTGATATTGGAAATCTGCTGCAGATGCAGACAAAATGTCTAGACTACTCGGAGATTTTGTGATCTTGCCACCAGGTTCCAAATTGTAGAGCAGGGTGATTCATATAAAGTTCGCTTTTCCATAGTAAGCAGGAGGATGTTTCACAGCAGTAGGAAGGTTAGCAGCGGAAAAACGCCATAATGTGAAGTCCACAAACTGCATTGGATCGCTCGTCGAACAACTACACAGGTAAACAATTAATGCAGTATTATTTAGTAGTACAAGCAGCGAGACAGGGCTTCCAAACGAGTACCTGTTTGTATTTTGATTAGTGGGGAGGATTTCGTGAAGTATAGGACTACCGGGATATACCACTTTCGGAGGCAGGCTTCCGTCTTCACAAAGTTCGAAAAAGACCCTGATGCGAGGCCACCACGGCACAATGTAGATACACCTTCTTCCGGCGCTGGGGACACGAGGTCGCTTCTACGAACCCCGGGCCGCTTGCATTATGATATCAAGGGACACATCCGGGTATAGGCGGTGGTCGTAGTCAAGCAAAGTGCTCCGATCATACAAAACGTAAAGCGTACTCCCTGTTCGAAATAGGAACGAGCGTCCGCATCCTTCTCAGCGGACCAGATCGATTTCGGGCGCTCCAACAATCATTTCATCTTTGCCTGCTTCACCTCCTACCAGCACCATTTCCATCCACATTGACCGTCCCCGCCGACGAAGATCCCGTCCTCTCACTCCCCGCCTCATCCCACAACCCTCGACTCTCCCCCTCAACCTTCCGCATAGCCTCCGCAACACCCTCCAAGCGGCCCACAACCTCCCGCACGCCCGTCGCGACTTTGCGGAAATACTCCTCGTTCGCGGCCCGGCGCTCGTTGGCGCGCTGAATATCGCGCGCTGTGGCGTCTTCGAGGCTGGGGGCTGCGCTGGAGAAAGGAGGGGGTGTGGAGGTTGTGGCGGTGGTGGGTTCGCTGGGGAGGGCGGTGGAGGTGCTTGTTGTTGGGGAGTCATCCGTGGTGGTGCCAGGATTGAGATCCGCGGGGCCGTGTTGGCGGGATTGCTGGGGGCGGTGGAGGGTCGGGCCCGCGGAGATTTCATCAGCTGGAGCAGCAGCAGTAGCGGAAGTAGGCGTAGCCTCGCCACTATCGTTTTCGCCGCCCGGGAATTGGTGATGATGACGATCCTCACTCCCTCGGCCCCAGGCACGAGCGAGCAGAATCTGGGCGTCGCGCAGGTCGTCGAGGGCGCGGGTGTGGCCGTCGCTGAAGACGTGTGTTGCGGCCGAGGGGTGTGCTGTGCGCTCGACGGCTGAGAGGGTGCTTTGCATGGCGCGCCATCGAGTTTCGAGATCGCGCTCGCCAGCGGGACTGAAGATTGAGGCTTGCTGGCGGGAGTTGCTTAGCTGAGGTTTTGTGGAGGTAGCTTGGGTGTTGTTGGTGTTGCGATATGATGAGGAGGATGGTGCTGGATCGATGCCGGTAGGTGCATTATTTCTGAAGGCGGGATCTGCTGTTGTTGAAGGTCGCAGGATAGAAAGTTGAGAAGCGTTTCGTGATGCCGAAGGAGGTCCGACGAACAATGTGGGAGCCGGTGGTCTCTTGGGCTTCGGAATGTTATTGTTTGTAGTGGTGGCTGTTGCCGGAGATGCTGCGCTCACAACCGGCGAAGAAGACGACATTCTTGCAATTTTCGACGCTAGTTTCGACAATTCGATGCTCTCATGGGCTTGATGACAGGCAATACTTCTCTTGTACTGATTATTGTTGGGAGAACTTGTCGAACGTGCTAACACTGCCCCCAGCAATGCGCGCCTCTTTAGGACGTGAGGTCCACTAGCTTCCAACCATACAAAGTCGCGATCAGCCTCGTAACACGGCTTTATTCGAGCTCAAGTGAAGACTAAAGATCAACCGCAGATTGAATATTATCGACGACTACACATATATCAAGTTAAACAGAGCTGCATATCCCACATGAATCCCCTTTCCATCTATGCTTACTTCAATCATTGCCCATACCCACGCTGCAAACGCGCCAGCTAAATTCAAAGCATGCAGGGAGACATGCGATATACGAGCGATAAGGGGTGGGAAAGAAAGGAAAAGAAAGGACCTGAATGCACTTCCAATGAAACCGTAGCTTGAAAAGAAAATAAATTTAGATCGAAAGTTTGGTATCAATAGCAGAGACAGGAGAAAGGGTACATACAACAACATCAATAATAATAATGATGCCCAGGTGATGCTGGGAAACGGTAAAAGTAATAGTAACAAAACAACAGATTTTGCACCAGCAAAAATATCGGAAAAGCCCTTTCCTAATAGCAACCCACAAAAACTTCCCGCCCGGGGAAGGTAAACGCCCCTGCTGAAACCCGTTCTGAACCCAAACAAATGAACGAAAGAGGCACGTAAAAAGGAAGGAGAAAACGCCGACGCTGGAGGTACATCACGGAAATCCGAGTGGATAAATACAGTAGAATGAGACGCGCATGACGGAGCGTGTGAATGTGTCGAAGGGAGGTTTTCCGGGAGGTATGTAGATTTGGATGGGTGAGAATGAGGATGACGGGAGCGGTGGCGGAATCAGATGATGCTGATAAATTTGTCGTTCCTCGAGCATAATCATTGGAATGCTTTGTGCCATGATGGGAGGAGCGTGCGCGTTCGAGGCAAGGTTTCCTTATTTGGGATCAGCTGCTGTTGATGGACCTGGCGGCGGAGGCGGCAGTGGCGGTGCGAAACCCTCGTTCTGACCCGAGACGAGAGTAGGTGCAATCCTTCTCCGCTTCTCCCGTCCCTGCTGATCAAGCGAGGACGAGGTATCTTCATCAGCAGCACCCGAAGCTGCCGGGTGATCACGTTTGGTGCCTGCGGTCGGTGGAACTGCTATTGTTGGAGGAGCTGGGGCACTTGTTGCTGCTGCCGAGTGGCTGGGAGTTTGAGGCGGAGTGAAGAGAGGTACACCGGCGACAGTGACGGGAGGATTATTATTTGAAGATGAGGAGCTCGCGGCGATGGAGGGCATGGCGCTCAACGAAGGTGTGGGCGGACCCACTACGACAGGATTCGACGCAGTGGCAGAAAGATTGTTCGGGTCCGGTACGCCAATGCGAGCGAAGCTGGCTTCGGTAGCGACACTCGAAGTGGACATGCTGCGTGCTGGTGAAGCGGGACGGACACTTCCAGGACCGGGAAAAGACATTCCGGAGAATGGTGAAGGCGATGGGTTGATTGGAGTGGGTTGAGCGGAAATGCCCTGAGATGAAGTTTTGCGGTGGAAAGAGGGCGCATATGGTAAGGATGGCTGGCCAGCAGGAGTGGTTTGAGGAGTCGAAGTGGAAGAATTAGCGCGACCGATGGAGATAGGTGGCGGATGATGTTTGCTCGCCTGGGAGCTGTTCGTGGGTGGGTGATATATGGTACCAAGCTCCCCAGGAGAAAAGGTCAAACATGAGCAGAAGCCGTCTGACGAAGTCATGAGGAGAGTGAGTCCGTCCGTTGACCTATGGACTGTCAGCAAGCTGGAAACTTAATTTCGTGTGTCACGATGTACATACCAAGTAAGGTCGGTGAACGTGGCATAATGCAGATTGCTCACAATACAAAGTGGCTTCGTCTGTTGTGTGTCATAGAGGTAAACGGCATCTTGAGTGGCAACTGCACAGATGATGCGGTAAGGCAAATCGAAAGCAGATACTGGCCCTGGAGGTGGACCAGGCAAGCTCGAGGTGTCATTGTCCAGGTGAGGGTGAGGAGATGGTAGTGTTGCGCTTGGTGCTGGTGATGGCGCGCTGGTTATTGGCGGCGGGTCCATGGCTGATTGAGTGGCACCGATCTTGTTTGGCATAATGGGCTCGGGAAGCGTCGGGATATCATCATCATTACGAGTGTCGATAGTGATCTCCTTGGTCTCAACGACATTCGCTCGTAATTGATACAACACAGGAGAGCATTTGACCGCCACGGATGGCTTCTTGTGGCCGGGCATGTACGCCACAGGTGGCTTGTTCAGACCTGCGCGGGTGTAAATGTAGACAGTATTGATGATTTCGTCGGCAGTCTTGGCGGTATCGCCAGCTGGGCGAGCCATTTTATATTGACCCGAGGGAGTGAACAGAAGACTCCCATCTGGCGTGAAGGTCAATCGGCGGAAGAAGGAGGTGAATGTTTCGTTTGCGTAGAGATTGGCATTGCGTAGGGCTGAAGTCATGCTTCCGGATAGACTCGGTGATGGCATGACAGCGGGCAACGGCATGGACGGGCTCGGCGATTGTGATCTTTGCCGCATCGATTGGCTCATGTGTGAGCCGAATGAAGATCTCCGACTGTGTGTTGTAGGAGGTGGGTTCATCGAGACGGCCAGAGATTGCGGTGTTCCTGGTGCAGAGGGTTTCGGTGAACCTACAGATTCGGATATGGCATCCTGAACCAGTGAGCTACGATGATTGCTCAGGCCAAAATCCGGCGGCGCTGGACTATTTGATGATATCCGACGACCCGGGAGGTCCATTTTGGAAGCTTTGTTGTGCAGAGAAAATTGTCCATCTTTGGTCTTCAAAGAGTAGACGTGAACCGATCGATCCGATGACTGAGTTGCGACAAACTCATTCAAAGGATCCCATGCAACGCCTTGAACGTAATGTGAGTGCTCAGCGAGCTGGCGGACCATGGCACCTATTGTTGTCAGCTGTCTGCGACTCGCACTGGACCTCATGTAAGAAGGAGTCCTACACACCTGTCTGCGCATCGTGAATGCGAGCGACATTGTCCATGCTTCCAGTTATGAAGTATTTTCCATCTGGTGACCACGCGAGGTCATAGATCTCAGCTCCGCTATTCGATCGACACATGATTTTGACCCGCCAATGTTCCAGATCTTCCGATTTGTCCTTGCCGTAAGCCGTGGCGTGAGCGGCATTGTCCGAAGGTGTCCAAAGGAGGACGTTGCCATCGTCACCTGCAGAGGCGAGGAGTTCACCTATGAGGAGCGTGTTAGTTCCATGGTGGTGTTTGGGCTTCGAGAAGCCTCACGAAAGCGAAGCAGGATAGGCTTACCTCGCGGACACCACCGAACAACATTTACCGCCTGGCTGTGCTTTTCCAGAGTGGATAGATATGTGACTTTCCTCTCATCCCCAGAAGCTTCAATGCTCCATAGCTATTACAGCACTCCTGTCAGCTTCGAGTTCTCCACCCGCTTGTTCAAAGCAATCCAACATACCCGGACGAGCGAATCGCCGCCTGCAGTAGCGAGTCGACCTTTCCCATGAGTTTCGAAATGCGCGGAATAGATTGGGTCGTTATTGTCGTGCCATGCGACGAGCAATGGTGCAGCTTTCATGCCGTCCAAGCAAGGCTACCGTTCGCCGGTAGCAGCGGATGCTGGAAGGAGAGGTGTATGACGATGGCGACAGGTTCTGATGATCATCGGAGGTGCAACTGACGCGGATGTTGAGCAGACAAAGCTTTATAATGGAGTTGTAGTGGGTATGCAGAAGTGGGTTGTGAGAGAGAAGAGTAACTGGTGAAATAATAACATTGTAGAGTACTGTGTGTAGTGACCAGCCAGCCCAGGGTTCCAAGGTTATCATCACCATAGAGGGCAAGTGGAGTCGTTCGGATAGTGCCCAGGTGGTAATTGAAATACCCTCACGATCCTCTGTCTCTGTGGGACCAAACCCAACCGGCACACAGACAAGCCACCGTACGAAATGACCTACCTAGGTAGGTACCTAGTGCATGCAGACACGCTTTGTTCTATACAGGACATGCGTTGATGTTGGCTCGCCGGTGAGAATGACATTGAGCGTGTAGCGAGCTGGGCAGGAAACATGCACGAGGTAGGTACAATCGCACATTCCGACCATACCATTTCCCTCCATTCCACACGGGTAATCACTGCACCGAGCGACTGTGCGAGATGCCGCATGGTGCACATCGCCGATATATGATACTTTCATTTACATTCCAAGGTTATCATCGGTAATACGTATGGACATTCACGAGGAGAAGCGCACAACATGCACCATGAAATGCACTTCCCAGCCTGCTCGCGTCCAAGGGCCCAATGGACGCCCCATCGTCTGTACGTCCTTCTCCTCCCAGCCTGATGGCCCATGAACACCGCACCTGCATATATGCCCATATTGAATGTAGAGCACACCGCCCTGTAGGAGGCACGGGAGGATATCAAACACCCGCAGCCAGGGAAATGTACCTGCATCCAAACGAGCAGATCTTTCCTGCGGAAAAGAAAGGATGCTGTCCTATCCATTTTCCACGACCACATGTAGGTATCTTTCCACTTGGTCATTAGGCAATGGTGGGCGTATGAAAGCGCCCATCAGCAGCAAACAATACCAGAGATGGTGATGATGGGGAGCTCACACGGGCAGGCAAGACCAAGCGAACCGCCGCCGCCATCATCATCATCAAGCCACAAGGGACGGATGCGAAGAATCTCCTTTCATCCAGACTGGCTGGAAATTGGAAATCCATGGCACGCCAGCACACGGAAGCGACGCGTAAAGTGGGCGGTACACGGAGCATGCACGCGCGCGTCGCGCGTCGCTGGAAGCTTTCTTTAGCTGCCCGCGCCGACATTCAGGGGACTTGGGGGTCATACCATGGGACGGATTAATGAGTGTGCGGGGTGGCGTTTGTCCCATTGATTCATTCTTTCCCTTCGGTCTCCCTGAATATACTGTGAGAAAAAGTGATACAGCATGTACTTTGAAAGACAAGACACTGCCCGTTGTATTATGTTTGTGATGAGTCAGGAGGTTGTATATACCGTGAGCAACTTTAACTTTATTACTCAAGAATGAACGTTCTCTCTCCGTTCTTTCTCTCGAGCATATACATACATGCGCAGCTTCTTTCGGATTAATTTACATGAAATCGCTCGCCTGCGCTCTTCTCCGCTGACCGCCCTCAGGTCCCACCAAGCCCCGACGGCTGGGATGAATGTTGCTGAGATCATCTCCAGCATCCGCTTTCGGCGGCGGAGGCTTGCTCGTATCCTTTGACGCACTCTTCGAGGCGGGCGCATCCCGCGATCCGTTTCTTCGAGGTGGTGGCGAGGATGAAGAACCACGACGACGTTTGGAGACAGGAGAGCGACGGCGTCGAGGGGGCGTGCGAGAGGGAGAGCGGGAGTCGAAGCTACTGCTGGTGCTGCGGGCGCGCTTCCGGCTCGGCAGGGGAGAGCGGTTGGAGCGGCTTGCAGGAGCGGGTGCGGCGGAGTCGCGCGAGAGTGGTCGTCGGCGGGGAGAAGGGGACCGGGAATCTTGTGCGCGACGAGCGCGAGGCGGTGGGGAGCGGGACCGGTCGCTGGAGCTTGCGCTGGCGCTACGAGCTCGTCGCTTTGCTGGCGGACTGCGGGAGTCGGAGTAGCGTCGGCTAGTCGTGCTCTTCCGAGGTGGAGATCTCGAGTCGGAGACGGACGAACGGGCGCGGCGACGAGGAGGAGGTGATCGAGAATCGTAGGATGCAGAGCGCGCACGGCGTGGTGGCGGCGAGCGTGATTCGTCAGATAGAGATCGGTCGCGTCCTCGCACTGGCGAACGCGAGACATCCGCAGCTCCTTTGTCTTTTCTTGGTGGAGGTGATCGCGAGTCATATGAAACGGTCCGTTTCCGTCTCGGAGGGCTGCGAGACCGGGTGAGTGACCGACCACGCCCGCCCGGTGACTCCATGCCCCTGCGGCGATCGCGTCTAGGTGGTGTTCGCGACAATGATCGGGAAGAGCGACTATCGTAACTCGAGTAGCTGCTAACACTCTCGCTTCTGCTTCGGCTTTTTTCACGAGCAGGAGGCAGCGCGACCAGCGCAGGCTTTGGTCGGTTGGCCAACCATTCTCTCATGCCTTCCGTTAGCATACCCATACCAATGGCAGTGAAGAAGTTGATGCTGAACCGAGTATTGATGGGATTGTCCGTGGGAAAGAGTCCTGCAAGAGCGGGTTGCATGGCGTCATCCCTGAAACGATCTCGAAGTCCAGGCATGCCAACTCCGGAAGCAAGGTCCTCGAACAAAATCTTCACAAAGATACGGCTTGAGCTCGTAGTTTCCTCCTCGTTGATATGGACCACATTGAAAACGTGCCATCCGATAGCATCCGAAGAGAGTAAGTGCCCAAAGAACTGTGCGATGATGCGCAGGCGGTTCGTCTCGTATCGGTGAATGGTGTCGTAGTATTTGCAAAACATATCTTGAAAGAGATCTTGCCAAAGTCGGTTGAGCTTGCAGAATCTTTCTCCAATCAGGCCGAAGAACTTGTTGTATGTGCGCTCCTGACTGCAACATTCGATAATCATCGACGGCAGTTCTTCCTCGCGCCCACTCGGCAGGTTGATCCGCATGAGCTTATGACATGCTTCTTCAAATTGACCCGAAGACATGATTGTGAGGTAGATGGAACGTCGCAGATTCACCAGATCAGTATTCGACTGGTCTTTGATCTCGACAGCCTTTTCCGCCACCGCTTCTTCGTCATCGTCACTGCTTGCATCTGAATCATCGTCTCCTTCCTCATCTTCACTTCCCGAGTCCTCACCCAAGATTTCGGCTTTGAGTTTTCGATATGCCTCCTCATTTGCCTCATATTCCGGGTCGACTTTGAAGATGTTCACACCATCTTCGATAGGCAAATCCTCATCCAACCCTGGCCTGTGCGTGATCTGATCATCTTCCTCAACCAGATCGAGTTCTTCCTTGATCGCCGGATTGTCTTTATATTTGTCTTTGCGCACCTGAAACAGCACTTCGATCATATATTGTGTTCGCTTATCAATTTCAGCTTCATGAAGAATGCTTCTGAACTGGTCATAGACCAGCAATGCGATTTGTGAATTCATCTCTTCAATGTGCTGACCCACTTCTTTCATCAGACCAACTGCAATTTCAACGCTGTCATCCGTTGGCTTATTCAAAAGTAGCAGCAAAATTTGCGCAGCAACCATTTCGTGCACCACCTGTTGGTTTATGAGATGCGCCAAAAATGTAGTGCTGCTGTGACACACACTCTTGTCGTTTCTTTTGAATGCTTTCCGGAACTGCATGATCAGGCGATTGACCAGAAGCTCACCGACTTGGGGAAGCTTTGTGTTCACAATAGCTGCCATTGCAGCGTAGATCGGTGTAAATGGCAAACTTGCTGCCTGAGCTTTCATGATACTTCGACAGAAAAGTCCTCGACCTCTGACCAGGTTTTCGTTGAACAACTCAGGAACGATGTGTTTAATATTCGACACGTTGACTTTGTTGATCAGTCCATTGATAGACTTTTTGAGGGCTTCCCATGCCATGCGCTGAAATTCCTTCGACGTCTTATCCGTGATCTGATCTTGCAAAGCTCGCAGACGTGCAGGAGGGATATAAGTGCCTCCAGATCGCATCGTCAACAACCGATCATATTCCGCTTTCGCTGATGCCTGCTTCTCTGCAGCTGTGAGAGGCTTGGACGGCGCTGTTGCTTCATCTCGCTGGCGTAACTCCAACTGCCTAGCCCGTTCCTGAGCCCGTGAACGGTCAACATCACGAGGTAAAGCAGATCGCGGCGGAGGACTTCGTGAGAATGACCGTCGACGAAGAGGAGGCGCATTGCGACGAGGGGATGGTGAGCGAGATTCGGAATTGCGCTTTTTCGATCGGGCTTCGCTGTCCGCGCGAGGTCGTGAATTCCCTCCCAGTTCAGGTGTTGGCAGTCGCACCGCAGATTGCATGGTCGCCGCCATGATGCTGATGTCCCTTTCCAAAGTCGAGCAAGCACAACGCGGGCCTTGGGATCTGTCTGCGGTTCAAAGTCTGCGCACTGGTGAATGTGCGGCGGCACCAGGATGGCCTCGTCGCAGTCGCGTGCTTGGTCCAAAGATTCCTTAGTCGTCTAAGAATTCGTGAACCAAGAATTGATGACAGAGTACACACGAAGAGGAAGGTATAGCGAGCTTCATGCGCTAGCGGCTATAGTGTCGCGCTGACAATGAAATCCACCTGCAAGCATCCTGAGGACTTCCACACTCTCCTGCCGCATGCAGTCGCCTTCACCCAGGTCTAGTGATCAAACATGAACAGACCTCGTAATCGCCAGTCAAGACCGCCCCGCAATGAGGCTGGTCGTGGCCATGGCGCTGCTGCGGACAGTGGTCGGTCGACGAAGAACAACCACGCAAGGCCGAGTTACCCTTCATTTGTCCCAAAGGTCCACCAAGTGATTCCGGGCGCGGGGGTTTCAATTGTCTTGAAACAAGATCAGCCTACTGGTCGCGAAGTTCAAGGCATTGTTGCAGATGTATTGACGCGTGGCGACCATCCACGCGGTATCAAGGTCCGCCTTCGAGATGGACGTGTCGGTCGAGTCCAGCGAATGAGTGATGGACGCGAGACAGCGCACCCTGAGACATCACGAGGCCACGTGCAAACCGGAGTCATCGACCAATCTGCAGGACATGGCCATGACGGACGACTTCCGGCTCGTACGCTCGCAGATTACCTCCCTACCTTGGATAATGACGGCACTTTGACAGGACACGAAAGCCTCGGAGCTGGAGAATTTTCTACTGCTACGGCTATCTGCCCTATATGCGGAAATTTCGAAGGTGATGAAGTTGCGGTGTCTCATCATGTTCAAAGTCATCTGGAGTAGTCAAGTATCCACTTAATATGTACAGATTTATTCCCAAGCTACCACGCTCATATCGAGGAGTTTTTCCAATGATGCAAGCTTCGGTCGATCTCGACCGCGCTGTATGCAATATCATAATAATGCTGCTGCTTCCAAAATCGGCGTTAACACTGCCGTGCGCAAGTCAACATTCCTGTTCATCGATAGGCACAGATACGCTCTCCACCGATTGACTTATTGAAACGGACGATTGAAACCGAATCAGCGATAGATCAACATGTGCCCATCCGTTGCCCAGGGGACATTTATTCACAAGATGAAGATTAGCTCCACGAAGAGATCACAATTCCTCAATGTTCGTTTCGATGCACTTTCGATAAGTCACCCCTCAGTGTCTCGATGAAGTGCGGAGAACGACCCGCTGTGCAACAAATCGGTCCCGATAGCCGTGTTTGTAGCTACTGCAGAGTCAGTGCAGACGATCAATGACCTGCGATGTAGGATGTTTATTGCGTGATCAGGTGACCAAAGCCGTTTCGCAGGATGCCGCAACTGCCAATGAAAGTGACACCTTGCATTTCCTTTACGCCAGCTGATGATCTCGTGGCCTCTCCGCCATCGGGTGAAAATCTTACCGCTCTGACGACGAATCGCAATATGCTCACCCGACGAGGCCGATGCACTCAAAAATTCCTGGTTCCCTCGGGCGTTGACTCGTCCAAGGATTGATATTGAATGTTGGACCACAAGTTCATCTTCACAGGGCGCTAAACCGGTGAGAAGCTGAAGATTATTCCCGAGGCGATGCTAGTGAGCCCGCCGGTTTCTAATGCTGCGTAATGCGCGATATATTGCAAATTCCGGCCCACTTCGGAATTGGTGTTCACTCTTGAAGCCGCACTTTGACAACGGTAAAAACCGTGCTCAGACGAGGGCCTCTACCGGGCTCCAGCATAACACGAGCAGCTTTATCAAACCACAAACCGGTCCCTGCAAAGAGATATGGAAAGTGTTGTCGTCTCAAAGATGATCATTTGAACTTCGTGATTTCCTACTGCGTATGATGTGCGAATGACGCATTGGGACTAAAATCCCCGGGTGTATTTTAGTACATGCGGCACTCAACAGAGACTATGGTAGCGTTCCGAACTCTGGCTGTCGACCTGCACCAATGCAATTGGTCATCGACACAACGGTCTTTCTTCTGCGGTGCAATCGAGAAATTCTATGTGGACCTGAAGAACGATTTTATGGTCAGTGACTCTTGTGCCACTCTAACTCAATTTTAGGTTGCTCATCGCAATGTCTAGTTTGGGCACGGGCCAGGACCAGATCTCCACTAAAACTTTAGCAGGCATTGCACAATGTCTTATTCGTGGTTCTACCGGATGAACTGGCAGTCGGACTGCAGATCGTTGGGGTTGGCTTGGTTGGAAAAACGGAATATGATACTTTGCCGTCATCTATATATACCAAGGGGGGGGGACGATGGGGCCGTTGCAAAAAGGCCAAGAACTACTCCGTTGCAACCATCCAGTGCAACAAAGCAATCAAGCATTCTTTTGCAGTTCGCCAAGGCTGATATGATAAGGAGCGAAGATCGATTACCAAAATGGCGGGAGCTAAGAGTACTTCAATCTCTGAGAGGTCGGGCCAAAACTCCCTCTCGACGAAAAATGCCTCATCGCTAAGTTCGGATTCTCTTATCGAACAGCCGCAGCAAACCAGACACTCACCGCGCGACATTCCGAGCAACGTTATCGCGGCGCTTCATAAACGCGGATTAGACATTGATGACACCGGAAATGCCTGTTGGCAACCGACAAGTCGTCACCACCCGCGGAGATGGACCCGAGCCCGGAAACTCTACGACACGTCCATCATTTGTTTTCTGGAGTTCTTCATGACTCTGGCTAGCAATGAGGGTATTGCGATTGCGCAGAACCAGTATGAGGAGCTCGGAACTTCTACCGAGACTGCCATTGCAGCTTTCACTACCGTCTACTTCATGGGCCAGGTACATCGTCTTTGAGACGAAAGTGTTTATTTCCACGACTTCCCGCTAACGATATCAATTAGGCTCTGGGCAGTGTGATATTTCCCCCCATTGCTGAATCATATGGCAGCAGAAGCATATATGCGACATGTGGCTTCGGGTTCATGTCATGTGGTCTCATTCTCGGCATGGTGCCGAAATTGCCCATGGTCTTCGTCTGTCGTTTCTTTGAAGGATTGTTTTCTGCCATGCCGGCAGTCGTCGCTGCTAGTAGCCTGGAAAATTTGTGGGACATGCGGGCGAGAGTTTGGGTACGCAAACTGCCGACGCGTGTGTCGTTTAAGCACATCGCTAACAACGTCACGGCAGGTCTTTCAAATTTGGACATCGATCTCGGTCGTGGGTCTTTCATGCGGCCCTCTGGTTGGGACCGTAGTTGGCATTTCTCTCGGCTGGTGAGTGCTCATCGTCTAAGCGCAATGACAACGACAGGCTGATCTGTCTACGCAGGCACTGGGTATTTTTCATCTCGGCCATGGTTGGTGGTACCCTGGGAGTGCTGAGCCTCTTCATGCGAGAATCTCGACCATCTTTACAGTTGGAAATCCAAGTCAACAAAGTTGCCCGCGAGACCAATTACAAAGAGCTGGGTGTCGATGTCGGCGGCACTCCACCTACCTTTGGTAGATTCGTCCAGACGTCGTTGAAGCTCCCGGTGCGCCTTTTCCTTACCGAACCTCTGGTCTTTACAATCGCTTTGATGGCGGCATCGGTCTACAGCTTCGCATACCTCTTTACAGAAGCACTGCCCGTGGTCTATTCGGGTGAATTCGATTTTACACCTGTCCAGCAAGCTCTCGTCTACCTTGCGCTCGGCGTTGGAGCAATCCTGACCGTTCTACCAAGACCGTACGACCTCCATGTTTTAGCCAAGAGAGATAGGCAAGGGGTGGATGTGACGCCAGAGGACAAACTTTTCGGCTTCTACGTTGCTGCTCCTGTGCTTGCCGTAGGTCTTTGGTGGTTCGCATGGACTGTTCCACCACTAGTCCGAGTCACACCATGGGCATCCATACCGGCTCTTGTGCTATTTGGCTACAGCACTGTGGAGTTCGATAACGTGCTTTCGGGCTACCTGGCAGACACATATGCAAGCTTCGCCGGATCAGCGAATGCACCGCTGGCATTTCTCAGAGCGATCATGTCGGGTCTGTTCCCTCTTTGTGGAACACAACTGTTCTCACTAGGCCCAAACTATGTACTGACGGCGCTTTCGGTCCTAGCCACAGCATACTGTGGCATTGCTGTTTGGTTCCGGATCCACGGGAGGAATATTCGACTCAAGAGCCCATTCGCAGAAAAGACGTGGGCGGATGCCAGGAGTAACAGTGCAGCCGGGTTGACGGCCGTGAGACCCAATTCCGAAAGCGCTTAGCTGATGATGTTTAGATAGTTCAACAGTTATTGCTGATTGCCCACTTCAATCGAAAGCCCACGGGAAATTGTTCTAATTGATAGAAGTGATCTCGTGTGTTCTCGAATGTTTCACTGGATGTTGTCAAACTGAAGTACTAGCAAGTCTGCCGAGACCACCTCGGACCTGCCAGGAAATTGTGCAGTGTGACGTCACCAAATCTCCACCTTGAGCCCACGAAGTTCACATGCCGGTGGCCTCGTCTCACGATAATAGACAAGAACACATCAAGCAGATTTTACACAAAATAAGGAAACTTAAGCAACACCCCTCGCCTAACTTACCACACGCAGTTCGCGACACTCTGATTTATTATTCAAAGTTCCTGCGCACGTCTCATGGCGACTCGTCGGACGACTAACGCCAAGTTCGAGGTTCCAGTACCCAACGGCAAGAGCGCGACTGCAAACCTGGATTCTTCAAAAGCAAGATCCTCACCATGGCTACCTTCGGCCCTGGAAGGCGTCTTGTTCCTCGTATATCCTCTCATCCTCATCTTGGGATCACTCTACAGTAACTTCGACCCGTCAACACGGAACGCGACCTACGTTGCCGACTCACAATCCTACGACCCACGAACAGCACCCAGCTATTTCGCCAAGAAGAGCAACATTCTCAATGTCTACTTCGTGAAAGTCGGCTGGCTCTGGGCGACCGCATCATTCCTCCTGCTCATCGTCTCGCATCCCTCCTTCGGGCCCTCCTTCGATTTCCAAGTCACCCGTCGTCGCGCCCAGGCCACGCTCCGCTTCCTGAGCATCACCACCGTCTGGATCTTCCTCACACAATGGTTCTTTGGCCCTCCGATCATCGACCGCAGCTACCGCTGGACCGGTGGGCAATGTGCTATGATCCAGAGCGACTCACTCGCTGCGCAGCAGGAGAAGGCAGAGATGGGCGATGCCGAGTTGATTTTCACGCACGCTGCTTGTAAGGCGATTGGCGGAGCGTGGACCGGCGGTCATGATATCAGTGGACATGTGTTTCTGTTGATTCTGTGCAGTGCGATGCTCTGGCAGGAATTCCTCCCTGCGGTGTTGCGCTCGTGGGGTCAGCGTGACGCGAGGGTTATTGCGGCCGCGGACGGCATAGTCAAAAGCGCTGCGGCGGAAAGCACGAGCTCATCGGTGACGGCCAACCAGCCTCTTGGTGTCGGCATACAGTTTGCAATGGGTGTGGTGGGCCTCAGCTTGTGGATGCTTTTGATGACGGCGGTTTACTTCCATACTTGGTTCGAAAAGCTCACCGGCTTCCTCGTGGCGCTGACGGCAATCTACGTCGTTTACTTCGTACCCAGGGCGATTCCAGCAGCTCGTAGCGTGCTCGGCGTGCCTGGATTATAACGCATCTATTTCAGCGACGTATCTCTCCGCGTTGCAGCGCTTCACTGTACAATATACCCTTAGAGCTTCGAATAAAAGAATGCATATCATGATCAACTCTACTCAAGACACAGTACAAGTGCACCTGCAGTCCGGAACAGGGCACTCATTGTGCTTCGCAAACCAATCCCTTGCATGCGAAGAATGAAAGCCATGCGAGCACGCCACACAAAACGTCAAGAAATTCGCCATCAAATCCCCCGATTTAGCAGCTACTTCCCTCTTCCCTGGCCTCGCAGGATCAGGCCCACCAAGCCATAGCCGACAGATCCCACAGCGTGGCATATGACTGCCACATTTCAAACACACAGTACCAGCATTCGCCGCGGGACCAATGGCGCGAGCATTCTTCGGCGCGACCGGGCCGCGGACTTCTCCGAATAATAGTGGTCGACCATCATGCCGAGCAAGGGATGCCTGGCAGTGATTGCATCTGAGGGTGATTTGTGCGGGAGGCGGTTTGATCAGACTCTTCCCGTCGCGGGACCGGGCCATTTGGCTGTGTTGTACGACGAAATGGACGCGGTCGGCGAAAGCCCGCCAGCGTTGCATCTGGTCGAAGTAGGTCTCCTTCCACATCTCCCAACGCAAGTCGTCGACGTAGACCGGGTTTGTGACGGCGGTGACGAGAACGGCGGTTTGGAGATCGTTGGTTTTGGCAATGTATGTTTGCATTAGGTCCATACTTTGTTCACCGAGGCCGGTGAGAAGGATGCCTTCTGGATCGCCGTTTTTGATGGATCGCGCGGTCTCGCTTTGGATGAAGCCGCTGAGCTCGGTGTCGTTGAGATAACGGAGACCCAGGGCCACTCGATAACCCAAATGCAAGTAGTTTGTTTTGATGACGTCGCGCCAATCGTCTGTTGAAAGAAACGTGAGGAGTGCTTTCAGAGCTGTGTCGCTTGTGTCTGCTGCCATCCAGAGACACATTTCGCGCTGTGCCTCGTTGATGGTGTCGGAAGCTAGCAATGCATTCAGGCCGATGTTTTGAAGAGATCGGCTCCGGATGAGGGTGCGGAGTAGATTCAGCGCGAGGTGCTTGTTGTTGTGTAGGGTCGCTTGGACGATGGCTTGGTAGTAGAAGCCACGATCGATTAATTCCTGACATTCAGCCTCCAAACTGTCCACAGTGAACTTCCAGCCGCAGATTGCCAAGCACAGCTGGCGATGCTCAGGATAGTCAGTCCGCTCTCCTTCGAATGGGGGAAGATCCCGAGTGTTATTCAGAGCCAGAATCGTATCTTGGATTCCGGCCACGGAGGGCGCCAACTTCCTGCCTGGTCCAAGTTTGACATCTTCCGCCCAAATTCCAGCGACTCCAACGTAGCTTAGGTCGATCGACTCGGCGACCATTCCGTTATTGCTTGCCATCTTTTGGAAGTGGCCGAATGTCTTCCAGAGTCGCTCAAGCTGCCAATTTCCTGCGACAATGCGCAGATTCTTCTGCCAGTCCCATAAGTAACCGCGCCGACAGCGATCCTGCTGTAGTGTTGTAGAAGCTAACAGTTGAGCAATGATGGCTGATTCAGGGCCACAATTACGGCGACCGTCGGTGGCATCGAGCATCTTGTCTTCGCCCATGTAGTCTTGTGGTCCGAAGTCTTCGGCAGTGGCTGTCCGCTCGTACGGTGCGGGCAATAACGCAGGCTCGATTACGTTGCTCTTAGGTTCTGTGAAGGATAGACCATCGAAGGCGATGGCAAAATCGCTCCTGGCTGTTATTGTTGCTTGCGGGACAACTGTCGGAATATGCGCAAGAACGAGTTTGCCATTATTGCGCAGTGTGATGACGGAGGATTCTCGTGTTGGACTAGTGGAACTCGACATCCAGTCAAACGCAATCAACTTCGGTTCCGCGGTTGATGCATCTCGAGTCGGGACGTGAGCGCGTTGGACAAAGCGGACTTGCGAGACATATCTATTGTGACTCCAGCTCTGGCCACCGTACGGGTTAGATGGTAAGTAATTTGAGGCGTGGAGGCTAGATTGAGGGCTGTCATTTGTGTCCACGATCTTCAGCTCTCCTGAGCTCGAACAGATGCCAAGACGACCTCGCCTTTCTCCCGAGTATCGAAGACTCATGATGGATGAGCCGACTGCTTCCTTGGTAGGACGGAATTCGAAGACTGAGCCGAGTAGATTGTCGCCAGCAACAGTCTGGGTCATCCATCTTTTGTCCCAAACAGTGACGGCTGGAGTTCCGGTAGGTCCTGCAGAGGCAAAATAGTTGTCGTCCAAAGGATCACACGCGATGTTGTGCGTGTTGCTGGTCGGAACATGGACTGCTGCACTGTGTCCCGGAGAGCCATCTGAACGGAATTAGTAAGATGACAAAGGGCCGGTGCACGTGTCGCTGGACACATACCTCGCAAATCATAAAGTCTGATCAACGTCCTCTGTACGCCAACAAGCAGTTCCTGGGGGTGATTTGGGATAAATCGAACAGTGGACACCGGCTCGTTCGGACATAGCCTGAGTATCGGCTCGGATTGGTTGCCATAATTCGTATTGGCATCGAAAATGTTGAGGCACGACGGGTCTGCGCGCGTTCTGTCCAGGCCTACCGCAAGCCATTCGTCGGCACTCAGGCTGATGGAATTGCACTTGCGTTCCTGCTTCGGCCTGTACTGCGCGATGACTTCTGATGCCTCGCCCTTTTCGCGTAATTTGATCAGATTTGCTGTGCCGGTCTTCAAGCCGATACCGACGACGTTTTCGGTGCGGCGGCTCCAATCGAAGGCATTGATACCAGGCAAATCCGCGTGACGGGTGACCACATGGCTTTCGAGTTTTGTGCGATCGCGACGATCTACTTGATAGAGCGTCAAACTATGATCATGGAGGCCCTACAGTGACAGATATGAGTTTCGTGGCGTTCTCGTGATTGGACATTCTCCGCTCCATGATGACTGACGATGATAAGAAACCGCTGTTTGCCGCCACTCGAGCGCGAGCTGTGAGGTGACCATCGGACAGCGGCGGCGGCCATCGCGTCCTTCAACGCATTATCACGCGCTTGCAAAAGTTGCCGTCGCGTTCGCTCATTACCACTTTTCGATCGAGGTTCAGATGACGCGGAGTCCTATGACAAGAATTATATGGTGTACGGCAATGTGGAGGGAGACACAGTATTGATCTCCGCGTCGGCGATGTCACCGCTTGCCCTTCAAATGGGCGTCGCAACAGTTGAAGGCTTCGCGTCAATCTTCATGCGCATTCGTGCAACGCGTATGTTGAATATGTACATACAATCAATCCGCAAGTCTCACTTGGCACGTACATAGACATCTCTAAATCATTCAAATTTCTTTAAAATTTAAATAGTGTTTAATGCTGAAGCAGGCGAACCAACACAGAGTCCATGCTTCCACTAGGGAGTCCCTATCATATCGAAGTTCGAGTTCGACAAAGCGAAAGGCCTGCCTCAGGGACCGTCACTGGTGGCGCCGTGCCGCTTGATGTAAATAACCTTGTCAATCCCATGATAGACAGTGTGGTGCACATTAAAGGCACCATACTCAAGCCGATCGCGATTATCGAGTTCGATAGGGAACAAAGTTTCCCCACCATCATTCTCGTAGTCGTTCTTCCACCGATGTCATCGCTAGTCAACCTGCCTGGCACTCCAGACTGGTATGAGGGGTCGAAAAAAGAGCGACCGGTGTCGTAGTCACCCACTGCAAGTTCCGATGGTACTGCTGTCGCATGAGAGATCAGGTGTACCGGTCATGTTTGATGGTCTAGCGTGGTCTGGTGCGTAACGGTGCCGGGTTGTGGCAGGGACATCATTGTTGATTGGAGACATCACGCGTTCCGACTATCCACTCTCATGTCAGACGCTAGCTCTCGTATCGGAATCGATGCCGAATATCGACAGAAGAATAGATTCGGAAAATCAACGTGGCGCGGTTGGATGGTCCTGGTGTGGCAACAAGTGCTCTCGAAATTCGAGACAAATGGCTTGCCTCGGTCAGGTTGCTGGTCCATAATCCAGCCCGGAAGTCACCGCTCGTCGTTCACGTCTTGCTATTAGGCGAAACGAATCGAGTCGTGATCGCATCAACTCTCGAACAGCTGCCAAAGGAGCCCATCGGCCCCATTGTGGCTTTCGGGCTGGATCCGGACTCGATGCGCGCGTAAATTTGGCGAGAGCTCGACGCCAGGCCAAGTTTACGCACTATTTCATCGGAGTTGACGTCGGCCACTAACTCCGGATACAATGCTGTTGCTTGAGCGATCGTGGTCTACTGAGCATATACACACGGCTGGTCCATTCGATACGGAGCGACCCTTAGTGATTCAGATGCTCGCTTGCGTTGGATGCTGGAACTTGTGCGACGATGATCCCCGGTGTTCGGTAAACGAGATGTCATCGATGGATAAAATCCCACTCTGATCGTATTCGGACTGATCAGCGTCACAATACGATGAGAAACATGCCATCCTGATCATATTCAGACTGATACATGTCAGAGTACAATCGAGGATTAGTGGATCGTCGATAGCTGGGATGATTGAGATGCGGAGGTGACATTTCTTGCTGATGAATACCGTTCTGCCGATTCAACACGGATGTGGTGACTACCCCGGACTCCAGTCCGGGGTGGTTGAGTTCATCTTCAGTACCATGGACGAATATTGTGTTTGGGGTGCCTCGTTGATGCAAGATGAGAAGATCGTTGATCAACACCAGGCGGCGCCAGATAGATGGTGGTGTCTCGAATTGGGTCCTGGTCAAACCCGGAGCGAACCGTCGATACTCGTGAAGCGTGCATGGCGAATGGCGCCCTGCATACATGTCGTATTCATCATTTTCCCTGATAGCTTTTGCTGACAGGGGGCAACATGGTGAAAATGCCTCCAAGACCCGCCTATGAGTGGAAAGCCGCGGGTCGCATAGAAACGGTATAAGCTCATGGTCTGGAAAGGGGAGCCTGGTGAAGAAATGGGGCGTTCATGCGCTGCCCTTTCTTGAAGGCATCCAGTCTCCAAAATTTTGTACTCCTGTACACGGGATCGTGTGACCCCACCACGGGGAGACTGAAATCACACGGTCGTAAACACTTTCCTCCCTCTTCGGGCCCTTCGGGAAGTCTTTAAAGGCTCCCCTGTAGTGGCATGTTGCCGCGCTTGCCAAAGAATCCTTGGTAATGTCGTCTGGCTGTGGTTTCCAAAGACTCCTATGTAGTGGCGAGTGACGGTGCCCTTCTCTCGTTGCTCTATTGTTATCACTTCTTGGAGCATCTACTGACTCCAATGTTGGTATTGCGATTCGTGGTGTATAGTGTTGGTATCGAAGATGTAACTTATTCATTGTTGGCCGCTTGGAACCTTTGCCAAGCATTGCTCAGCTCGACTCGATGGCGTCGAATATGACCGGTTGACAAAGGGGCCGCACGTATGTCTCTAGTCGCAATGGCGACATTTATGGCTTGGAATACCATGAATGCAGGTGGCATCGATCATCTTCGAGACCTCGATGGAGAAATCAGGTTCCGGAGAGGATCACCGGGATGAAGATGGCTGGAGTGATGAGCCATCTCGGGGGAGTCTGAGCGGAAGCGCTCGAGGGCTCATGTTTCTGGAAACGCTGGCTTCAACCGCGAGGACATCGACCGGTGCGCTTCCGGGCTTTTGATCGACCCGGAAGCTGCTTAGGTCGCAATGGCGGCACTCACGGCGAAGGCCACGATGGACACATGGTGTCTATCATTTCAGTGGGTATGCGAGAATGTTCCAGATAGTGCACCTGTACAAGGCTATTTTCCACTCACGGCCTGCTCTTGTGGCCGATTCGAGTAAGCGATAGCGTCGATGTTCTGGAGATTGCTCTTGATAACTTCGAAAAGTACAATACACCGTCGGTGGTAGGGCTTTCAACGATGGGTCGTAGCGTTTCTTGTTGGCCTGCTTTGCCAGGAAAAAAAGCGAGGCATTGCTACGCTGGTTGTCAATAAAGACATGGATACGCTAGTACCGGGTGATGCAATTCCACCGGGTGATGCTTAAGATTGGAACGATAAAGTAGAGGGAGAGTAGCCGATGTCGTGCCTATCTTTGGTAAAGCCTTGTTAAGTTGCTTTCGCATGAATGCTTGTGTGACACCAAGCATCCGAGGATCCTTTTGTAAAGGCGTCTGACGGCACGTCCTTTTGTGAGGGACACTTCGGCTTCCGACACCGAGGTTGCCAAGGGGTCTCGAATGCGTTCCGAACGTCTTGCTATGTGGGCTTGAGTGAAGAGTTCGCACGAGCGTCGAACAGATTTGCATGCTTTGGAAAGAGGCTATACAGTCCCCCAGTCATGATGCGAGCTCCTTGCTGGCGGATGCGGAATGATCCAGTGACCGTAATGCGATGTCTTGTTGGAGTTTCCCGAAGATCTTGATCTAAAGACCGGTATGACATGTCCCGGTCACTGTGCTCGTTGTAGAGTCCCGGTCTGTGCAAAGAGAAAGGGCAAGGGAAGGGAAGGCAATAAAGATTGCTTGAAACCACCCAGCAAACTTACCTCCAGAGGCTAGCCCATAATAGATGGAGCACGCGTAATGGATGGTTGTGGTAAGGTGCTGGATTGGTGAAGATGCTTGTGGAGTGATGCTGAAGGGAGAGAAAATGGAATGTCTGATGGACGGTCGAGAGCACGATATTTATGTCTTTCGAAATCTGTCTGCTTGTTTACATTGATAAGCTGTACCACATTTGCTCTGTACTACCGGTAGGAAGATGTCACATTCCAAGTCGTCCGAGGAGTACAATCATCGATACTCGAGAGAGAAAAGTCCAGGTACATACCTGGAATGTGGCTGGTCCGATGGCTGCCTGTCCGTACGAGGTCCTCGATTCGCCGAATCAATCCCTTTAGGACTGCGTGATCCACTGTGATATCCATTCACAAGGTGGGTATGTATCACACGGTCCACAGATCATGGATGCTTCCTTGCCGTCAAAATTTGCTTGCTCATATCCGACCACTGGTTCGTCGACTCGACCCTTTTCGGACTGCGTTGCTATGTCGATACATACGGCGGCTACAGATCACAGGATCCATACATGTTCGGTACTTCATTGCCGTTGGGATTTGCTGTCTCGTGGTACAGTATTGCCACCTTCCCGAAAGGATACTGATTACACATAGAATCCATCTTGAGGGAACTTGTACGCGCGGCACTGTTCTGCCATCACCCGTTTGAGACGTGGACGACGTCCCCCGAGATGCGGTGTGTGTTTTTAGAGAGAATTTTGGTGTATCGGCTGTATATATGGATATATGGACGATGAGAAGAACGATGAAGTGAGGTGAAGGTTGAGAACGCGCTGTGGGAAGTTTGAGGGCTCGCTCGTCTTCGCCTCCGATGGTACCGTTCTTCTATGGTTTATTTCCATTCAAGCACTGAGAAGCGAGATTGCTCGGGCATGTGATCGCTTCGTAGCGTTTGTAATTTCAATGACCGTATTGTTGTTGATCGTATTGTGTGCATGTGGAGAACGAGGTGGGTCGGCAGCTGAATTTTGACCTCAGATAGCTAGCTACCTCGCAGGTCGACTCGAGAGCTTCTTTCGACGCTTTTTCATAGCGAATGCGTATAAGTCAACATCGCAATAAAGTGATATCTTTCCCAATACGATTATGTAACCGGGTAATAAGACAAACGCAATGGCAGCTCCCTCAAAGCATCTCCGTGTCGGTGTCGTCGGGGCAGGAGAAGTCGCCCAGGTCGTCCATTTACCAAATCTATCGCTCCTGAGTCATCTCTTCACCGCGACTGTCGTTTGCGATCTATCATTGGAGGTCAGAGCCGCATATCACAGGATGAACTGCATCGCAATCTAACGCAGACGAGCCAGACCGCAAAACACTGCGCCCAAAAATTCCACATTCCAACCGCAAGCGCCGATATCCAAGATGTCGTCACAAGCGCCCAAGTCGACGTGGTCTTCATCCTCACATCTGATGAATTCCACGAACCATACATCATCGCTGCACTCGAAGCCGGCAAACACGTCATGGTCGAAAAACCCTTGACCTTGTCTGTTGCCTCTGCCGAGAGAATCCTCGCCGCAGAGTCCAAAGCCAACGGACCGATCGTCTTCGTCGGATATATGCGGCGTTACGCCGCGTCCTTTGTCGAGACATTCAAGCGCGAGGTTGCTGGAATTCCACGAATTCTGTATGCTCGCTCAAGGGATTTTCCGGGACCAAATGCGAAGTTCGTGAGCGAGTCGGGGACGTTCGTGCGCAAGAGCAGTGATTTTCCTCCGGGGGCAAAGGAAGATAGTGAGAAACGGCTCGATGCGTTTTTCAAGGAATGTTTCCCAGATCACGAGATCACGCCGGCGAGAGCCAAGTTTTGCCGTTTCATGAATACCCTCGGTTCACATGATATCTCGCTGATGAGGGAGGTCATTGGGTCGCCGGAGAGCGTCGGGGGAGTTTCCGTCAACGACCCTTTTTACTCGGCGATTTTCAACTATCGAAACAAGACCGGTGAGCCTTTCGCTGTGACGTATGAATCTGGCTTGGACATGGTGCCGGAGTTCGACGCGCACTTCGCGGTTTATGGTGAGAAGAAGCGCGTGCTCATCAAGTATGATACGCCATACGTGAAGGGTCTGGCGATAAAGGTTACAGTCCAGGAGGTTAGTGAGGCAGGCGAGGTTGTCTCCCGAGAAATCATCGCTTCGTATGAAGATGCGTATACGATCGAGCTGCAAGAGTTGTATGAGAACATTGTGAATGGAAAGCAGGTCAAGACGACGGCTCGGGACGCCTTGGAGGATCTGAAGCTCTATGACTTGATGTATCAGAAGTACAATGCGGATCAAAAGTCGTGAACGAACGACATCTGGACTGCAGATTATCAGCGATGAATCTCTCAGAAGTTAGAAGCCGCTACGTTCCATATTATTACGCACAATCAAAGACTTTTCCAGAGCATGGCTGAATGGCCTTTCCCTCCTTTGACGAGTTGAAATTCGACCGCACAAATGTTCGCCACAACGCCTTCGCTAAAGGTGACCTGCACCATCCCATCACTGCGACTTATCGTATCCTTTGCTTCTCGCATACGCGCACTTCTCATCTCAGCCATCGCAGAACGAAGTACACAAACACCACAAACACCACAACTCCACCCCAGAAGATGAACTTGTCCTGCTTCGCCCTGCGCTCCACCATGCGAATAGTGTCCCCGGAAATTCCCAGCGTATTGCCAATACTGTACAGCTTTCTCTGTGTACCCTTCAGCATCTCCCTCTGCTCACTCAAATCCCCAAGTACCGCGCGTCCGCGTTCCATGTATTCATCGAGTGTCGAATTCGCCGATCCCCAGAAATTGTTCTCCCGCAGAGCATGCGTTTCACGCTGCTCGTCATTTCCGAGGCCATATGGTGATTGGTAGGAGCTGTAGCTATTTGCGCCGTTCGCGCCGGGAGTGAAGTTGGGATTGCTGGTGCGGAAGAGAGGGTTGATGTTCTCGCCTCGCCCGGCGCCGCTGCTGATGGCGGCGTCTGCGTAGGGGTTCTCGGGCGTTTGCGCAGCGGCGTGGGGTCGTCGGCCGAGGAGTTCGCTGCGGTTCTGGGCGGTCCTGGCTTCCTCTCGCTCGTGTTTCAATTCGGCGAGACGACTGCGGAATTCGAGGAGGTTTTCGCGGAAGGTTGCGATGCGTTCTCGGCCCTTCTCGGCTTTCTCTTGCACTAGTTCATCGTTGACGGAGCGTTGGTAGTCGTCGATTGTTCTTGAGAAGGACGTTATTGAGGTTGTTATTTGACCTTGGAGAGCGGCGTTTGTGGAGGTGGTTTCGCTGGCGAAGGCATCGAGGTCGGCGCGGATGGCTTTTGATTGGCGCAAGGCGGAGTTATAGAGAGCGCTCTGAACAGGAATGTGTTGGTTAATAACATATTATAATCCAGGCCACAGATGTGCTTGCCTACCATTGTGAAAGTTGTGGAATATTATGTGGTGTGCTGTGATTTGGCAAACGGCGAGGCGATTTTCAAGTAGGTGATGAGGCTGTAGAGAAAGTATACATGTGTCCAAATTATTATTCTGTCTGTCGCATTCGAGGCTACCAAATTATGAAGGACATGCACACTGTGATGATACGTAATGATGTACAGCCGCACGTGTCTAGACCCTGATACATATATAGGCTCTCCCGCTTGCTGATCCTCGGTGTCTGCATTGATGTCGGCGCTGATTTCGCTCCCTTAAATATTTGATCCCCTGTCATCACAGGCTGTCGTGTACTGCAACTTACTGGCGATTTTCAGATACCGAAAACACGACGGCGCCCAAGCGTACAGCGACGGCGACTTTCAGGATCACTTGAAGTACTCTCTCGTCAACAATTTCGTTTTCCAATCTCGCCAAAGGCGTTTTAAAGCAATGCCAGGATATTTCGGAATTCGATTTTCTGCTTAAATACTCTAGTTTTTGTTTGATTTTATATTCTATCGTTCATCACCCCTATTTCAATGACTAGCAGCAGCATGCTCCTGTACTGTGTTCGCCTCTTCATTCGCAGCAATTGGTGCCTGCTCTAGCGGACCGTTCGGTTGCGCGAACGACACGCGCGAGACAAGTTCATAGAATGCCTTGCCCTGTTCTCTCGCGATCTCGAGCTCGAACGCTGAGGGCGGACGGGAGCCATTGTTATCGGCGAATGAGCCAGCCTGTGGACGTGTTCGGTTAGTACCAATATCGTCTTCACGGAACATAAGGGCAAATAAGCAAACTAGAACGAGCAAGAGAAGAGAAGAACTTACACCCCAAGGACTGCCACCGTGCACCTCAGAAAGGTCGGTCAGCTGCTTGAAGACGGGTTTGTAGCCAAGCGGCACGTAGATCATGCCATGATGGGCAAGCGTGCTCATCGACGCCAGCGCAGTACTTTCCTGTCCACCACCCTGGCCGCCGGTCGAGACGAAGAGGCCAGCATACTTGCCCTGGTAAGCGACCTCGTTGTCAGCAAGCGCGCTCTCCCAGAATGAGAGGAGAGAAGCATAACACACCCAGAATGAACCAGCAAACCATTGCTTGCCGGTCAAATCCCAGAAGGTTCTCCACTGCGCCGGGAAGTTGCCGAGGCGCGTTGGGATGCCGAAGAGGAAAGCATCGTAAACTTCTAGTTGTGACGGGTCCGTGAGAACCGGAACGCCAGACGCTTCTTGGCTGGGAGCCTTCATCTTGGCGAGGACCTCAGCGGATAGGGTCTGCACAGCTATCTCGTCAATGCTTCTGGTGTTCCCGGAGGTCAAATCGTGGCGGGTCATGATTACCCACCTCCTGGATTCGAAAGAGATCTGCAGTGCCTCCTGCGGCTTTGATACCCTCAGCTTCAGCCTGGGCTAGTTTGGCGACATGGCTGTGAAGTTTTCCAGTCAGTGGATGATAGGACTTGTTATTCACTGGGCAAGCCTTTGTCGTACCCCCAGGTGCTGTACTATGTATACATCCTTAAGTCAGCCAGCATGCTCCTACGATATGTTTGTCCGGGGACTTACGTAAACGATAGCAATTTTCGGTGCCATGGTATATAGTTTTCAAGGACCGAAGATGTTGTGCAAAATCAAGAGAAGGCGATAATGATGAGGAGAAAAGCAAGTGGACAGCCAGAGCGATGGAGCTCTTTATACTCTTTCATTGTGAAATAACCGTCTCGTAAACTCTTCGATTTTGACTAACTGTTCAGTTGGTATTCGAACGATTAGAAAGCACCCTTGCCGACATTGTTCACGATGTCGATAACGTACCCTACCACCGAGCCGGTCACACCACCGAGCCGGTCAAAACGCGCCCACAACGCGTCTTCGAGCTTCTTCCTCTTATTATATGACAATATTTGCCTACAATGCTCTCTCAAACTGAGGGAAGACTTTCTTTAGCCCTTCAAGCATATATTACCCACCAAGTTCCATCTCTTCGAGCTGCAGCAAATGCATACGACGTTCCATTTGAAACCCTCCGCGAAAGACACCTCGGCATCCACCCACGCGCGCAAACCCTTGCGAACTCGCGTAAACTTAACAATGATGAAGAGCAGCTCAT